CGGCGAAGTGGTACCCCTTGCAGAGGCACTTGACCGCCGTCTCCAGGGCGGAGAGGTAGTCTGCGTGGATCGTGGCGGCGGCGGCGTACTCCTTGCCCTCCCACAGCGCCTCGGCGAGTGTTGATGCGAGTTCTGTGAAGGCGTCCTCCGATGGCGGGGGGGTCTGTTGCTGTGCCGCAAAGAGACACTCGCGCCAGCATGTCACGCCGGCGGCGCGGTAGCAGCTTGTCGCCTTGGAGAAGTTCTGCAGGGTCTCGTAGGCGAGACCCGCGTCGCGGTATTTGGAGTTCGACTCGAGGTGGCTTGCGTACAGGCCGGTGAGAATCTGGTGGCGCGCTTGGTCGTATCGGCACAAGCTCAAGGCCTCTTGGTAGAGCGAGTGCTTGACAACGTAGTTTTGGAGCTCATCGAACGCGTCCAAGGCCTTGAGGTGGGAAAGAGCATTGGCTCTGCGGTCGAGGTGGTCGTCGATCTCAAACTTGCGGCGCAAGTCCGGAAGTTTGTGCAGGTTCTGGATAAAGGGGAGGTACTCCCTCGGATCACGCTGAGATTGCTGAGCAACGAGCAGAGCGAGGTCGAGGTTGTACAGGCCCAAGGCGTTGTCGTAGAGGCGGTTGACGTCGACGAGGAAGCAAATGTGCTCGACGGCGCGCTCGGCGAGCTTCTCGTCCTCTTGCATGAGCTCCGACACAAGGGTAAGTCCGTCGTCGAGGGCTGGTGGGTCCTTGCAGACGAGGGCTGTGATGATGTTTTGGAGGTTTGTGGCCTTCTTGGGAGCCAGGCTCTTGAGGATCGCGTCGCAGATCTTGTTGACCTTGGATTTTGACGACTTTGTGACGGGCTCTGGCTCTGACGACCTCGGGGAGCGCTTCGTGTCTTTGTACATTGTTTGAGTGACGTCTTCCTCCCTCAGTGATGACAGGAAGAGATCAATGTAGCTAATGTCTTTGAGCTGCTCCAGGAAAAGACCAACGTTGGAAAGGAACTGGCTTGGTTGGTGGTCGTAGAGGATGTTCATGTCGACTCTCTGTGTGCGGCAGAACGCGAAGGCTCTGCCGTAGTTCTTTTCGTCTACGAGTTGCCTGATACCAGCAACGACCATAGCACGGGGGTAGATAGTCTCGAGGTTTCCTCTCGGCATCTGGAGGACTAGATTCATGTTAGTTGGAGTCGCTGTTACCAGGCGAGCGCCACGCTCAATGCTTCGGCATCTCTCGTCAATCTCCGGATCGTCCCCGGGAACCTCCATTTCTGTAGATCGTCAGCAACGGTAACATCAATATCGCGGTGATGACATACCCTCTGGGTCCACTAAATGTACAAACTTGAGAAAGTGATTGTTCGTTGTGAAGATAATATGCGCGGGGGTCACGGCGAACGAGGTAACGTTCTTGGCCAGTTGCTTGGAATTGGCATAAAGGTGACCACTCCTGGTCATGCCCAGAGCCACAGGCCTACCGTTGATGTCCCTGACCTCGCACCATGGAAGCTGGGTTGAGAGCTGTGTCCCAAGCAGCTCAGGAGCTTGTTGACTGGGCAGCCTGTACAGCTTGCCTGAGCGATCCTGAGCAATGGCTTCAACCCCTGAATCGCCTTCGTAGCTGAAAATAGATGCTATGGTCTCCGTGGGCTTCAGCTGGGTGGTGTTGGTGAGACTAAGTCCCGATGCCTTAACCGCGTAGGTCTCGACCTTGAGGCCCTCTGCAGATGCCAGAATTTGGCACTCCGTCTTTGAAGAGAAGGCCACTTGGAGCGGGACTCCGGCCGCATCAAAGACAACCTTGGCCAGCTCCGTGGGGCGGATTGACCTGTCTCCCTTCGTCTGCCACTCAAAGACGTCCAGTCCCTTACGGTGCAGCACCGCCATCAGTGAGTTGCTAGGATCAAACGCGACATCAACGACGCTCGCAGGGAACTCCGGCTCAGCCCATGCCATGGGCGGCGGCACATTCGCCGTCCGGAAAGGGGTCAGCTTGACCGTTTGCCCGTCGATCACGGCAACTGATCCGTGATCGTTCGGGGGGCTCAAGGAGCCGCAGGCCACAGTAAAGATGTACTCAGCAAAGTTCACACCACCTGAGCTATTGTCAACGTCACGAACTTCGGAATCGAAGAGGCTATCATACCTATTGTCGCTGCAGCGAAACGAAGCGGCTTCTCGGGATGCCAAGAAAGCCCTGAAAACTCGGACGCCAATGGCAGTTCCTGCTTGAGATACCAGTGATAGTTGCCCATCGTCCACAGCTGTATCCTGTCTTTCAAGATGACAGCCAGAACGGTAGAGTCAGAGTTCCACTCGAGCCGGATCTTCTCATGCTCGCTCAGGGGTCCATCAGCGTTGCGGAGCGTGAACTGCCCATGCCTCAAACCGTTCCTCTCGAAGAACACGACATCAGTCTTCTCGGATAGCCGCTGAATGCCAGCAATCAAGTTGCCCGACGGCCTCCAGCTGAGGCTGCCCTCGAGGTGGTCCACGGGCTCGCTGACACTGTCAAGCACGCCCTCGCGAGAGAAGACTCTCACGACTCTCCTCGCGCCGCCAGCGGTCGAGTTGATGGCGACATATGCGCCGTCACCCCTCCAGCTGACAGCCGCGCTCCCGTCTTCATTCACACTCGGCAGTCCCTCGTCGACCTTTTCAGGAATAGTCGGGTCACGAAGCGCCTTGGCACCCTTGCCCTGGAACTGCGTCTCCTTCTTGCCCCATCCAACAGAGACATGCTTCGACAGCTTCAGGTCCTCCGCGGTCATCTCGACGTCGGCAATAGGATCGAACGTCCTGCCCATGAAGACAGCATTTCCCTCCTTGGTCACGACAACGAGCAGCTCCTCGTCAGGGGACCATCCCGCAGCAGCGATGCCGGCGTCAATGGAGCCGACAATCTCAATCTGAACATCACCAGCGCCGCTGAAGCCATCATCCTCCTGGACCGTGACGATGTCACCCCCCTCGAGGATAATACATGTCGTCAGGGTATCGCTGAAGTGGTGGATGCTGACAACCCTGTCCGCGGGCAGGTCCGGGCTCGGGCTCGGCGCATCCCAGCTCGCAACGACGTGTGATTTACTGCCAATGCCATGTTAGTCAAAAGTGTCACCGCTTCACACACGTGTGATGCACAGTCCGAAGCCACTCGTAGCCATGTCAGCTTGAACAATCACAGCTACAGCCACATGACCGCCACCCAAGACCCTGGGGATATAAGTCTAGGAGCTTGGGTGAAATAAACCGTCAAACGATCAACCATCATGAAACAGGGCAAACCGGTTGCAACGTTAAACATAGAAACAACGCTAAGAAACTAGGTAATGGAGGGTAGGGGGGGAAGGGGGCAAGGAGAGGCATAGACAGAGATGAAAAATGGCGCCACACATTTGCTGCTGTTGCTGGTGGTCCGACAGCCTCACCAGCTCAATGGTGGCTTTCGCCTCGGTCGGCCCAGTGGTGCAGAGGACCTCGTCTTTGGCGGGGTCCCAGCATGCCGAGGTGACGGCAGCCGCCGACGGTGACTCTTGCAGCCAGGCGCCGTATCGAATGTTGCGCAGGTTCCGCATATCGTCTTTTCCTCACTCTGGCTCGTGAGTCTCGGCTCTTGTGATTCCTCGGCCGATTGCGGTTATGTCCGCAGTGTCATCGGTGGTGGTGGTGGTCGGGTTGTGAAGCAAGTGAGTGAGTGAGTGAGTCGTTGCGTTCGTGAGTGTGTCCCGCCTTCACCTATGGTGCTGCAACTTTTTTTTTCCCCCTTGACCCCCCTCCGTTGCCTCACTTGCTGAAAATCTCATATGCGCCGTCGCGGCCCATACGCGGGCACACTAAGAGGTCCCTCGCCCTAACATTGGTAGCGCCGCACGCCGTCAGGTACCTGAGTACCTTGGCGGGGCCCAAGCTCGCTGGGCCCTCTGCTTCGGCGGCGGGCGGGCGCTTCAAGCAGCGCGGCGGATTGGGTATCCCGGAATAAGGGGGGCAAGCCCGCCTCCGCCCGCCGCAAGCCACACGCCTCCGCGCTTGCCCACAGCTTCAGTTGAGGATTGCCTCGTCTCTGCTATGCTTGTCGTCGCCTCTTCCATGTTTTTTTCTCTTCTCCTTCCAGATTCTTGTTAGGACGACACACAAAGTAGACTAGCAATCCCAGAGCTGTTCAGCATGCTCCACGGAGTTTCTCGTAACGGCCATTTCCGATTCATTTTCTTCCATATTGACAGGGGGGGAAAAAGGCATGAACTCTGATAAATCATTTGCTTGTTCCATCGTTGTACGGCCACTGCAAAAAGGTAACAGCCGGGCCGCTGCGAGACCCTAAACACCACCTGACAAAACACCGCTTGCATGAACAGCGTCTCGCAACATGGTGCTAGAGTCAGCCCATACCAGAGTGAACAACAGGCGACCAAGGCCTAGAACTACAGCGCAAAGACCTCCGTAACGCGTAGAGAGGTTGCATGACGGGAGGAAGGATATGCAGTACTGCGTAGGGGAGGGGGCCGAAGAAGCAGACCGGCACTCATCCGCATAGCATTACCCGAGCACATTCGCCAGTCGGCTTGTACCTACGTAATCATGCATCCAATCACCGCCCTCCCCGCACACCCGGCCAGCAAATCACAGCCCTGGAAGCCGATCGTCTCCTCCCTCCTCGGCCAAAAGTCTGGCTGCCCCGGATTTTGCCATTAGCGCATGCAAAAAAGCCATGTCCCCGGGCGTAGCTCTCTCTGCTGCAACAGACTGTGCTGTCCCGTCAATGGCCGAGCCGGTCGACTCCCTTTCCATTCCTCAACAAGCTTTCCTGGTGCTTCCCAACCATTTTCCCATATAACCTGAAGCGAAACCACCCGAACTCCTATCCTGTATATACACATCTGTCACCAGAACCAACGACCCATTTAGACCCTTGCTTTGCGTCTCCCCAGTCGTCTAACCAATTCGCGCCCACTCATCCATACTTTTACACAGCCTACCTTACCTGCCAGACGACAGGCCTGATACGAAGCAGCACCAGAAAATGGAGGAGGCATACAAGCAGTACGCGAATCAGGCGCGTCGAAAGAACCGCTCCAGCACAAACCTGAACCACCTCTCCCTCGCCCCCTTCACCTCGAGGCTGCCGATGCAAGACGACGATGCCCTGCCCGACCACCTCACCTCGCCAGCCCACAGCACCTCTTATCTGCAGGGCAAATCCGCACCCACGACGCCGGGCCTTCTGACCCGCTCACCCGCTCGCTCAAACTCCCACGTCCGCCGCGCCTCCGTACCGCACGCCGAGCTCACCAAGAGCAAGTCCGCAACGCACCTGGCCCCCGCCGCCAACGACCGCAAAGCCCACTACCGAAAGTCCGTCTCGGGCACCACATCTCCTACCGTCCGCCGCCGCAAGGATGACTTCTCCGCCAGAGATCCCAATGACAGCGATTGGCTTCTGCGGACCGGCGCGCTCATCAGCAACGAGAGCCGCGAGTTCAAAGGCCAGGCGTGGCTGGTGTCGAGAGAGAGCTCCACGAGCTTGACTGGCATAAGGGACGCGGAAGACGAGGCTTTCGAGAGGGAACTGGCTCGCGAGCGGGAGCTGGCTAGTCGTCGCGGCAGCCGGCGTGGCAGCCTTGCAGATATGGACGGAGCTTACACCCATTCCGCACGTCCGAGTCGTCCTGGAAGTCGGTCAGCTAGCAGGGCGGGCACCAGAAGCCAGATGTTGACTCCCATGGAGCGACACTCTGACGAAGGATATTTTCCCCGTCACCATGACAGTGACGAGCTCGTCCCCGGGCCCGATTTTGTCAATCTGGACGAGAAGCTCGAAGCCTTCGACTTTGACACGACTCAAGATGACGAAGCTGCCGTCAGGAGACTTGTCAAGGGGGAGAGGGCTGGTGCCGCTTCGTGGGTGGGAAATATCCTGGGATGGCCGCTGTTCGCGGTTGAAGAAAATGAGGAAGAGTCGGACGACGAAGACATGGACGGGGATTTTGGACATGAAATCGACGAGGCGCAGGAGCTCCGCTCGTGGTCAGCACGGCATTTTGAGGGCGTGCCCAACGCCCCGGAAGAGCGGATTCCGCCCCCAAAGGCTAACGAGGGTGGTTGGCAGGATGCGGCATGGTTGCTCAGTGTGGCCACCAAAGTCTTGTTGTAAGTGGACAATGGTAGAGGGGAGAAAAAAAAAATAGGTGTCTCCACGAAAAGAATGCCTGCCAAGGGGCCTTTCGGCCGCCCTTTGGGAGAACGGTGATGTGGGTATCACGACAGCCCTAGCAGTTGGCAGGACTGGGAGCATCACCCATCACCGTTAGACTATTTGAGAACCCCGGCAGCCGAATCTGCAGGGTATGTTTGTTAATGTTTACTGGGCCCCACGTTACGTTTTTGCCGGATCCTTCCAAAAGTTGAATATACCGCGAGAAGCAATATTTACCGCGTCTCGGAGCCATCTGCTCGTGGGCCATGTTGTCTGCCCCTCGTCACTCGGGAATGCTGCTGCTGCCCACGTCCCCTCCCTAATGGTTCCTCGTGCAGATTGCGGCGCAAACGTTCCTTCTTCCATGATCGGCGCTGCGAGATGGAATCAATAGCACCCTTCTCGTAGAAGAACCACCTGCCTGTTCCAGTAAAAAGACATGTCCAACCTCAGCTGCGAGGTTGAACGAAGCTCGCCCTCGTCCTTCCGGCCAAGAGGCTGTAAACCACGTGATCACTTACACCAGCAAGCGGAGCTGGTGACGTCTGGTCCGTTGTCAGCCGTATCAACCACGGCCTTGAGAATACTGCCCGTCAATATATCCGGCCGGGCAGAATGTTTGCTTTTCTTCGGGCGTCTAGAAAAATATGTAGAAAAAGTCTAATGCGAAACGGCGGCTCTCGACCAACGGAAAGGTGCGGATTTCATCTGAACCATCGTCTCGAAGCCCCCAGAGGGCCATGATAGCCGGCCAAGCCGGCGCAGGGAGGCTACTCGCACGGCAGGATCAACAAAACAGGTTTTGGGAGTGTCACCTCGCACTTGCATGCAGCTTCGGCGGGAACCTCGTGTTGTCCGCGCAGACTGCCTCGAGAGACGGTGAAGGACACAGTCGGGGAGGAGCAGGTCGGCTCGTGATCGCCCAATACCTGTCGCTCGTGTGAGCCACGCCCGTGGATCAACGTTTCCGCCGCGATATCGTACCGTCTGGCCGTTCCGCAGACCACGGTTTTCAAAGTTGCTTGACCGATATATGCCCCTTGTCATTCGGACGGATGCCGACCGCCAGAGTGGAGCCAGGATTCAGCCGTAAAGCGGGGGGCGAGTGAGCATGAATTTACTGCGTACAACAGACAAATCGGCTCCGGCTGTCATCTGGTGTCCACCCGCGATGAGATCTGGAGGCCAGCAGAGGTTTGCTTTAACCTCCCTCAGAACCTACAGTAAGCTTTGTGATTCCGAGCCGCATGCTCCCGGAATGAAACTCGTCGGTGATTGTCACAGGCAGGCTCTTGTAATGCTCAGACTCTGAACGCGCTAACGCCTTCGTCATGGAATCCATTATTCAAGGTCCTGAATACCGGAGCCAATCCTCTGGCTGAGGCCTCGCGCCAAAGCTCTGAAGAAGCTGGTGGTAAAGATGTCACCGTACATTAGCCATTGGCTGTGCGATATCGAGCTTTCCTCCACTGATGCGACGATCGAGGTTTGACGAGAAAGAGTCAAAGAAGCTGTCACTTCGGTAATTCTTCTTCACCTCGTTTCTGGCTCCCTTCCTTACTGAGCCGTACTGCCATCCTAGCGGACTTGGCGCATGCGTGACACCCAAGTTCAGCCGAACCAATCATCAGACGAATCGAAGCGGCTGCGCTCCCGTCCTGTTGTTCACAGAAGGTCGAAAATGCTCTGGAAGGTGCGGAGCGATATGTCTTGGATCCCAGAGCATGGGCGAGCGGGCGACAAAGATGGGCCTGATGGTGGTGGTGGTGGGACCGACGAAGCCCGTGGAGATGAAGTTCTCAGTTAGCGGCATGCCGATTTCCGGCCTACCGCATCTGTAACCCGACCGTCAGGAGTGGATCTCCGTAAAACACGGAGCCTGCCACGTTACGGTCCCGCCCTGCCGGATTCTTTGGCGTTGGTGAGGTCGCAGAGTTACCTAGCTTCGAGCGGCTGAGCTCCAGCATGAACTAGGAGAGACCACGCCCATACTCCGAAGCCGCTGAACCGCCGGAATAGGTTTCTGTCGCCAGAAAATGTTCTCTCCGCCACACTGGACTCGCAATCAACCAGACGACAGCCGCGAGAATGCGGCGGCGACGGCGGCAGGCTGTGAGGTGGTGGTGGTTAGTGGCAGCCGTCGGCGTGGACCACAGACGGTTGTGACCCAAAACGGAAGCGTCCAGCAGCCAATACACCCTGGTCCTTGCATAGCCTGCGGTGCGACCCACCGATGACGTTCAGGCGCGTTATGACGTCTGGGAAGAAACTAACTCCAACCCCCCAGAGTGCATATGCAAGGAGCCCCACCTCACCACCAGTTAACCACCTCGACGGAACCCCATCACGGAGAGCATGGTGGACAACACCACCACCCCGGCCACACAGCGCACGAAAATCCTTTTTTTCCTTTGCTGAAAAGAATCTGGAAGTGGGGTGTTAACCGTCGGCCGAGAGAGTCTAGCCTCCATCGACGAGCTCCAACAAGTTGATTCTGCAGCGGTGTGGGACGGTATTTCACCAAGCTTTCCCTGTCAACTGTACTGCGCCGGTGGCATTGGGTGGCATGTCAGCATGGCCAAGCGTCTTGAATCAGGAACGGATCGTCGAAAGGCATTTGGGGACGGGGTTAGGACCCTGCATTCCGCCGTTGCTGGCCCATCCCGTTGCCTCTTTTTCGCTCCCCGATCTCTGCCTCCCGCGGCTGCCCTTAACTTGGCTTCGACCCCTCCTACCATGCCTGGGACTTCCTATCGGTGTGGAGTGGTGAACCATTGGCATCGTGAGTTTCCAGACGCAATAGTTGAGCAAGTATCGTCAATTTGCCACAGCTCCAGCGAGGGTCTTTGATGGGTGACTGGAGTGTATCGAGACATTGCCTATGGATCGTCCAATTTGCGCCCGTACTCCGTTGACTGGCCACGTCTGCTAGTCAGGGGCTGGCTGAAGGAGGGGTTTGACTGACGGGGCCAGTGACGACCAACTCCTGGAGCTATGGCTGGGAATCAGACCTCAGAGCTCACTTACTAAGTACTGGCTTTGCTTTTCCGACGCAATCTCTAGGAAGCTTGCGTAGCCTTGCGCCAAATCTGCCGTCAGGTCACTCTTGATAGGACGTGGCAGAGAAGAGGCGGATAGAAATTCAATAAACGACCGGCAGTAGGCGAAACAAAAGGTAAACCTCAAGATGAGACGGAAGTGAGATTCAAAGTCGGTGAGTGCCCGCTTGGAAGCAAGCAGAGACCAAGCTGCGCCAGGTTGCCGAGAGGAAGTCGAAGGAAGGCAGCGGAAGATGCTGATCATAACCTATTCATGACTGCGGCGCGAGAGATGCTATCTAGCTTGCCATGCAGGGCGGCGCTTTCGCATCGTCCAGGATCCTGGCGACCTGGCACAGTCGCAAGGAGGGCCCGGCAGACGGAGGGGTAGGTAGCGTGGTTGTCCTGTGTCGGTGCTCAGACTTACTGTATGTGTCCGTAAGGCAGTATGGATATCCTCAACCAGAGGACGGAACCACGTTCGGTCTAGAAGGTTTCCGAGGGAGGGGGAAAACGACGGCGGGTAGGTAACAGCGGTGCGTGTCTATCAGCTGTGGTGCTGTCGGTCAAATGACAAGTGATCCGGCGTGTTCGGATTGAATCCTGACAGCTGGAGGCGCTGAACCAGGCGCTGTCATGACGCGAACCTGGTTTATTTCCTGCGAAAGTTGGTAAGTGTGGGAACTGTCAATGGTCTAGACTCTGTAATAGAGCGCCGAGAACGCCCGTGGTAAGACGTTGCGAGAACGTGCGTGGTTGATCAGGGCTGATCGTCGGGACTCACCTACTGGTGCGAATGCGGTCGACGTACGGATATTGCATGGAGAAAAGAAATCAGAGGCTGGCAGAGGTAGCCGGGACGCAAGTGACAGAAAGCCAAGAGTTGGAGGGAGGGGTCGGGTACTTGTAGTGCACTGTGAATGGATTTGCTTCTTTTCCTCATTTGATAACACAAAAGAGCTCGCGATTGTGGAAGAGAAGACCATTTCAGACGGATCCAAAGGTGCCTAGGGAAGGAAGGCACGGGCGAGCTGCAGGACTGTCAAGGTCGGAAGAGCCTCACCTTAAACTTGAGGCAGGCAGGTAGAAGGCAGGTTGGTTGGTTCCTTCCGTTTAGCTACTTACTTGACGGTCGTCGGTGAAGAAGAAGATTCCCCCTCAGGACAGGCGTGCCTTGTCCCGGCGGGTTACATAGGGCGTCCCTAGCTCATGGACGAGTGACCAGAGATGCTGCATCGAAGGAAGAAAATAACACGATGAGCCCCGTACGTAGGGGGATGCCAGACGCGTTAAAGGTGCTAGCAGGCTCTGCCCCAGCAGTATTCGGTTACCTTATCCACCTTGGGTTCCTTGCCTTAGTTGGGCTGCTGCAGCGGCAAGCTAAGAAGGTGCTTGCTTGGATGCTTGGCCCGAAGGACAAGGTACTCGTCGTTCAGATACTCCCGTCTCCCGTAGCTCGGTAAGATACGGCGGTCACTTCAGTCGCAGCTGTTCTTCCTGTCGTCAAAGTGTTTGCATGCTGCTAGTTGCTGCGTCTGTTGTGTGTTGACGGAGGCGCCCGGACGGACCCTGAAAGACAAGGGCTATGAGTGATGCAGCTCTGGCGACGCTTCCATCAGTTGATTAAGTATGAGGTCAGGTCGGCGCGCCTAGAACTCGTGCGGTGGATATCCAGCCTCCTCCTTCCCTCTCGTACATACGGCGGTAGCTCCCAGCTCCCAGCTCCCAGCTTCCAGCAGCATCAAGCTCCCTCCCAGTCCAGCATCTCCCGACCCGAGTTTTGGCGGCCGCCAGACCTCGCGGCGCACTGGCTGGGTCATCGCTGCCTTCCGTACGGTGATGCTCGACTCGCTATTTCGTCCGCCTTGCTTTTTTGGCTTTGAGTTCCTCTGGTATATCTCGTCTCAACCAGTCTGGATTGTCCTTTTAAGCCAGGACAGCGTCTCTGTGATCTAAACGGATGCGGTCGAGGACGTTGGTTACACTTTCCTGCTGCTTACTCTGCTGTACTCCCCCGTCAATCTGCAGTGCTGTGACCAGCGTCAAGTGTACATGCCTCTGCCTGTGTCCGCCGTCTCTTTTGTCAGCGGTCCTCGTCTCTATCCACCTAGTATTTGAGCCACCTTATTCACTACCGTTCAAACCTCGCACCTCCTCCTGCCGCAGCGTTCCTCAAACCAATAACGAGGGAGAGACACGAAAAAAAAGACAGCAACCGCATCCGCCAACATTCCTACCTCCCGACCTATTTACGCCGTGTCTTCCTTACCCAGGTACCTTGCCTACATCCATACCTTACCTACCTACCTACTCACGCCCACTAAGGTACCACATACCTTAGCCGGACGAAGGCCCTGCAGAAAAAGGTGACCCAATCCCGCCGTATCATCGCTTGACCCTGACTTTCATCCCCCCGCTCCTTCCCCCCTCCACTCCTTCGTCACCACGACCCCTCCACCGTCCGCCCCTCCTCTTGGGCAGTACAACGTCTGCCCGCAGCAACGTCCCACGCAGGCCTTGCAGTAACATTTCCGGCATCAGTAAGGGTCGTCCGCTGCCGCAAGAGCAGGGGAAGAAGCAGAAGCACCGCAACCAGGACCAGGACCAGGACCAGGACAAGGACCAAAACTACCATAGCATCAGCATCAGTAGTTGCAGCAGCAGCAGCAGCAGCAGCAGCAGCAGCAGCAGCGCGCTTCCTCTCCAGACCCGTCGGCTCCCGAGGCTTGTCATCCGGCTTAGTTGGACTCGTGAGCCTGTCTCACTGAACTTCACCTCAACTCACCGTACCTACTTTACCGACGCATCTCAGTTGCTCACATCGTCCTCACCTGGCGCCTGACACCCGGAAGGTAAGGTCGCACGCATCTCTGCCTGCCCCCTCAGCACCCAGCACCCAGCACCAGCACCTGCAACTGCAACTGCAGCAGCTCCAACACCAAGACTCCCCAACCAAAATCGCGCTAGGGATCACTCCCAGATTTGCCCTTGGCCTTTTTGAGAGATCATCTCCCCTCCTCTCGTGCCCCGGTCCTACTGCCCCGGCCGTCACGCCTTCCGCTTCTAATCAGCCGTCCAGGGCCCTCGACCCTGGCGTCTGGTGTACCTTTTAATTTACCTCAATTCAGGCGCTCAACGGCACTCGCTCAACCCGCCTGCCCATTCACCTCTCACCTCTCACCTCCCAGTGACCTTGACCTTGATCCTCATCTTCGTCCTGGAGGTGAGGGTGGCTGCCGCAACTGGATACCCTAGACGACGCTTCTTATTGCTCTTGTCGTCGTCGCGTGCCGTATTGCTACACTTGACATTTCGGGAGATTTCTCTTTTGTCAACCCTGAACGCTTCTTCTTTTTGCTCGCCTCCCTGATACACATCATAGTCACCTCACCCTCGCCCGCATACTTCTTACATCACTTCTTCAACCTCACCTAACAGCCGCATCTCTCAGGTTCCTTCACCTTAATTCAGCTGCAACCTCCTCGCGCCTAAGCAAAAGCCGAAGACGAACTACAAACCCTGCCGCTACTTGATCTTCCTTTTCCAGAAGGTACAGTCCTGTCCTCTCCCGTCGTAGGCCGTCTCGCTCCTAACCCAGCAAGTCCAGGTACTTCGCAGTCACCAACGCAACCCCACCACGCAGTTCTTCCCCTCCAAAAAGTCCACCTACCCACATCACTCACTGCATCCCCCGCCGAAAAATTATTAGACACCTCGGAAGCCCTACCTGCCTTTTTGCCTACCTTACACCTTGCCTCGCCTTACCTTAGCAGAGCAGACAAACTCGTCTTATATGCGCACCCGACCAGAATCGGACCCGACAGACTTCCAGCTTACCCTTTCCTACTCTAGCTCGCCCAAACAACTGCTCGCTGTATCCAATCCTCACTCCCGGACCCTATTCATCGTTCATCTGTAAGTAATTTGTCGTGCCCTTCTCTCCCGCTTTCGCTTGCTTCTGCGGCGGCTGTTTTGCCTCTGCGTTGTTCCCTTCCTCCCCTCCATCCGAATACCCACACTCAGCTGCACATGCCCTTGTTGCGGTATATCTCATTCATCATCACCCGCAGCTCCAACAATCATTGATGCTGCTTTCCCTTACCCGGCACAAAAGAAACCAAATCATACCCAGCATTACCCTTCCTCGCCTCCAGGGACCGGGGGCAGATATTCCCAAGCTTTCATTCCCATCCCGCAATCCACATCACACCACACATATCTATCCATCGTGGGATCCACCCTTGGACTGAACCTCCTTGCTTGCCTCGGGCTCTCTAACCAAATCTTCGCTTCAGTAGCTCCTCCGTGTCTCCGTGCTGCCACCAGTCATACTTGAGTGTCACTCTCGGTCACTCTTACCCCTCTAGAGCCTTTATCCGCTCTGTTGTCAACTCCTGCCTGATCACCAAACAAAAAAGAAACCAGTCTAACAAAATAAACACAAATCGCCAAAAATGCCTGCCTCTGAGGACAAAGTACGTGAGCAACCATCAAAGAAAAATATGTTGTGGTCACGCGGCGGTTTGGACTGTGAGGGCTAACGTGGGGTGTTGGGCACAGAGCGATGACGGTCCCCTCAGCACTACCGACTTTGGCGACGCGATTGACTCGGTCACCTTCGGTCAGATCCTGGAGATGGACGACAGCGAGGATGATCGCGAATTCAGCCAGTCAATCGTCTTTGGCTTCTTCGAGCAAGCAGAAGAAACTTTTGAGTCGATGGACTCGGCTTTGTGAGTCGCATCATCACCGCCCGCCCTCACCTTTTGCCCCCCCACTACCCATCCTTTCCCCCTCTTCTTCGTTTAGCCCCCTCTTACCCGCGGCCCAACGGTTTTCCGTGGGCCTTGGGCTGGTCCAAATATGCTCCTGGACAGCGCTGACTCTCATCTCTTGTCAATGCAGAGAGGAAAAGGACCTCGAGAAGTTGTCGCAATTGGGCCACTTCCTCAAGGGCTCATCGGCCACGCTCGGCCTCGTCAAGGTTAGAGACAGTTGCGAGAAAATCCAGCGTTACGGCAAGAAGGAGAACGAGGATGGCACCCCGGAGAAGGATGAGGAGCTGTGCCTGGAACGCATTACCGAGACGCTCAAGGCGCTCAAGACGGAGTACGAGGACGCCGAGAAGGTTCTAAAGAAGTTCTACAACACCACCGACGCCTAAAGCCGACGTACGACTCCCAACGACGTCGCGCTCCATGTCGCGGAATCAGCCGCACCGTCTCCAGCATTAGAAACGATGGCTGCGACGACGGCAAGGACGTGGAACAAAAGGGACTGTCTTGCCCTTCCCGAAGAGACCTACAGCTCTACGACCCATCTTGGACCTTGGATGCTTTGCTCACGAACCTACTTCTCCTCATACCCCTCCCCTACGTTTACGTTTCTGAATCATGAAGAAAAAAAAATGGAATTTTTGCATGGAAACCTGGACTTGATCTGCGCGGAAGGCCCTCAACACTGTTGGGGGCAGCCGAAAGAATAGTCGGATGGCCGAGGTAGTCTACTGGAACAACAAGAAGGTTCTAAATACCTGTTCCCTGGGTTGTTCCATCTGCGCCTACTATAGTCCCCAATCAACAGCATGCATATTGCGGTCTTTACCACTTCTGCTGGATAGATGGGCAGCAGCATAACTTGTGTTTTGATAGGCAATGCAAGGCGTATTGGCCGATATCAATAGGCCGTCATCCACACAGACAATGAAGATGCATCATGAAAATATCCAACTAGGTCAAACACGAAAGAAGTTCAAACCGATAAAAAGGAATCCCATTGACATCTTTTTGTTGGCATTAGACAGCATTAGACATATCAGGTTTGAATACTGATTGCTTCGCCAGAGCCCTAGCCACCGGGGTTTCGCTGACAACAGGCTTCCATCCCGAGTTCCAAGTGCGGGCAGCGGGGAACCCGCCAAAATTCTCCCGAGCGTCACCTTTCAGCCTTGACCGGACTGACATCATCGCGAGCTGTGACGAAGCCCAGGCGAAAGATCGACAAATTGACGCCATAGCCTGATTCTGGTACGTCTCGACGTTTCTCCAAACTTATGGGGCCCTTCCGAGCGGTCGGTTCTGTGGCTGTGCGGCTACGAGGGAGACAGCTGCCTCCCCAAGCCCAGCGGCCAGCCTACCGGCCGAGTTTCTCTGTCTTTTTCTATGGCAACTACCGTTGCCACAGATCGTGATCTCTTGCTTCCCCGGGAGTCGCAGATGGAAACTGCACGGTCGACTAGGGACGCCAGTCTTCGGCCCGAGCCGTCGGGAGGCTCTTGCTGTCTCCGTTGACGGACCCTCGATTCTGTCTTGTCACTTTCTCTAACATGGTTAGCAGATTCCGGACGTTATCTACGCAAAAGCCCATGAGCATCGTTGGATCGGTCATAAGGTTCTGAGACGTCCAACTACGCGAGGCAGTCAACATTGCACCGAAACCTGCAGAGAGTCTCTCAGGCGCCAAGATCATAGTCATACTCCCTGACCACATCGGCCTCGACATTCGCAATGCCTCCTCGACCTCCTCCACGCACTTCACCCACGCACTTCCTGTGCATACCCCTCGTCACCGCCTCTTCCCGGTCTCAGCTGTCCAAAAGCCTGGCATCCTTTGAAGCAGATGTCACTAGCCCAGACAGCTTCGCCATCCCTTCAGACGCCGTCCGTCCCCTCGGCACCCTCCACCTCACCCTCGGTGTGATGAGCTTCCCCAAGAACGAAGGCGTCGAGAAGGCCGTCGAAGTACTTCAATCGCTGAAGCCGCGCGAGATTCTATCAACCGTCAAGCCCCTATCCTCCATCACTCCCTTGGCCGGGCCAGCCTCCTCGACCCCTGAGAAGCCTCTCTCCCTCACCCTCCGTGGTCTCCATTCCATCCAGCCCGCTCAGAAAGCCACGGTCCTGTACGCGCCGCCGATCGACCCCGACGGTGTCTTTCGTGGCTTTTGTGAGAAGCTGAGGGGAGTCTTCCAGGAGGCCGAGGTGATGGACAATGAAGACCGGCCGTTGCTATTGCACGCCACCATCGTGAACACCATCTACGTCAAGGGCGGCAGGGGCAAGAAGGGGCCGAGGATGACCATCGATGCGAGAGATATACTTGACCGGTACGATGACTACGTGTGGATGGAGGACGTGCCGGTGGAAAAGATTGCCATCTGTCGTATGGGGGCCAAGCAGATTGAGGGTGTAGACGATCAGGAATACGAGGTTGAGGCCGAGATCGACTTTTAGGGACGAGATATGGTTCTGGACGAATATCTAGAGACAGTATACCTCCTCGACTAGCTATATGCCTAACGGACTCATATAAGGAGAAGGCCTTAGGGGCACACCCGAGTTGAACTAATCGTAGACGGGGTACTTCAGGCAAACTGACATCGCCATGTCGGCGCCATCAGGTCCCGTTGCAGAATCAGGGTGCTTTGGGGCAGCAACGGCAGTGTTACGCCAGATTCGACCTCTATTTCTAATCTATGTACACACAGTTCGAGATATGCTGCAAGTGCAGCTCACGTTTAATACCTAAATGGAGGGAGTGAGTGCCCAAGACCGATCCAAAACACATGATTGCTGTATGTAACCTTGGCAAAGTAACAAACACCGCTTTCAGGCAATGGTAGGAAGACCTGAGAGCAGCATCATTTCCACTCCCAGGGCAACATACTGTAAAATCTTCTCATCTCGGCCCCTGCCATTGTCCCTCCATGTCTCTCTGTGGTGCTTCAGATGAACCGCCAGGATCCTCCAAAGGAGATTGCAGTGAAGCTGCAGGGGTCTGAATGGACGCGCATCACCACAGGGCTCCCTAGGCCACCTAACCGCACCGCCAGCCCCCACGACTGTCAGCCCCGAGCACGCGGCCACAAGCCGCCGGGCCGCTAAAAATACGGCCCCGGCGGGGTCCAGTCACGGCACGCTCTACCTGGGTTACAGACGCTGGAGCCCCCAACTCAGCGAGCGTCCCCGCTGTCGCCCCCAACACGACGGACGAATACGTATGCCCCCCCGTCAAGGTCTGCCTTACCTAAACCCACTGTGTAGCGACCTCCGCCGGTTGCTTGCGACGACACTCTCCAGCTCAGCTCAGCTCAGCCCGACACGAGAGACAGAGGGATACACAGAGTGAGAGATCTCTCCTCTCTCGCCATTTAAGAGGGCAGGCGCCATACGACTTTTGCCTCCTGCAGGCACCCGACGAAGTTCTCCTCCCCTCAACCATCGTGGCCGCTCTCCCCTCCCCCCACCTCTAGGCAACAAACGAAGGCTCCAAGCGGGGGGATAGAGAGACAATCCTCCTCCCCCTCCATCGCGAACTCCCCCGCCCTTCGACTTCCTACACAACATGCAGCAGCACCGCATCCGAAGCCGCATGCTCCTCCTCCCCCTTCTGTCCCGCCGTTCCCATGACGAAAGATAAGAAGCTGCTCCGGATGTCCGACAAGCGCCGCCCCGGCGGCAGTGTCAGCAACACGAGCGGCGGCAGTAATACCGGGAGCGGTAGCAGCAACAACACCACGGGAGGCTCGACTGCTGGATCGAAAGGAGGGTCGAACACACACTCGCTACACACGACAAGCTCGCGGAGCCCCGGCTCAGGCAACGCGGCGAGCATCATCGCGCCGCCGCCGCGCGCACACCATGCGCCCACGAGCTCAGCTGTGCCCGACGAGGGCAGCAGCTCCCGCGAGTCAGGGAAAGATGCAAAGGATAAGGAGTCCAGGTCAACAAAAGATACCCCCAGCACAGGAACCGCTGCCAACACCAGCAGCGGTAGCAGCAGCAGCAGCAGTACGACATTACTTAAAGACAAGGATGCTCGTATAGCGAAGCTCGAGCGCGAGCTCGAGATAATGGAACAAGAGTTCACGAGGGAACTCGACAAGCTCTCCCAGGCCGAGAGCGAAACGGCGGTCTATTGGCAGGCGAAGCACAGCGAGCTGAACGAGCAGTTCCTGCGAGCCGACGCGGATCTCAGGATACTGAGGCAAGAGGCTGAGCACCGCGATGCGGACCGCGACGCCTTGCGACGAGAGGTCGGGGAGCTGAGGGCGCAGGTCAGAGGGTTGAAGGAGTTTGTGAGCACGAGCACGCGGACGAACGGGCAGACGTCCGACGAGGTCTTTTGCGAAGGGATGATGAGGCTGGGCAACGGGTTGCAGAACTGGATCATTGTCCACTTTCGGAGGGCGAAGCTAGGTGTGTTTCTTCCCCCTTTGGAAGCTGTGCGACTTGAGAGCGTGGAGTCTGACCGAGCGCAGATGTTGCTGCCGCCAGCGAAGATGTACGCGATGAGCTGGGTCGTTTAGTACCCATGTACGCGGACCTGGAGACATCCGCAAAGGTGCATATGCTGCAGTCCATCGTGTCACGGATTCTCATGGATGTCATCTTTGAGAACTGCTTCTTCGGCCTGCCCAAAGAGCAGGCGGACAAGTTTAGGGCGATGGAGGAGACCTTGTCGAGCTACGGTTCGTCACTTGCGCCGCTGGCCGGATCCCCCATCTAACGAGGGAGGAGGCACTGACAGAAAAGCTTTAGTGGACGACGCGGAAGCACTCAACAACTGGCGCTCCTCGACTCTGGCGCTTTTCCAGCGCGAGGCGGAGACGAAGATGCAGGCAGAAACAGCGGCATCGACAGACGCCATCATCGCCCGCGTGAATGGCATCCTCGACGCCGTCACCGACGCCAAGGCCACCGAAGCCCGCGACACGCCCCTCCGGACCCTAGTCGGCAGCGCGGTGGACCTGTCGCGGCAGCTCGCGGTCCAAAAAGCCGTCTTCCGGATCCACATGCCCGACATCGTCCCGGACCAGGAGACCAAGTTCGACCCCGCAACCATGGAGGACATTGGTGGGGAGGACGAGGAAGCTCTTTCGGGGCGCAACATTTCCTGCGTCACCTTCCCCGGCGTCATCAAGCGCGGGGACGAGAACGGCGGGCACATGCAATACCAGAATATCATTGCCAAGGCTAGGGTACTTTGTAGTCCCGAATGATGATGAAGAAGCTGTAGCCACCCACCATCCCTTTTGGCGTATATCGTCTAATCCTCCTCCATAATGATGATGATACTCATGGCCCACGTTTACGCACCGGCGCCCATGACAGAAAGTGCACATTTGTAGCCCGTCTGCCGTTATCATCCTTGCCCTCCTCTATCAGTCTTGGCCGCCGGCGAATACCCCCTCCGCACCTAGCATTCATATGACGACTTACCGCTTCTTCCCCCCTTGTCTCCCGCCGCGGCCTAAGCCGACGCCGTTGCCGCCTTTCGTATCCCATCCATCACAAACTCACAGCTTCCCAAACACCCATGGGCGGATGGGATAACAACCCCGGTATGGCCGACCAATCGACGCGGGTTCCCACCCCAAGAGACATGCAGCGCCAGCGACCTGCAGCTCCCACGCCCGAACCCACAAGAATCAGTGTGGAGCGGGGTTGGTGGTAGAGACGGATCTCCCTCTTCTCTCCCTACAGCACCACCTCACCTGTTGATTCAATCTGGGTCCTCACCCCGACTGCTCACCAGTGGAGGGGGAGGATGAAAGAGGAAGGATTGTGCGGCTCTGCAACTTTGCAGAGCGATCCTTCCGGGTCTATGGCACCCCCCAAAGCTTGCAGGCTCTTCGCGTCACCTACCACGTTGTGCCCAAGGCGACTGCAGCACCTGATACTCGTGGGTTTTCAGGTGAGAGTCAGCCATGCGATTCCAACCGCAAGTAAAGGCAGACACTATTGGAATCCACCGCCTAAAAAAAGACAAATTTTCGAGCCACGTTCGCTCATGGAAGGGATTCCCTGGGTTCAATGTTAGCAATTCGACCCCTTTTTTTTTTAAATCATTGCTCCAGTCTGTGAGGGAGACTTCTCCCGGCGTTCCGTCATGTATCACCGCAGGCGCCGCGCAGCAGCTCGCTTGCTCTATTTCTACCAACAAACCCCCGCTCTGCCTGTCTCTCTTTCCACCCTGGCAACTGCCCATACACGTGTACACCGCATAGTGGGTGGCTCACGCAACTATTCTCCTGGACAAATTCGGGGAAGATGCCCTTGACGAGAGCTCGGGCGGCCCCCGTGCGGGTTTCTCTGTACAACATCAAGGGACTGTGCATTTGGAGATCCTTAGCCCTATGCTGTCACAAGTGAAGCTGATCGGACGGCAGCTCCGAAGGTCCATTGACCGTCCACAAGATCGTCGATCTTTCTGCGGCGGGCACAAGCTCGGAGACGACATCAGACCGAGACGAACACCTTCTTTGAAGACGATCGCGGACCAAGGCCAAAGCCATGTCTGCTGACACTCATCCTTCGACATTGGTGAGTCAACGATATCGACCGTGGGAGCTGATGCTGGCTTCGAGGGTGGTGTGGATAGCCAGCTAGTCCGCTGCTGCTATCCGTCCCGAAGGGTGAGGGTTCGTGCCGATGGCCATGGTTCGCATTCGGAAGGCCGCCGGCGAGGGGGTTGCAAGCCGCTTAGGTCCTAGGTGCACGTAAGATTCCGGCCCATAAAGACTGACGCGTAACCGAAATCCAACAACGCAGAGGAGAAGACGAGACTTCCTCCCTCTTTTCCTCGTTCCCTTCTCTCCATCATTGTTGAGCTGGATCGTTCAGGAGCTAACCCTCATCTGCCCGTTGAAAGCTGGAACTTTGTTATAGGGATCGAAGTGCAGGCACTTGGCTGCAGCATCCATCCCCTGTGAACATCCACTTCAGTCTTCCGGCATATTCCCCACCCACCCAGCTTGAGTACCATCCTCTCTCGTCTTCGTGTCTCTCGTTGTCTCTTCGGTCTTCGCGTTTTCGCCCGTCGCGTCGACCCTCGGAGGTGGGACTCGTTGGCTTCCATATTGTATGGATGGAGTTGGTGAGCTCCTCGCCAGTTCCCTTCTGAAGGCGTAACATATCTGACGTTGTACAAGGCTCATCTCGTCAGCGGCAGCAAACATTCGTTTTACTTCACCGTTGATCCAACCTTTTCACCATGGAGAGACACAATTTCGGATACGGGTATCCGTATCCCTCCGCAGATCGTGACTCTACTCCTCGCTATGTTCCTCGAGCAGGGTCCACGTCCGTGACGTCTTCCACTTCTTGGCAGTCCAGCTCTGGCGGCAGCAACGATAGCGGCTATACCTATTCTTCGGAATCTTCTGGACAATACAACAGTTATCGCATGCCCGACAGCTACTCTGTATCGACTGCTCCGTCGAGCTTCACGGCGCTGAGTACTATGCAGCAGCAATTCAATGGGCAAACGACAACCATATCAAGCCCACGCCGGCTTGGTTGTGAATTCAAAGCCTGGACGGGCTGTCAGCGGTCGTTCGGACTTGAAGAGGACGAAATTGGCCAGTGGATACGTCATGTTGAGGATGACCATCTTGGGCGAAACTACCCAAGTCGTTGTATTTGCTGGTTCTGCGATGATGTCGAATTCCGCACCGAACTGCCCCATGATCCCGGCATGAACTTCGAGTACAGGATGAAGCACATCGCAGACCACGTCTTGGAAGGATTCCATTTCGATATCAGGAGACCCGACTTCCATTTCATTGACCATGTGTACAGCATAGGACTGATATCGCCCGAGGCATTCGCGCTAGCCAAGGGGCAGAGTGAGGGGCCGGCAGCACCAGCGGGTGTGCATCCGTCAGGCTTCAGACCAGCGGCGCGACAATCAAGGCCCGAAGCAGTGGTGTACGTGTCGAACAGTAGTCGGCGACGACAGAGAGATACCCGTCGTCATGCCTAAGAGGTATGTCGAACGTCTGGTGGCCAGCGTCGTTGTTCCGGGATGTGGGTAGGTGCGCTTGCTTGGATCTCGGAGCGGGCCGGTGTCGATCACTGAGCAAGGGGAGCCGGCAGTCTCCCGATTTGTCTGTCTTTGGAGGCGTTGGTGCGAACCACAGTTCATCTGGTTTCCTTTCGGTTAATAAGCTTTTCCATTCCTCATCATCTCGTCACGCTGCACAAGGCACTTCGTGCACCTCGGACGAAGGCAGTTGCAGAGGCCCTCGGGCCTGCCTGCCTGTCTGACTGTCCCCCATGATGAATGCTCAGTCTTGTATACCTAGAGCCTGAAGACCTCCGCGAGGCCGCAGAGGAGGACGCGTGCATCAAGGCAAGGCACAGGCTAGGTGTAAGGCTGACTGGTGGTGATCCCGAGCGATGGTCGAGAGCCAGGTCGAGAGCGAAGTCGAGCAGCAGGGGACTCCCTCGGTGTTCTGGAGGAGATGACCCCTCTTCCGGTGTGCCGAGGGCCACGAGGGTCCGAATTCGCGATGGCCACGCTTTCCTTTGTGAGATGCTTGGTACAAGTTTGGGCGAGTAAGTTATGGGTTCAGGACGTTTTTGTTTCGCGTGAAATTGGAGGACATGCGTCGTTCGTTGGGGGGAGGATCATGTGCTTCCCTGGTAGGCAACAACGTGCACAAGGAGCTTTCTCTATCGCATTCACTGCAGGGGTTTCTCTTTCCGGCTTCGTCTATGCTTTTGGTTTCAAATGGGGAAAGAAGGAAGGTGGCCGCTCTCCACTTTGGTCAGCGCAACCTCAGATGATAACAGACATACATAGGAACCAGACCTTCCATAGCACAACGTTGGCGACAATAAGTTTATGATGAATATTTGGCATTACTGTGCTCCAGGTTTTCTTGACTGCTCAGGCCTCAGGCTTGAGTAAGAGGTGTCCACGCGTCACTTTATGTGTTGTGTCGGTTTGCCCAACACTCCCGATCACTTCGCCTTGCTGTGAATCTTTCGCCAGGAGCCAATTATCGCTGCAGCTAGATTTTCGATGGAGTCTCCCCCCAATAGGCTTACTCCCATCCAAAAGAGGGCTGTGACGAGATGCGTGGCTCCCGACCTTTTTTCCCAGCCACTGACTTACACGCTGCGCATGCACAGCCTCATTCGGCCCGCGCGGACGTCAAGTCCAGCTGAGCGACGAGAACTCAGACACGAGGATATTGGTCCGGCGTCTCCGCTCAGGTAGTATCACCGTTGGCGTCGTAGAATGGGAATGTGATGTGAAAGAAGAAAAAATGTGACCGTTGAGCATGTCACAGAGCATGTATTATGCAGGGTCATCCGGGGTATTCGCCCTGTGAAATCCCAGAGCTGCTGTTGTTAGGCCTCGCTTTCGGGATTGGTTGGCATGTTAAAGTTGCCGTCTATTCCCAACAAGGAGAGGAGGAGCACTGGCGGATGCATGTCTCGCACGCGTCAATTGTGGCACAATGTGCTTCTTGCTTGGCGAGATATTGTGTTCTCGAGACTGGGTCCTCACGAACTATATATAACAAAAGGGAGGCTTCAACCCACGAGGTCGTCATTTCGAATCTCTTTCATGCCGAAACGCCCTCGTGCGAAATGCCTCTTTCGCGCCAATTACCCTTCATCATGTCTCATTCACCCTCAGTGGAACTCGGCGTCGACACGGCCATACCTGACGCCGTCCACCTTCAGCTCAAATCCCAGACCAGCACTGTCGACAATCATCTCCAGTGTAAAGTCAAGATTGTCAAACTCCACGCCTCGTGTTGTTGTTAACCTTGTGAACAAGCTTCGTGGCACTGCTGCAAGATCTGTTGTGAGTGTGCATACGTGTATGAGGTCACGAGTGTATGCTGAGGGCGGTTCGTCTGCTTCACATGCAATTAGATCGTCTGTCACCGTAAGGGACTGCCCAGGGCGGAAGTTTCGAGTATAGTGGAATGCGATAGGCTCCTGAGGTGATATTGCCTCGCCCTGCAATCGCATGTCGGTCAGTCGTCGTCCCCTCGGAGGTATGCTAACACATAGCAATAGAGTTCAGACTCACCTTCGCAATGTGCCACTGCATGCGGTCCGACACCATCCACCGCTCCCACAGTGGTGACCAGTACCGCTCGCTGACCGAGTGTTTCTCTTCGTCGTACACGGTTGCGTATGATGTGCCGTAGTGGTACCGGGCTTTCCTCGATATCACCATGTTGCCCTCGAGTCCTCGCAGAACTGCTCCACGCACAACAGCCGTCCAGGCATACACAGGCTGCATCACTTCGATGGACGCAGTCTCTTGCAGTGTGGTCATGGTTCCATGAGTCGGCCGTTCGGTGTAAGGTGGTGGTGCCGCGCTGTTGAAATGCGACTTCAGTCTCCGGTAGAGGTAGTCGCTCTGGCCGAACCCTCCGACTAACACGATCCCAGACACGACGCCGCCCGCTTGGCGAATCCCATCTACCTGGCCCTGGACAAGATCGCAGACCTCTTTGACTACGGGCTCAAATATTTCTTTGATCTCGGCGGCCGTCATGATCATAAATCCGCAGTCCAACCCGGCCTCTTCGTCGTCTGGTAACCCAGGGAATCTTGGCCAAGTTAGGATATTCCCCTTTGCGAGTGTGAGAAGTAAACTTACGGTACGTTGACCTCTTGGTGCTCATCTTCGTTGAAGTTCCGCTTCACAAACTCTTCGAAATATCTGAGGCCCATCTGCCATGTTTTCTGTTTCTTGTGCATCATTTCGTCAAACCGGGTATGACCGAGCTTGTTCTTCACGTGCTCTTCGAATCTGTAGTTTAGGAATGCACTTCCGCAAAGACCGCCGGTTCCCACGGCAGACTCTTCGACCTTGAGCGGCTTGAGTGAAATAATTTTGTAGGCGATCAGACTACGGTCGTCAGCAATGTTTGCGTGTACTCGTCCGCGCAAGACTTACTCGACAGTTCCGCCACCAGCATCACAGACAATGAAGTTGTCGCCAACGTTTAGGTGGTTTGGTTGGATGGCCTTCAGCGTGTAGACAGCCGCGGCTTCGGGTTCGCTGATCATTTGGATCTCCGACATGGACCCCATGCCGGCTCGTTCGGCGGCTTGCAAAGTCGTGTTCTTCGCCGCGTCTGACCACACCGCTGGACAGGTCAGGACGAACTCGACCTTGGTGGACGCCATGAAGGATTCGCCGTATCTTCGAGTCAGGGTGTCTATTGTGTGCTTGTAGACTTGTGTGAGATAGTCGCTAACGGCATCAAGGACGTTCTTGTTGTAGCGTTTTAGCTGCGCCGCCGTTTCCAATGGGCTCACGTAGAAAGGTAACTTCTGTGAGCGGTCAAGGAATAGTTTGATACACCGAAGGCGGGATTCCTCTGGCTTGAACTGGAAGCCCCATTTCACATTAGGTTTTGTGCCTTCGGGGGCATTCTGAGGAAAGTCATAGCTGATCTCGGTGGGCACCTTGTCCGAGGTGATGCCATTGCCGCCGGGCCATGTCTTGATGATTTCGACATCGTCTGGTGTTGACGTGTAGACGGCGGCGACGCTGAGCTGAAGTCAGCCAAAGTGACTAGGGTCAGGCACGACTGCCAGTGCAATGATGGTGTGGGTAGATGACCGCGAATGAGAGGAAGCATCACGAAAGCGAAGGGTGCAAATAAAGAAGAAGACATCTCATGAACATCATGACGGGCGTCGAGGCGTGTGCGACTCACCCTGAGAAAGTGGTTCCAAAATCGACGCCTACAATCAGTCGATCGGCCGGGCCGAACAGCTCACGTGGAGGAGCCTGTCGTTGCGGAGGGCCATTGACGGCTTCGGTGGAGGAGTTGGGCGTGAAGCTGGTGAAGTAGCTGCTCCGGCTCGCTTGGTTCCGTAGACTGCTCGAGGCCGGCCGGAGGGGAAGATTGAAGCTCATGGCGGCAGTACCAGATCTGGATATCTGCTCACACCCATAATCCGCACAACGGGACCAGCGGCAGAGACAAGGCGAGCGGGACAAGCCCTCGCATGCGACCCTTGGCGAACCGGCTGGAAAGATGGATCAAGGCGATACGTCGACGTTTCGTGATGTTGCGCAAAAAGCAAGAGTGCAGATCGTCTCTTCAGAACAGCAAGGCTACGGGACCATGATCGTGGGGGGAAGACGGTGGAGGAGGGGTTCGGTGGGAGGTGGGCGGTTTGGTGGCAGAAAAAAAGGAGGGAAAAGTGACAAGTTGAAGACGGCTTCGGGCCTGGAGCAAAGAGCAACGGCAACCGCCGACGATGACGACAAGTAACGACAGAAGGTCGGTTTCGACAGATACGAAGTCGGCTTGAGCCACGTCTGAAGTTTGGAAACGCGGTTTGGTGAGTAGAGTATTCTGCTGCCTAACGGATTTCCTGGTTTCCTTGGGATGAAGGAATGATGGCAGAAGACAGCGCTGGCTGGTCGAGCGTGTGAGCGTGTACCAGCAATGTACCCTGACGCTGCCAGGTGGTTGTTGGTGGTGGTGGTGGTGGTGAACCGTAGGAGGGGACGTCGGAGCGTCAGGCAGAGCAGCAGCAGCGCGGGAGGAGCCAGTACTGGTTCGCGACAGGGCAGGACACGGAACAGGCAGGCAAACACTGCCCCACGTCTCTACTAGTGTACCTTACCTCACGCCGCCTGTTAAGAGTTGGGTTGAGTTCCTACCTAGGCTGAAGGGCGAGTGCTTCCTTCCTGCTGGCTGGGCTGTGAGTGTTTGAAGGCTGGAGCTGGTGCGCCTGAGGTAGAGGCTACTTGCTGTATCCGTACTGGCGCTGCGCTGATGAGGCGCAGGGCGAGCAGGGAAGGTTGGGGAAGGTCACTTGGACAAAGTACCGTGCCGATAAATGGCTGAGGTAAGCCACCACCAATTGGCCGATGATGCTCTTCACTGCAGGTGAGTGAGATGTGAGATGCAGCGCTGCAACCTGACTGGGCTGGACAGGAGGGGAGGGGAACATGCATCATCACGTGATGCCGCCGACTACAACAAGAAGGCACCTTCGGCCGGCAAACAACCTACGCTCGACTCGCCCGGCGGCCGGGAAATCTCCCTAGGCGCATTCTTGGCATGTCTCGCTTGCAAAAGGGCCAAAGTACCTATCGTCGTCACTCATCACCTCAAAATGCCCGGGCGCAGGAGTTTTCCAGCATCTCGTCCGTCTTTAAATATCGCAGAACGCGTAGCCCATGACGAGCAACAGTCTCGTATTCCCATGCCAAGACACGCTGGAGTACACTGACAGCTGTCGCTCCCTCGACAGTGCGCCGATTGCGTCCTCGTACAGACGCACGAAGGAAGAGGAGCCTATACGGTGGAGCTGCTTCGAAGCTCGGGCTTCAATGCCGAAAGACACGGGGCCGACGCCTTAGCAAGCAATCGCTCACCCACCGGGCAGCTCCATCGAGTGGTTCAGTCACGTAACACCGGTGGAGCAGAAAGACTCGTCTTGCCAAGGACTCACCCGTCACCACCAACATCGCAAATTTCAATCGTCTGTCTACGCAAGCGGCTAACGTGGCAGAAGGAGCAGTTGCCATTGATCTTCATCTGGTTGTCCAAGCGAACTTGCCCAGAACGGCCAATCATCAAAGCCCTATCGTAACAAGTATCCACCAGTCAACGGCTATCAACCCAAAAAAAGAAGAGTTTTGCTATTCGGGCAGTGTCAGTTAGCTAGCTATCTGGGAAGTGTCCCCTGTAATTCGTGATTATAGAGAGAACGATAGAAGTCGTGATAGGGATAACGACGACGACGACAATAATAACGACGACGATAATAATAATAGACGATTGTAATAGATAATAATAACGATAAAAGCGAGAATAAAAAAATAGTCGCCTTAGAAATAGGCTACGGATTTACGTGTGTGTGAACACTGCCCGGACAGCCAAATAACACTGCCCGAATAGAAAACCAAAAAAGAATTTGCGACTAGGAGGAATCGAACTTCCATCTGCTCGGAACCAGTTGAGAGGCCACAACGAGCTATTCTAACCGTTAAACTACAGTCGCTTTTCGATGTTGAGGCTGCTCCGTAATGTGGGGTATGGACTTCCCGACTCAGGGCATGGAAGTGGACAACCCACATCCAGGGCTCAGATGGGTCTCGCTAGCTTTAATCCTGCAGTAAAAGACCAAGTGGGACTTTGCCCGGTAGAAGTGCTAAACTGGCTAAGGTTGAATAGACTTCCGGCGAATAGTGTCAATGAAGTGACTGATCCGTTGGATGTCTGGATGTCTAGTGTCTAGGTCCTACTGACTGCAGCTGGCTTGTCTGCCTAGAGGGCACTGACTAGCAACCCCGGGCAGAACAGACGCCGGTATTGTTGTTCAGCAAACTTCCGTGAGACCCATGAGACTGAAGTATCACTGAAGGTAGATCTGCATAGACTTAGTGACCATGGCCCTGCTTGCCTGTCCCAGTTCTCAACGTTCATGGCATCTGACACTTACACGTTGCCATACTTCTCGTCGCCCCCCTGAGTCTCAGTTTCGTCAATCTAATCCGCTCTCTACTTGTCGTCTTAGCCACTACGATCGTGTATTTGCTATGGTTGTTTTCTCTCTGAGCCATACTTACATTCATTTCGTCGGTAAAACCCCGTTCTTCCTTAATGTAAACATACTGTCTATGCCTCGCTGTCTTCGATGTATTTGCTTCACTTGCCCTGAAAGTAAACATGAACACAGTAAAGGTTGAACAGCATGCACCTCAAGGGACCTACTGAAGAACTGTAGAAAGCCGATTACTCCTCCTAGCATCTCTTGAGTTGAAAATTCGAGGCCCAGCGATGACCCAGCAAAGCGTAGTCTGGGCCTCACATACAACAAGCTCGTTCTCGTCTTCCCGCCTAGCTGCAAGGTCCCGAGGGGTTGAAATTGCAGGCCGGGACGAATCATGTGCTACTAGCCGTTCGTAGTGCAACCTCAATCTCGAGGCAGTTATCCGTATGTCGGCTGGAAATCGCGACATATCCTTTCACGCACACACAAGAAGTGGGTGTTGCAAAAAAGCTGCTCGCATGTACCTGGCCGGTGTATCTGTGATGTACATTCATCCAGACCCGTTACATGTCAAGATGGCTAAATGGAACCAAATCCAACCCATCTGAACCCCGAAATGCTCAATCATCTTGTCGTTATGGTCCTCCCTGAACTGTCAAGTGGCTTGCCCGAGCGTTCTCACAGCCTGGACACAAGGAGAGAAGATCAAACAAGCCACCCGTCAAGAAAAGAAAAGAAAAGAAAAGAAGCATGAAAGCAAGCGAATCCTCGGTATTTAAACGCAAAGTCGTGACCAAAGACAGTCTCGATCCGAGCCGAACTAATCAAGTCCTCCAACACAACACAGTTGACGCGAAATCCAAGACAGCCTCACGACATCTCACGCTTCCTTTTCCATCACCCGCCAGAAGAAAGCATCTTCGGTTTGACCACAACCAACTACATCATCATCCTCCTCCAGAATAAGAACTAAACCGCCGTCTCGCAGCCCACCTCACATACACCAAGTCTCAAGCTGCTCGACAAATCGACACAACAAACCCACCCGGTTCAAACGTTCAATCAAAAGCAAACTCCTCTTCTCCCGAAAACACAACCCTATTCTTTCCGAGAGACATTCCCGCCAAAAAGCAAGAGACATCTCGGAACCACCCGCGGAAGGAGGCTGAGACCCCTCTCAGCCACAAGGACTTCCCACCGATCCCACCCCCCCTTCCTCCGTGTCCGCCTCACCTTCAGCATCAACGACTACATCATACCAAAGACCCAATCACCCTTTTCAAAAACTCCACAATGATCGTTTTCCGTCATCCCAACGCAGAAGAAACCTCCCGTTTCTTCTCTCATTCTCAATCCTGTTCGTGGGGCCATCTGAACCAACACAGCCACGCCCGCCCGTCGCCCGAAGTCTCCATCCTCCGGCCCCCAAAACCGGCCGCAGCAAACCTGGCCCGCCCGCCCGATCCTCCCGCCCCGTTCGTTTCCTTCGCCACGTTACAACACAGCTACCTACAGCTACACAAATCCTCCTGCATCCCGCGCGCGCTCCCACATGCAAGGACCACGCAGCACTCTAAATCCAGCGTCTAATTTCGTCTGAACCATGCCCTCAGCTTCATGCAGGCACCCGGTGGTCGGCGCTGACAATCTCTCAGCGGCCATCCCAGTATTGTGATTAAGCTTCACATCATGATTGCAAAAGAGAGGAAACGGTATATGGGGGTCATGACAGTGGATAATCTCTTGGATGCCACCTATTATGTAAATAAGTTTGCGAGACTTTGAAAATCGTCCGCCTACATACAGTCCTGTCCTTCTGACTAGGTTCTTTTTGTTTTCCCCCGCCTCATCCGCGAAACCAAATAATAAAGAGCGTTTTCCAAGCAGCGAACCGCTGCTGGACTCAATACCGCCGTAAGTAGCTATAGACAGATACCCTAGTGTATACCATTTGCGTGGGGTATGCCCCTTGCGGTCCGCGTATGTGAGAAATATCCGTCAGGGCAATCTTTGGCCACATGGCTTTCCTTTCCCCGAATCTTCTGACGTGTCCAGCCCGCAGAGAATCTAGAAAATATCGTGCCTTTGTTTGCTTCCCTTAAAACAGAGAAAGATGTGTGACCATTGTTGTATTCCCTAACCACATGTTTTCCCTCCTAATCCCTTGGACCGTATTCTCTTTGTTGTACCAGATTGGGAGACTGCCACTCCTTGCCCGCGTGAGCCCTTGAAAACAAAAGAAATGTTGTCTTTGGTCGAGAGCGCCATCGGCTGCCCCGCCAGTCTATAGTATCGGGTATTTCGAAACAGATGAGTTGATAAACAGCAGAAGGAAATTGTGATGTGCGCGATAGCGAACGCAATGCCGCCTTGTGGTATCGAAGATATCGTAGAATAATCGAAATGCCACCCTGCTCCCAAACATTTGGGTGAAAGAAAATCGAAATCCGGTGTGAACATCGTCTTCGTCTGATGACGAGACTGATACGCCGGCCAACGCCAAACACCAGGCCCATGCATGTGAATACACAAGAAACTTTTGAGATGAAATCCCCGCGGCCCTCTCAGAAAGCCTGCCAGTTGTCACCTAAAATCGGTTGCTGGCAGCCCAGATGCTTGCCGATGCCGAAGCAGCCCATTCGCTTTCCTCATACGGAGGCGTGGGCCACTTGTACTGGCTCTCAGCGCCGTGTGACTTCTTCAGGTCCAGTGGTTTGGGGGTGACTGCCTCGTGGTTCTCACCGAAGAGAACGCCGTTGCCGTTGGCTGAAGGTGACGGAGTGGGGTACGGGTTTGCCATCGCGAGGTTGTTGGCCATGTGTGGCTTTCCGTCCTTCTCGAGGCGCTTCATGGCTCGGTGTGTTGAGTTCAGAACCTCGTCCAGCAACTCGTCCTCCTCATCGGGCGCGTCGTAGTGCTGGACGCCTTGAACCGCCTGTGACCTGCGCGTGCGACTGGAGATGGGGCCGGTTCCACGAGCAGCACCCATGAGGTTGTCCACAGAGCGCGGCTGGTGCTGCGGCAGTGAGTGGTGCCTCTTCAGGGTGCTGTTGGGAGTGATCAGGTGTGCAGGGGGAACGGGCGCGTGGTCGCGGTTTTGCTGAACCTCTCTCAAAGCCTTGTCGAGCGGCTCGTAGATTTCGGCGGGCTTCGGCGGGGGAGTGGGCGTGTTGTCAATCACCATGGATGACCTGTTGCTGTTCCAGGGACCACAGCCGGCTTGAGCCTCGACATCATCGGAGTTCGGAGACATGGGGGCCTGGTGACGACCAGAAAAGCGGCGGGCACGTTTCCTGAGGTGGGAGAAGAAGCTCTCCTTATGGCCGTTGGGGGGTGAGGCGAGACCGCCGTTGCCGTTCAGGGCGCGCTCAGCTTGCTGACGGTGGATTTCGGCGTAATGGTTAGTGCTGGACGCAACCGACAACTGCCTGCCAATCTTCTTCTTCTCCTCAGCCTGGAGGTGGCGTTGGTTGCCGTTGGCGTACGAGTCGTTGTATCCGTTGCTGGCCTGGGCAGTAACGGCATCGGAGAGAGGGGAGATCGGGCGGATCGTGGGCAGTATCGGCATGGGGGCAACGTTCGACGGGCCATTTGTCCAGGTCGTGCGCTTGGACTGAGCAGGGCGGGTCTTGGCAACGGGAACTTCGTTGGTTGTCTGCGAGGGTACGGGGGAGGGTCTCGGGGTTGAGTCCTTGGAAACCGTTTGAGCGACGGCAACTTCTGCACTCTCTGAGCGACCGATGAGCGACTTTCTGAACCACGACGGCTTAGAAGCCGTGGGAGTCGACGAGTTCGAGTCCTTGCCGCGGCTGATGTCGGATTGCTTGCGACCGAGGATTCTCGAGGCGGATGACTTGGGCCGCAGAGGGTCAACGGCGTCAACGAAGTACTCGTGGGCAATGGCCTGTGTTGATGTCGGGCGCGTCTTGGGATCCCACATCAAGCACCACGTAACGAAATGGCTCAGGGAAGCAGGCCACTGCGGCGCCTGCAAGATCGTGTCCATGGCGTGGGGTGCCATCTTAGGGAATGAGAAACCCAACTTGCCGGCCAGTCTGGTACCTTCTCTCCACTCACCGCCGCCGACACGAGCTCCCTGCTTGTTGTACCAGTTTCCGGGGCTACCCATAATTTCACACACTCTCCAAACCTGATCGACTTCGTTACCACCAGGGAAGAGAGGCTTCAATGTGGCGATCTCAACGGCCATGGCGCCGACTGCCCAAATGTCGACGGGTGCCGAGTACTCGCCGGCACGCAGGAGCACTTCGGGGGCACGGTACCATCTCGTCGAAACGTACGTCGTGTAGGGCAGCTTGGAGTGGGTTTCGCGGGCAAGACCAAAGTCGGCAATCTTGACGGTGTAGTTCGGGGGAGTGGAGGGAGGCGTGACGAGGGCGGAATACCTGCGGAAGGAACCGACGGTGTCTTGGTGAGAAGAAGTGGACACCAGAATGTTCTCGGGCTTGATGTCGCGATGGAAAAAGTGGTGGGCGTGGATGTGCTCAAGACCCTGCATAATCTGGAAAAGAATGCTCTTGACACTGGCGTTGTCGAGACACTTGTGGTCGCGAGCCTTCATCAATTGGTACAGGTTACCCTCCATGTACTCCATGGCAATGTGCAGCTTCTTGCTGTAAGGGTCGAGGAAAATGTCAAGTGCGGGAACAAGGTGAGCGTGGTGAGGAAGGGTCTTCAAGAAGACGACCTCACGAAGCTCTAAGCATGGGGTGAAAGACTCGAAGGTCTTCTTCATGGTTTTGATGGCGACCTAGAAATGCAATCGTTACCATGTGTGCTGCAAGAACGAAGATCCATCTGCAGGTACTTACCACCGTACCGCGACGAGCCACGCTAGCACCTGCGCTACGGACTCTGGCGAGAACGACGCTGCCAAAACTACCATCGCCAATCTCCTTGAGAACCTCAAATCGATCTTCGAGAGCCATGTTGTTGGCAGAATGAGATGACGACCCTCGATGGGTCAAATCGTGTGCGACCGTCATTTTGTCTGTGTGCGTGGGGGGATATGATCGTTGAGTCCAGTCAAGATCCTCGTGATGACGGTGTTTCTGAGGCGAGTCAGCTGGTCAAGGCCGCTTCGTAGGCGTCTTGCCCTAGACCGTACCAATGCTGTGCCTGCTTAGGAGGAGCTCTGTGCAAGAGCAAGATGCGAGTTCTGTAGCATTCAGACCGGTCTGATTTTCGAGTCGATGTTGTATGGTATGTTGTTGTATGTAGAGTTGTTGGTGGTGGAGGTGGATTGTTGTAGATGTTGTAAAGTAAGGAAATGGTATGCGAGTGTTGTTTGTGGGTGATGGTTGGAACCGTAGAAGTTGGATATAGAAAAGGCGCGAAAAGAAGTGACTGGGATAAACCAAGAGAGCGAAACCAGATGAAGGAGAGGAGACTCGAGAGGGACGAGCAAAGTCAGGAGGTGGTCGATATTATTAAAAGGGCCAGGTAAGGGTCCAGGGGTGGGAATGGAGCTAGAACCAGTCGATCGGGGATGGATCCTCAGGCGTGGATGTTCAGAGGGTACGATATTCTTGGAGGCGTGGGTCGAGATTGCGATGATGAGGAAGCGACCCTAGGAGAGGAGGGATTGGCGACGGGGACAAGGTCGACGTCGTTTCCTTGCACTGTTGGTTGTCCTTGGGGAGCGCGGTATCCGTATGCTTGATGTCGAGATTGAAATTGAGATTGAGCATGAAGGCAGGAGCGAGATGTTGTATGTGCGATGTGCTTGGGTGCATACACTGCCGGTGCAGGTGCTGGTGCATGTACCTGGTTATGGAGACGCAGTCCGACCAGAGCGTTAGGCGACGGGTGATGCTTGCACTAAGGTATCCGTCTTTTGGCGGGGAGCAGCTGTGTCGCAAAAGAGCGTTAATAAAAAAAAAATTGAGGGTAGACCAGGAGGGGCAGGTTCAAGGAAAGAGAGTGTGCGAGAGGGGAGGAGCGAAGCGAGAAGGGAGAGGGCGGGCGAAGGAGGCCGTGAGAGCAAGTGAGAGGCAGACCAGCAGAGAGGACTGGGATGGGGATGGGCGGCGATGGGTACGGGTGTGTGCTTGGAGAGCGGCGAGCCAGAGAGAAGAGAGGCCGGGAGTGAGAGAGACGAAGGACAGCGAGAGATGGAAACCCACTTACGATCCAGCGAGAGTGATTCACCATGGGCCGCGTCGGGATGGGCGAAGGACGAGGGCCTGAAGCGAGGGCGAGGGAGGGCAATGAGAGAAAGACAGGTCGATTGATTGACTGAACGGTTGATAAAATGGAGCGAGGAGCCGGCCACTATGCCATCGACGACTCGAAGGTGACCGGGGCCCGTTCTTAGCATGAATGAATGAATCGGGGGGGGTGAGAAAACCAGAGAGGAAGCGTAGGGGAAGGGACGGAGCTGTCGTCGATAGGGGCCCAATTTCGCTAATGATCCCGGGGGGGCGGGCAGTCGTGCTTTTTTTTTTTTTCTCTTCCTGCCCTCCTTCTCTCCTGTCCGTCTCTGCCCTTTTACTTTGGCGGGCGAGGGCCAATTTGCGCTGGGGGTGGGTGGATGGTGGGCAAGTCTTGTCCAGGGGAGGGGGGCGTGGTCTGGGTGTCTGGTCTAGGAGTCTGGGACCTGGCAAGCCTGCGAGACAAGGGTCAGGATGTCTGGAAAGTGAAGTGACTGCGAGAGAGTGAGAGACTGAGAAGGTGTGTGTATGTGCGCGCGCGTGTTCCAGAGAGAGGTACCTTTTTCCCTTGCCGGTGCTGCGAGGTACAAGCGCTCACTGTGAGAGTCTGTAAGTACCTTTTTTCCGTGTGTAAGTCTTGCACAGCGTCGCAGACAGAACAAGAAATAAAAATAAGATAAAAACGATTATGGTGGGATGCAGGGCCGACCTTGGTAAGATTACCCAGGTATGTTCGGACGTTGGTTCAGGCGTCTGTCTTCCCGCCCGCCGTGTGTAGTGTGAGTTCGATGTGGTGTGCAATGGCGTACTACGCGTAGTGCAGCTCGTTCGGTTTTGCTAATGCAAATTTCAACAGGAACAAGTTCAAAGTTTGGGGATCGCTGAGGCATAGATTGGCTTTATTGAATTATAATCCTGCTGGTTTCCCGCCGTCAGCGAGCTGTCTGTTGTGTCTGTTCCTTCGTCTCCGACATAGCGACACTCATCGTGCCCACTCCCGCACCTCTCTGTTCCTCTTGATTGACGGACGGTTGGACGGGACGACGAGGGTGCTCATGCATTTGCAGCTCCTCTCCCCAAGTCCAGTCCAATCCAATTTGATGAGACGTGACTTGATGGGGCGGCGTCGCTGCTTGATGAACTGGCACAACCCGACTGAGTATCGACGTCCGGGGCGGTCGGCAGTGATGGCCCAGAAACGCTGCCTCGACTGCCCGAAAGAGCTTGGTCTGCGTCCCCATCAGTCACTCGCCCAGAGATCATGTACCTGTTCAAGGCACCATGCAATGTGCTGTACGGATACTGCGTTGCCATCGACATGGGATAACGCGTTGCAGATTGCAACGCGCAGCACCAGTAGCTTCATCGGCAACATCAGCAAAAATTAAAGACCGCGCCAGGCAGTGCGCTGCGGATGCGCAGGCACAGCGCAGCAGGCGGTGGCAACCGGTCTTTCTGTCAGCATCATCAACAACATCAAAACAGAACTGCATCAACACTAGAGGAAGGAATGACATGATGCACCGCCAAAAGACTCGGTCCGTCAGCCCAGGCGAGGGGAACGAACGGACCGCGGGTCACGACGCGACTAGGGACCGGGGGGGCACGAGCTGTTGACGCCGTTGGACGAGGCTTCTGACCGGCGTGCTGGGATTAATTCGCAAGCTGGGATTGGTGTATATTTGGGCGAGGTGCGTGCAAGAAAATGTGCGCAGCAATGCGTGCTGTGTTGTCTCTTGTGTTGACTTGTGTTTGGCCGGCCGTGATATGCCAACACAACAGCCGACAGGGAAAGTGCAAGCTGAACCAATGTATTCATCTGGCCCTTATCCGCACCGCTGTTTACCGCGTACCTCGCCACAAATACTGCCTTGCAGACACCCGACACCGTTCCTGACGGTTCGCACAGGGCATGACGGAGTACCCTCTGGAGAGGGACCCCGTCCAGGGAATCCTGCAGCCCTATTCGAGGAGCTTTGCTGGAGACCAGCCGGGACGGGGGTTGTCGCCTGGTGAATGATGCGCTCCAGGAAACGGCTGGTATTTTGTGCGTAGGTACTCCGTACGGATCGCTGCTTACGATTATGCCTCGTCGTGACATGCCCTGTCAATACTGATGATGTTGCGTCTGGGGCTGGCATACGTACGCCGTCTGTCCGTCCCTTTTGATTGACGGGTATGTGAGGAGACCCTTGAGAACTTAGCAACGTCCGAGGCAGGGGACCAGGAGGAGAACAATGCTGCCGAGCACAAAGTGACGGGCCACTGGGATGTAGCAGGCACGAAGGCCATCCAGCCTTACCGTGGGAGACGAGACGACGCAGTTTCCATGCCGTCTGTGAGCAGGCCGGCTCTGCGAGCAGAAACCAGCCAGAGGCAGCCCTGAGTCCTGCAGAAAGGCTGTCAGTGTCAGGTTGGCCGCTGTTCAGCGCATAAAGCCCCGTTTCCACCTCACACAATACGAAGGCCAGGAGAAAAGGGGGACCTGGCCTGGTGCAGTGAACTTGCTGCTCATCACCAATGCGCTGGGCCGGGGAGTCGCTGACGGCGGGAATGATCAGAGGGGTCCCGTCCGAATTCCAGCACGGTCGTGGATCGAAAAGTCGGCCAGTGTCAATGTGCACCTCCCCTCCCGACGTTTCCATCCCCCAAATTGTCATATCAAGCCATGGGACTGAGCCAAGTGAGTGTTTCTGGTGATTGATGTTCGCAGCATCGCAATCACATCAACGAAGGCCAGAAAGATTGGGAAAAGGGGGTCGAACACTCGGGGAAGGTGGAAAGTGGATGCAGCTCATGTCCGTCCGTTTGGTGCTGGGTAGGGTCGGCGCGTTCTCCATCCTGATGTGACTTCAGGCAATCAACCATTCGTTCATGTCGTGTCTTTTGCTTGTTCCATTGGTACGTACTGCTTCATCTTGGAAGCACGCGGCGTTGACGCGACCAAGCCGCGCTCAGGGCTCAGGAGCTCAAGAACCAGAGTTGAACTTGAGCTGTTGCAGTTGCAGTTGCAGTTTCCAACCAAGTATTGCGTCGAGAACCTGAGCTACACTAGAGCTGGAAGAGAGTAGCTAGCTTTCTGCCCCCGTATTCCAGAGCCACTGGCGACGAGCTAGAGACACAAGACAGTACGTTCCCCCAGTTACTTTCCCAGTCGGTGCTCACCATTGAGAGGCGGCTGGCACGACGAATGCAAAAGAGGGAAGAAGCAAGGGGATGATGGAAATTGACCACGCCAGCCAGTCGATCAGCCGGGGACCCGGCGCCACTTCAGAGGCCTAAAGCCTGAGGCCAATCAGCCGGAGCCCAACCTTGATGGTGGAGGTCGGGAGCGTGGGACGGTGGAACTGACGCCACAAACTACCAGCGACACCAACTTCTGCCTGGCGGTATAAAGTGCCAGTTTGCTCGCTCGTCTTTGTGCATTCACAGCATGGCATGGCATAACATAGCATGAAGAGGCGACCACAAATCCATGATGGTGTGCCCGCTGGTTTTGAATGTGCGTCTGCAGCCGCCAGAAAACGAGAAACCGTAGAAAACGCCCTTTAAGGCCGTTTATGCCGGGCCCGTGTGCCCGACTAATGGCAGCCTTGCTTGGATGTTCAGGTACCGGAGCACATCTTTCCCATTCGGTACGCAGCGAGGTAGTCGGTACGGGCGGTACCTGGCTACCCTTGCATTGGGGGTGGTAGCTACTCAATGGGCAGCTGCCGCATCAGCACCGTCGGCATCGGTGGATGCTTGGTGCCAGGGCCCAGGGGCAGAGAAGGCGAATGGAAGCATCCGAATGGTGGGGAGTGACATGAAGAGGAGTCGGTCGTCGGCGACCCAGCCTTCGGGGGCCCAGAAGAGACAGAGTACCGTAGCGTCCGTCGCAGAGCCATTGTAGCAGCCGCGATAGCAGCAGGATAACCGCGAAACGAACTTGGTGTTCCCCGTTCACAGTGACGACCGGGACCTGAGATGCTGGCATGGCTGGCGCGGACATGGGAACAAATCTCCTGGTGATGTATCCGCGGGTATTGCAAAGAACGTGGCCTGCGAATCCCATTTCGTCGCCGGGGGAAAACGTGGAAGTCCACCCTACAGGCTGGGACTGGCGCCGCAGTAATCGTGTTAGCGTTTATGGTCGCTCCCGCCGTTTCATGTCCCGCCAGCAGGCCCTAGATTAGACCTCAGACATGCCCGAGATCTCGAATGAACCTGTCCACAGTTTGTCACCTCGGAGGAAAAGAGAAAAAAATCAAAATCAAACGTCCTCAAGACCTTGAAGCGGAGCACATACTTTATTGGTACCCGCTGCTTGTTCTTGCCGTCTCTTTTTCGCAATTCACGTTGCGACGTTGCCTGTGCTGCTGCAACCTTGGCTCGGGGCCTGCGGAACGGCCCTGATGAGCCTTGCCTGGAGGTTTTCACTGGCCGTCGATGGTGAATTGCAGTGAAAGATGACGGTGATGCTGTAGCGTAGGAAGTGGTGCCGGGGAGCGCGTCCGGGTCTGAGCCATGGCAAATCCGCCTCTTGTCTCATCCTACAAGAGGAGCGAGATCAGGTCCGGCTCGTCATGAGGAGCAGATGTGTGAAGATCCGAAGTCCATCGCCGGTGCGGGACGTCACATACTGACATCAGCCGAAACGGTGGTCGCTGAAGGCCTCGGTGAATGGCACCAGCTGGATTCCTACGTCGTCGTCGACAGACGAAAGTCTGAAAAGGTAGCGACTTGCCAGAGGAGTCGCGTCACAGTGGGCACGGGCATTACTGAGGAACAAGACAGTGACAAGAAAAACAGGCCTTACTGCGTAGAACTGGACCCAGGCCCGGTGGCTCCTTCGCACCACATCCCAGGCCAACAAGGGCGTTGATTTGCTGTTGGCGACGCGGAAGGCGGGAGAGCCCAGCATTCCCAGCTGCTTGGTGTTAACTTGATCACCCAGGGACCATGATGAAACACGGCGGGGAGGTTTGCGGGCAGCGGGAGGAGCAGTCAGTCTTCGTACCTGCCTTAGAGCGACGACGATAGACTGGATGATGATGACATGCCATGACGAGGTTACCTTGGTCGGTCGGCAAGTCAGGTCGGATCAAGTCAAAGTTGAGTCAAGGCAGGTGGGCAGGTCGGGTGCCTTCCATCGGGCACACATGATGGAAAGCGCTGCCGAAGGATTCTCACGGTAAGGTCGGTAGCTGCTCTCCCATCTAGCCTGAAGGGGCAATGAGCTGCTGTGGACAACAGCAGCTTCCAAGTTCTTGTGATGTGCCGTGCTGCCAGTCAGTACCTTCCTCCGGGCCTCTGGGCCTGGGAAGGGCAGAGCAGGGATTGGGGAAGGTGCTTCCAAGCTCCTGCCATTTGAGAAGCCACCAACCACGTCCATCGCCTTCCTAGGGAGGTGCGGATACAACGAACGAATATGTGACTTCACCAAGTCCCAAATGTCATTGAAGTTTGAGCCTGATGTCGCACTGTAGCTGTGAAGTCAATCTCGTCTGTCCTCCAATCGAAGTCACAGGCCGCTCGCTTCATATGAGACGACTAGCCTCGCTTTCTTTTCTCCGAATGCCAGACGGCGACATGGACGCCACGAGCCGATGGGAAATCCCCCCGACCACGGGCAAAGGCAGAAACTGTATATGCGGCCGAGGCAACGTGGGAATGGGTTCGCCAAGAAGAGGGTCGACACCCAACCTCAACAACAGCCCTGTGCCGCAGGTGCTGTCGATTCGTCGAATGCTTCGAAGCTCAATCAAGCTCGTCCCGAACACGGGGAGCCGGAACAGAGGATGGAGCTGTTCCCCCTTCCCGCCCCTCGCCTCGCCGCCGTCTCCTCCTTTCGTCCCGCCGGGATTGTAATTTTCTGGAACACGGGGCATTCGTGATGATTTGGGAAATCTCACCGGTGACCATGCCAACCGACGGGGCAGAGATGCAAAGACGGACCTGCTCCCGCTCTCGCTCCCATTTTGACGCGATGACAAAAAGTCCAAACCAGCAGCTTGTCGCAACGTGACAATCAGTGGAGTGGCCCGACCCCGAACGATACACTGCAATCCGCCGCAACCTACCGAGAATTATGATCGATTTTGCCTGGGGCCCATCAGTGGAAGACGTCTGGAACATGTTGTTGCATGCACCTTCTGCAACAGACCCCCGTCTTCCCCCTCTCTGATGCTTCTGCGAGATTTCTAGTCGTCTAGAGCCACAAGACAACCGGGCTTAGAGCTTGGGCTAGCTTGTCGTCTGGCTGGGCTTGACGTTGTTTGGGACGATCTGGCTCCATTCTCGGGTGTTAAGTTGGATACATACTTTATGCCGTGATTTGGCTTGATGTCACTCATATGCCAAGCACAACCTACATGATGGGAATCAGGGTGTCAAGGTGATGGCAGCAACACCAACGACTGTTGAAGCAAGCAGAACCACCCTCCAACCGTGTTGCAGCGCCGTAACGCCCTCTGGCTGCCGCTCGCTGCCTCTCGCTCAAAGCAGCTTGTCCTCTCTCTATCCCAGGGAAATGATGTTTGCTGACCCCCGCCCACCGAATATCCTTTTTCATCCAGTTTCCCCTCCCCCTTCCCCTCACCTAATTCCACGGGTCTTTCCTTAGATTAGGGCCCAAATAGGATCCGGCATCCTTGAAATGGAGCTTTGATGAAGGAAGACGGTGATCGACAAGCCACGAGGGACGTGAACGTTAGACATCACGTCCAACACGCTTCCACTAAGCTGTTTCACGGATCCACTGAATGCATAAGATCTACGATGCACAAATCTCTATCCCAATATCCGAGCATCATTTGTATGGAATTATCCGGGTTCTTTGGCTCAAACGGTTGCTTAGTCTTCTCATGATGCCTTCTTTGATACAGCTGCTTGATAAAATGATACGGAACTTAGGCCTGTTTTGGAGACCTCCTTGCAGGAAAGCCAACAAGTCTTGGATGGCCCTGTTTTGACACAGGTGCTGTCATAAGGGCCTTGCGTTACCTCTCCCGTTATTGGGAGGATGGCATCGCAAGGGCGATGTCTCTGATGTCGCCAGCCTTGCTGAGATATCTAAGCCGTCGTCAGCTTTACTGCCCCTTGCCTCGTTAGTTGCCTCGATGCGACCTCTTTCCTGCGATCTGATGACTCGACCAGTTGATCTGAGACTTGCATACAAGTGGCAGGTCATGACAGCATTTCACCCACACTCTAGCCCTGCCGCTGAGCAAGATGGTGGCTCGGTCCGACACTCTTATCTTTAGAGAACATATGTCACAGGGCCATTCATCTTCAATACCTGCATCAACAGTGCCCCTTTGCTCTTTCGGCCACTAATACATCTTCTTTGCATGGCCGATAACTCCAAAAGTCCTGCTCATGCAGCCATTGGTGGCTGCACCCTCAGACGCAAGTCTTTTCCAGCCTAGCATCGCCGTACCACGTGGCAACCATCACATGGACCTGCCCTTTCCTGCGCGCCCCTCGCAATCGAAGTCCGGAATGCATCGGTCTTTCAGAACTGCAAGTAGCCGGCCGCCAGCCAGCGACCCGGGCCCGATAAGACGGGCTGGCTAATCGATAAGGTTGCTGCGTCTCTTTGTTCGGGACGTTAAGGTAGCTGGGACCCTTAAAGTTTCCGATCGCCAACCGTTTGGGAGCGCCGATAACCGGCCCCATTTTATTTTTTATGTGCGCTTGTCCGTGTGCCGCGCAGGAATTTTCGGCCGTCGCGACGTCTTCTCTCTTGTTTTCCCTTTCCCTCTTGGAGCTGTATCGTTCCCTCGCAAGAGCTTTTCTTCCCAGACAAGCCCTCGCGAGCTCCTTCTCGACCGTCGAAGTGAATCGCAGGCCTCGACGTTTTCGAATTCACCTGTCCGAATCGCCGTCCCCCGCGTTTTCGAGCGAGCAACCCCCAGCGTGGACCCTGTTCCGCTGCTAAAATACCCCGCCATCGGATACCCCGCCGAAGCTATCACGACCACCCGAACTCGACAAAATGTGTGGAATCAGTGGCATTTGCATGGGTCATTATGACCGTGACGACGAAGACGGTTCTTGCGACGCCGCTCAGGACCTCCACGAGTCCCTTTACTATCTGCAGCACCGTCGGTCTCCTCCTTCCTAACCGACTGGCTTTCCCCACGGTCACGAAACTGACATGAGTGGTCGCAATAGGTGGTCAGGATGCGGCAGGAATCGCCGTCTGTTCTGAAGGCGGAAGGATATACTCGTGCAAGGACAACGGAATGGCCTCCAAAGTGTTCAACGACGGCAAGAGAGTCGTCGATCTCCACGGTTGGATGGGAATCTCTCACCTGAGATACCCCACGGCGGGAAGCTCGAGCAAAGCGGAGGCGCAGCCATTGTGAGTTTCCATGAATACGAACGAGGTCAACTATCTCTAACTTCATGCGCCTACAGCTACGTCAACTGTAAGATTGGAAACTACATGAAGTTGCGAACTTTGCTAACCTCACTCGCCAACAGCTCCGTAAATCACTCCCTCCCGATCAATCTGTTTCCCAGTCTCGACTATCCCCCTCTTCACAATGAAAACTCACTCCGGATGCCTCGGGACATCTGCTGACATCAGCAAGGTATGGAATTTGCTTGTCGCACAATGGCAACCTGATCAACGCCGCTGAGCTTCGGTAAGTATTCGCACACTTGATGAAGATGCTGCAGTCATGCTTACGTCTCGAAAGTGAATATCTCGACAAGACGGCGCACCGCCACGTCAACACCAGCTCCGACTCCGAACTCATGCTGTCCATCTTCGCCAACGAACTCAACGAGACCGGAAAGGCCCGTATCAACGAGATTGATCTCTTCAGTGCGCTCGAGCGCACTTACAAGCGCTGCCGCGGCGCATGGGCTGCTGTTGTCATGATTGCCGGCTACGGCATCTGCGGCTTCAGAGATCCCGATGGCATCAGACCTTTGGTGTGGGGCCGCCGGCCCTCTGCTACCCTGGAGGGAGCTTACGATTACATGCTGGCTTCCGAGTCTGTCGCCCTCCGCCAGCTGGGCTTCCGGGACATCACAAACGTCCTGCCAGGCCAGGCCGTCCTCTTCAAGAAGGGGTCGGCCCCTGTGTTGACGCAAATTCAGGAGCCTGCGGGATATACGCCGGATGTCTTTGAATATGTGTAAGTGATTGTGTTTCTGCTTATCCTTGGGGCTTGTTTGCCTCCAGGGCACTGCTGCCCCACCCTGCGGGCTGTGGAAGGAAACCAAGAAGCTGACTCAGTACCAGCTACTTTGCGCGCCCAGACAGCGAGATCGACGGTATCTCTGTTCACAAGTCAAGAGAAAACCAGGGCATCAAGCTGGCAGACAAGATCAAGAGAACGCTTGGTGAAGAGGCCCTGAAGGAAATTGACGTTGTTATTCCTATCCCAGAAACATCAAACACGGCAGCTGCAGCCCTGGCAACAAGGCTTAACAAGCCCTTCTCCAGCGGTTTTGTGAAGAACAGGTATATTCCTCCTTTCCATGTTGAATTCGCAATAGAGTTGGTGCTGACAAGGTCGAATTAGATATGTCTTTAGGTACGTGAACTCACGAACACAGCAATCAAGCATGGGCTGACAAGGGGACAATAAGAACCTTCATTATGCCTGGTCAAAGCGTATGTCATTCATTTTGAGCTGGTGTTGGAAGCAGAACTGACATCCAATAGGTCCGCCAAAAGAGCGTGCGGCGCAAGCTTAGCACTATTGAATCAGAATTCAAGGACAAATGTGTGTTGTTGGTAGATGACAGTATTGTATGTCGAGCGGTCGTCTCCCACTCAAGACAATGCTGATGTTTTGGATCCCCACAGGTGCGAGGAACCACTAGTCAGGAGATTGTCCTCATGGCCCGTGAAGCCGGTGCCAAGAAGGTCATTTTCTCCAGCTCAAGCCCAGAGATTCTGTAAGGCTCAATTGTTGGTGTCGCCAGTTGGAAAACACACTAACAGATTGGACAGGCACGAGCATCTCTACGGCATCGACCTGGCGAGTAAGAAGGACCTTATTGCCCACGGAAAGACCACCGACGAGATCGCAGCGCACATCGGCGCCGACAAGGTCATCTACCAGGACCTCAAGGACCTCATCGCTGCCTGCGCCGAGCTGTCTCCCCGCGATCCCACAACGCAGAACTTCGAAGTCGGTGTCTTCAACGGCTGCTACGTCACCCCCATCCCCGAGGGCTACCTGGAGCATCTCAGCGAACTCCGCAGTGGCAACAAGAAGCGGAAGCATCGGGGACCGCTTGTAGCCAGCAGCGGCCCCACGCTCGACGCCCCCGCGGATGCCCCTGCTGCGAAGGCGGCCAACATCAATGGATTGGCTTCCCGTGCACGCGCTGAGCCGCGGTCTCCTGGAAGGAGCGCAGACATTGGGTACGTTGATTCTTTGCCTCGTTATCGCATTGGTGCATCTCTAACATTGAATGTCAGAATCCACAACGTCGCAGGTGAAGAGGAAAACTAGACAGGAAGATGCTCACGCAGAACCAGTTAAAACAGAGCAGAGATGGTCATTCAACAAAACAAAAAATAGACGAGGCGTTGCGGAAGGTAGGGAATCATCGTTTGCATTATCGCCTCTGAGGAATGAGTCGCTTGGAGTACTATTCCCGCTTGGTCTGGCATCTACGACAGCTGCACACGATCATGTTGCACATAGCCCATAGAGAGTGACGAGAATTGACCATCTCGCGTTGGCTTTCTGCTCCACTTCTTTGTTTCGACTATCAACGTCCCGATAATGGCATGCCAGCAGAGGATGGCCTGCATAAAACAACGGAATATTCGGTTTGATTCATATGTGAAGGCCGCATGGATCCAGGCATGGCCGTAGAAGAGGGTGCCCCACATGAGCATAGGCGTTATGTTATGCGTGAGAAGCACCGGAGGATCCTCACTCTCTTCCTCAGCCAAGTCGGCGCCGCAACGGGCACAACGGTGCAGAACGGTGGTGGAACACATTGGCGCCCAACACTATCGACTAACGGACCAACGCCGTCGCCGTCGAGGATCGCTCGAGATCGGAGCGTTTAGGCCGTCGGTCGACTTCTCTCGTTCCCACTGCTGAACCCAGCGTCGCAAGCCGTGATGTAGCGGCGCACGGCTCTCTCGTCCCGCGATTCATATTTCAGCCTTCATCCCAGGCCGGCCCATGAAGCGGAACCTGCTCCAAAAAGAAAATCATTCAACCGGGGCGCGGGCTTCGAAGGAGAGAGCAGCCAGCCAACCGGCACATCCGCGGTGCAAGCGCATTTGGAATGACAGCCAAAGGTGGGGTTCTTGGGACAGGGAAACGTCTGTGCAGAAATACGGACCGGCAAGATGAGAAGTGAGGGAAGCCAAAAAAGTTATCATCCACCACCCCTGGTGATTCGTGAAGTTGAGTGCATGACAAGGGGACCTGCAAAATGACCAGCGTCGGGGATCTCTGGTGCCCATCTTCCAGCCTTGGCGCAGCGGCACAAGAAAGAAAACAGCAGGAACGGCGGTAGCTCTCCATTTTGACGCCCCCATCGGCTGCTTCGACCTGGTCCGCGGGCCCTTCTGCGTCCGGTCAAGACCAATAAATCACCCAGTCAGGAGGATCTCGTCCAGGGCGGCTGGCCTTCTTGGACGGTTGTTTGGGCGGTCATGGGCATGAGCTTGAGCAAGGGGGGTGCCTACCTAGCAGGTGAGGCGGCATAGGCATGGCGCTGTCCTGTGCTGGGTTCATGGCTGGCGGCGCTATGCAAAGCTCAGGAGCGGCTTTATGCTTCTAGGTAGCCTCTTGGTAGAGGTCCCTTGGGTTTGCCCGCCTGTTCCCCGCGCCTCGAGTAGGGGAAGATATGCCGCCAAATTGCCCATGCGACGCGTGCATCAGCGCCCAAAATGCTGACGGGCAACCGCATGAATTTGCGAAAGTTCAGGCGGGTGAATTTCCAATTCCCCAGATGCACTCGGTGCCGCGTTTTGGACCGTGTTTCCAGGGTCCTCCGGAGGTTAACCACCTTCCATCAACTGAGGTTGTGGCCGCACCATCACGGCGAATTGACACCACCAAATCTTGCCCCTCCTCACCACCCTACCCTGTTCCGCTGAGATACAAACAACCATGCCGTTTGAATATGTTGGGGGCTGGTTTAATATGCCCTGCCGCCTTCGAATATTACCGTTACAAGGGGGGAGTGCTCAGAGCTATGGCCCTCGTTTTCGATTACAACTGGAGGCAAAGGAAGAGGTGGACTCTGGGTCGGTTCTGTTTCCACCCCCTTTTTTCCGTAATGGGGGGACGTGCGTGCGTGCTGCCGGGCTTCTCTGCGTCTCGTGGAAACAGTCAGGGCCCCAATTTGAAGGGTGCGCATGGGCTGCGACGACGCGTAAACGAGTTTTTCTGGAAGCTCTTGGCCGTGCTTCCACGGCCGGGGGTCGATGCGAACCCCTGCCGTCTCAAAGTCCGCTCCCGAGAAGTCTTTTGCTCCGGGCCTCGGGTCTCTCTTCTGGCCCCCGCCTTCCCTTCGAGTCTGACAGCTTGTATCCGCCGCCGCACGCTTCACATGTGTCACTCTAATGCGAGGCATTCTGCACGGCTGTATTTGAGACGGAGGCGAGCCCGGGTTGACACTCCGTTCCTTCGGGTCGGAACTGACAGACACTATCGAGCAGGAGGAGGAGCCTGAAGGATGAGGGGCAGCTCTTTGGCGGCCTGCCGATCTTGGTTTGGCACGAAGACGGACGATGGCAATGGGCAATTTCGGGGTTTGGAAAGAGAATGGCTGGATACCTAAGGATGTGTGATCTCGTGAGAGAGGTGGGTATCTCTTGTTTGCCAAAGATGCATGGGTCTTGATCAGGCTGCTGACTCGGCGGAGATTCACGATGTCGTGCTGCCGTTGCCGCATGCATCTGTGCATATTACATACCTGCCTGCCTTACCTGGGTCTGCGGTCTGCACTGCACGGCCAGAGAGGAACAGAGTTCTGACTATTCCCTCGTTTCTCGTTTTCCCATCTTGTGGCGGATTGCACATGTCAGGACCCCTGAGGCTTCGACGGAGATTTTCCCTCACTGTTCGTGCTGCGGCTTTCCTGCACTGCACCCACCACCCACTTGGACGCTAGACGTTGGGAAAGAATGCTGGTGTGTTTGACAGGGGGAGGGAGGGAATCTTCGCAACCGCGTGCCAGCCATCTCCGAAGGTGTCTGATGGGTGTGGTTCGTTGTCGTGAGTTACCACGAAGTTGGAACCGCCGATCCGGAGCCGCCGTGAGGTCCCGTGTGGGAACATGTTCCCTCATGTTTCTGATCCGCGAGGCTCACTGGGACCCTTTGTAAGTTTTTTCCGGCGGACCACAAGCCGTTTTCCGCGATACCCTCCCAACCCAGCCTGGAATTTGTCTTTTGGGCGCGTGTATCCGCAGCGGCGGCGGCGGCGGCGGCCGTAGGGTAGCATCTGGGATGGAATGTTCCTTTAGCACGTGTTGTCAGCTGTTCAGAGTTCTCGGGGGCCATGTTTCGCGCGCCGGTGTACACGAGATGAGCTGATCTCGTTTCTGAATCGCCCTTCGCCCGTGAGATGGCACTTTGTTGGGAAAAAAAGGGAAATCGGTGATGCAGGTCACTGTCCCCGGTGAGTTCTAGCGTGTGGGGTTTTTTGTCTGCTGTTTCTGAAGATCCTCTCCGGTGAGAAGACCCATGTTGGTGAACCCCCCGGGACGCAGTGGGATTTCTTTATGAAATATTGACTGCATACACCGTCGACTGGACAACGGGTAATCACGCTAAATTTGCAGTGTTGCATAAGGATTGAGTTATTCGGGGGTAGATATGCAGGCAGGCCTGAGCATTCCAGCCCGTTGGTTGTGGGATCCGCCTGTGCATGAGGCTCAAGTGGGCATCGACTACACTATCGTCTCCGGAGATGGCCCTGTTTGTTCCAGAACTAGACGACTAAGACGGGAGTGGCTCACAAGGTCACAGCGTCTTCTTCGCCACGCTTGAGGTTTCGATATGCTCGTCGGGAGCTTGAGGTTGAGACTTGGGCATTTGGTACCAATACCAAAGCGCTCGAGATCAACCACAACGAGATGGTGTCAGACGGCCAGGGAAACGAAACTACCTGTTTTGGTTGTGCTATGGCAGCCATTTTTCTGAAGCTCGGTATTCGTCGTTATCTCTAACGTTGTCGCTATTGCCGTTTCTGTCGTCGTCCTCTGTCGTCGTCGCTATCACCTCTGTTATTGTCACTATCTTTATTGTTGTTATTGTTGCTGCCGTCGTGATCGTTTCTGCCGTTATTGCTATCCCTACTTTTGTCAACTCCCTCAGCCTTAACTTACCTTTGAATATGCGTTTAATACTTATATACTTACATAGAAGTAAGATAGGCAGTCCTTTGGAATAATTGAATCAAGAGTTATATAGAGATACACACAAGGACCAGAACGACATCGGAAGTTGAGAATATACGGCGCCATGAAGATCATGTTACTTCAGAAGTAATGTTCTTGAACAGGTACCCTTACCATCAACAGCAAGCACCATTAGTGGAAGCTGCAAGTACATGCTAGTCTTGCTAGCTCTACAAATGACCTCTGGGTAATGGAACAGACGTTAGCTGCATGTGACAGCTTTCCCATGCTCAGACTGGGTGAAGGCCGTAAGACATGTTAACCAGTAACTTTGAGGCTTTCAGTATCACGGCATTCTTGTTTGAACATGGGACAGTCCTATGGTGATATTTATGAAATACTTGCTGCTCATTCATCACCTATGAATTTGGGCCCGACTGAAGTAGGGACTCTCGTTGCCTATCGTTGTGCAAACGGCCTCAGGCTTGAAGAAAGGGCAGTTGACTGAGCGTGACAAGGCACTTCTTTCTTTCTATCTGCTCGGGGAACCAAGGTGAAACCTTCTCGATTTTCTGGAAAGAGAATGGGAAAGCACCTGCCTCCTTTGATTCAGGTGGTCTTGCTCGTGGGCTGCTGCCTCCACGGTCTATTTAATCCCCATCTTTCTCCCACACTCGCCTTCTGCAGCCTCAGACTTTCTCCTCTTCACCCAATACACAAGACGCGACTTTTTCTTCTTTCAACATCCATTCCTAACTTGGACATAGCCTTGACCTACCTACCCACAAACAACACACTACCTGCCTACCTCTTCGCTGCCAGATACTGCCAGCACCCCTTGACCCCTTCCATAACCTCCCTCTCAGACTCGAAGAACCGACTCGTCCAACCAGCTTCCTTGCAGAACCGAGCCCCTCACCGGGCAACGCGCTCCTGCTTCCCTCTCTCCTGCCCCTCTGCTTCTCGAGTCTGAACTGGTCCTTCCCCCTCTTCACACCCCGCCATCAACAGGCGTACCACGCTCGATTCTTCCTTCCTTTCTCTGTCTCCTTCCCATACCAAATCTCTTCGAGGTTCCTTCCCTCGGTTACGGTCTTCAAGCCACAGCTTTAAATTCGCCGCATTCACACAGCCGAATTCCCTTTCCTTTCCCTCTCACCACATCCACACAGACATCGCGCCAACACTTCACATCTGCGCAACAATACCTTCTTCATTGCCACCCTGCATCTCTACCTCAGCCATGTCTTCCTACACTTTGCCTGAGGAGCTCCGCCGTGTTCGCCAGCCTGGCCAGTCCAGACCTGGCAACAGTGCAAAGAAAATGCCTGAAAGGTAGGAAACCGCCCCCGCGTGCCTCGTCTCGACACAGCAGCACGACATTTGTTCACAGGCTGACACCAGGTTCACAGCTTTCGTTGCGATCTTGGTGGCGAGTGGCGCCCTTGGGGTGCCTTCTCCAAACGCCAGCAGAAGCTCGTCACGGACAGACTCTCTCGTGGAGCCAACATCAATGCCGCCAACACGGGGATGATCTGCCGGCAGCACTCTGGCGAGCCTGTCAAGGAGATCCAGTGTGAAGGGCCGTGCAACAAAATTCGTATCCTGGACGACTTCTCCAAGAACAACCGTACCAACGGAGTCAACGTCAGTTATCCTGGAAATCCCTTGCTCTCCATAGAACCGTTCTGACATTCTCTCAAGATCTGCAAGCATTGCCAGCACTGGACGAACACTCAGGAGCCTGGGTATGCCCCTTGGGCAGCTCCCGAGCAAACGCTGGACCCCGTCGAAAAGCTGGATGACTTCGAGGGTCGTCTCCCAACTGAGCCGTCCGAGATATTCAACTTCCACCAAGATGATCAGGTGAGGTTTCCGAGCTAGGGTAATATTGTCCCGCTGACCAGATGTGCTAGCCTCTTGCCCCTATCACTGGCACTGATGGTGTCACTGCTCTCAATGGCTACCCCATCAGCACGGCCAACTCCTCAGTCACCCCGGACTACCGTCCCGTTGCTCGCGGCGCCGACACGGAGAGTGTCACCTCTTCAGTTCGTGGCGCCGAATCCGTAGTTTCGGCCGATACCAATCGGTCTCGCCTGGAAGAGCTGGACAACGGCATGGCCGCACTCTGGTTCAAGAATGCTCAAGAGGCTCAGCAGAAGCCGAAGCCCCAGCCCCAGTCTCAGCCTCAGTCTGCCGTTGTCACATTCAACGCCTGGGAATCGACTGGTCGTCAACATGCAGTGAACAAGACCCCAACCATTCGGTCTGGTGGCTCTTCGGTCATGGGAGCGGCGGCATCCGCCCAGACAACACGCCAAGTTGCCCCGCGGAACAATGCCCAAGCCAACAACGTCTTCCGCGGACAAAGCCGTCCCCAGACCATGGGAGGTCAGCCCAAGAAGAGCGGCTTCGGTTCCGCTCCAGTAAGTGCTAATACTCATTTCGACATATGCTCGGTGGTCGCTGACGTTTTTCGCAGGACAGACAGGGAGACCGTAAGCAGCTGTCCGGCAAGGAGCATCAAAATATGCAGAGAACTCTGCCGCAGCAGCAGCAGCAGCAGCGCATCATTCAAGGTCCTTACCAGGACGAAGACGATGAGGACGAGACATCTGACTAGGTCGTGCTTATCCTCGGTTCGGCTGCGCTTTCTCTTCTCCTTCCTTTTCTCTTTCTCTTGTCTTCTAGCTTGGAGTGAGCACAGCATCTCGACGAAACACTCGAGAGGTCTGACGGGGTTACGGGAGAATGTTATTTTGCTTTTTTGGAAGGGGTTCGGTCGATACAGGAGGCCGGCGGGCCAACAGGCCCAGCCCTAAAGCTACCACCATAGTTAGGTAGCATAATGCACAGGAATTGCAGATGAACAGAATCGTCTCTAGTGAATGCACGCAATCATGTATTTCAATAAGTTCAACGACAGAAGAGGCGGTATAAGAAAGACACGAAGACGCCACCGCCATCCGGTCTCGGTGGTATGAATGCGGCCTGTCCCTATTTACCCCGAAGACCATTCCCAGCCGGGGTTTGTTCTTTTAAAATGCCCTCCCAATCCTCATATCCAAAAAGTAAAGTATTGCGTGTGTGTGTGTGTGTGTGTGTGTGTGTGTGTGTGTGTGTGTGTGTGTGTGTGTGTGTGTGTGCCATACATCTCGTAGCATTGCTACGAGCACTCGCAAGCAGGGAATTCCAAACCAAGCACGCTGTTGGTTTACATTGCTTCGGCCGTCCTGACCCCGGCGTCAGTGATTGCATGCCAACCCGGCTCTTTTCTGCCCTCGAGGAGGCAAATTTGAGAGTGAGTTGGGCACACAATCATGGTTGCCAGGCAGGAAGCAGCCACTAAATCATATTGCCCAGAAGTTCTTACAGGTCGCTGTCACGCTTGTAAAACCCTGGATTAGCGTCGCCGCCCCGGTTCATCATCTCTTGGGCGTCGCCGACTTGCCGGCGTTCCGTGATCTCGCGATCCTTGAGCCTCTTGTGCAAACTATACCTCAGCCCCAGCGTCAATCCTCGAGCATTCCTATCCCTCATGACTGCTGGTCCCTATTGCAGGGGTTCTGATGAGCTGGACAGGCGGTTGAGGTGGAGGTACACATCAGTGCCGTATCTGGTGCAGAGCGTTAGTCGGTCCATGCATGATTTGAAGCATGTCGCAAGCAACTCACCCCTCCATGCTAATAAGCTTCAGGTCGCCGCCAAAGTACCGCGCATACAGACGCGAGATGGGCAGTCCATATCCAAAGCCAGCCATCGGCGCCTTGAAATCGCTCTTATCGAAATCCGGGTCCAGGTTCGGTGTCCTGTCCACGGTGGTGTACATGTAGGTCCAGACCAGGGGAATGGCGCTTCTGGGGATGCCGCCGCCCTCGTCCGAGATCTTGATGGTGATGTCCTCTTTTCCTTCCGCGACAATGACCTTCGTCACAGGGAACTCCTGCTTGTCCTGACCGTGCGTCTCGACGACGGCGCGGAGAGAGTTCTTGAGGGTCTCGAAAAGCATGTGCGACAAGTGTCCTGGCACATACATGAAGTTAATGTTCGGGTTGCACACAAGCTGGATCTTGGGGGCCTCGAAGAGCCCGTAGTGGTCCTCGCAAACGAAGCGCGCGTTTTCGATGGCTTCTTGAGCCAGGTCCTGGACATTCGTCTTTGTGCAGATGATACCGACGTAAGTGGGGTCGCGGTGGTGGCTCTGGTCAGTCAAGGCGATGTGCTGACCGATGAGCATACGGATGCCTATGCGCGACATGTAGAAGCGATCGAGGAACGACTGAATGTTGTTGTCAATCTGCATGCGCTGTCGCTTGCGCTTATACTCCAGAATACCCTGCGCCATGGTCGTCACAACGCCATCGTGTCTCCTCTTGATGCCGTGGAGGGCCTTTGCAAATCTTTCGTTGTACAGCCGAAGCTCGGCGGGCCAGTCTCCGGTGTCGTCCACCATGGCGAAGTATCTCCGTGCGGCGACGGCCTTTTGTTTGTTGAAGCCATTGCCGTTGTTGGTCTGCGGCAGAGATGCGTATTGCCCCTCTTCGATACTCGGATTTCTTGTCGCCTCAGAGAGTAGAGCCTTGCCATAAGTTTTGCTCGGCCTCAACAGTCTTTCCCTTGTGCTTCTATCCAAATCGGGTCGTGGCAGTTGTGTGAGTTCCTAAAAACGACCGGACGTCAGTGAGTCATGTTCCGTCATGCGTCATGCAAGCAGAGCCTCGACGTACCTCGAACGACTGTGCGTACCAATCTTGCACACGCCTTACAGAAGGCATATCGTTGAGACCATCGGGAAGCTCGTCGAGTTCTTGAACGCGGTGGGCCAAGCGAATTGGTAGTTCCTCGGCGAGGAACTGCGATGCACGGAACAGAGTTCCTGGAGAGAGGCAAGTGGTCAGCGAGAAGGTCAAACGGCACCGGACGAGGCTGATAGGATTGGCGCATCGCGAGTGAAAGCAGGCGGCGCATGCGGAAGCCGCAAAAGGCGAGGCATGAGGCTGATGGAGCGACTGGGAGGGGAGGGATAGACGTACCAACGGATGGCCTCTCACCAAACTGGACCATCTGCCTCAAGCTCACGCCAGTCGCCGGGAAACTGGCGTAATGCCTGATGGTGTCCATCAACTTGTCCGTCTTCTTCCACGACATGTTGGGCGACTATTGAGGGACCGGTGATTGACTGGTATTCCGGAAGTTCGAGTTGAGGCGACCCCGCGGGAGCGAGCTGGTCAGGGCCTTTACCGAGGCTTTGATATGACGCAGAGCAACATGGAACCTGGCAGGCACGGCAGAGAGGGTCGATGTCGAGGGTTTGGTCTCCAAGAAGTGAAAATGGACGAGGACTTCTAGTGCTGCATTGTCAATTGGGGATAATGACAGAGGTCGCGTGCGAGCAGCGCTACTCGAAAAGGTGTTTCGAGTAGGTTATTTCTGGCAATGAAGATGGAGACGGAGCAGCGGCGGGATGTTGCGAGAGAGCTTTGGAGTGCAGTGCCGGGAACAGCCAGGCAAGGCCGCGGCCGGGCCAGGAACTTTCTCTCCACTGAGGAGACTGGGCCGGCAAAGGTACGCTGCTACTTTCCCCGACTCGGCGTCATAGGCCCCTGCGGAGGTCGTTCGATGGTAGCGCGATACATGTGTGGGTTAGCCGACTTGGAGAGGTGCGCTTCGAAACAAGTCCCCGGTGGTGTCCGCTCGTCAGTGTTTAGCCCGAGGTTTTGTTTTTTTTCGATTCTCAAAGCCTCCGAGCAGAGAGAGCCTCTTGTCTATATTTACTCGATGTTGACTCCTGGTTTCACAGTCAGGGTTGTTGAGCAGGTGCTTGTCGAGTGTACTTTGGTAACACTCGGAACTGCCGAGAGCTTCAGCTCCAGCCGTCTGCGGGTTTGGAACCTCGGAGTCAGTGTCAGCCAGACTGGTAGGTAGACACTCTAGCATGGAGAATACACTGAACAACCAACTGAGGTGGTGTGGAAAAAGGCGCCTCAAAGTGATGGTCACGCCAAAGCCTCAAAGTGCAAGTAAGCTTGACACATGTGACCGGCAGAAGGGAAGTTGACCGCCAAAGTACCGCACTAGCAACTTACGTCGCACGCGACCCGTCCACTGAACCGACGACCGCGGTGGAGGGGTTCTCGTTGAGCAGCACGCAGCAGCAGCTGCTACTTTCCCCGTGTGCTTCCTGGTAGCCGAACAAAAAAAGGCTGCCCGTGGGCGGGATGGCTGACTGTCCGCCCCTTCCCTTCCCTTCCCCCACATCACACAATGCAACGCAACACAACTGCGAGCTCGATGCAGCGGCAGCCTCAATGCCGCTCAGACCGCCCCCGCCCGCCGCAGAATCCCGGTCCACGTCCCTCCCGTCCTCCAACCTCGCCCAGTGCCAGTGTGTGTGGTCTCCCCTTCCCTCGATGTCCCCTCCAGTCCAAGTCTCCAAGACCTGCCCTTGGCTACCTTACTGAGGATGTGGGCAACTCCTGCCAGCTCAGTGTCCACGTCCCCCCTGCGGTCACATGCATGGCGCCACAATTCTTCAAGCTTGCCCAGCCAGTCACAGCCCTTCGCTTGCCGACTCCAGCCTTCACCAGCCCCCGACACGAACTGGACGCCTCTCATCGCGTCCAACGCGCCAGAGACAAAGGAGCCAGACTCTCACTCGAATGCATTGGTTGGCTTCCTGACCGACACACCTCATCACACCTTACCGCAGTTAACCTGCAGCTACCAACCCCAAAATTCAGATTCCCATTCACAGCCAAGCGCCCGCGCACACAATTCGGCCTCTCGGAACCCATTCGGAAATACTACACTAAGTAACTACCTACCTACGGATTGATACCTGACTCTGGGCGATTGGTAGCGTCGCTCTCCCGCTTTGTCACCCGTTGCGCATGCAGCCCTGACCCGACTCGGGACTCATAGTCGCATTGCTTCCCTCTAATCGCGTCAACCTACTCCTTTGATCATCCTCCCTCCAAAAGAGGACTCGGGAGGAGGCTAAAGACCCGGTTTTTTGGTTGGCCCGTCGCCGCCCAAAGCACTCCCAAAACACTTCAATGCACAGCCATGCCGGACGTCAGGTCGGATTCGGGGCTGGGCCTACGTTTTATCGACTTGAACGACAATGAGGACGACAACAGTCCATGCAAAGGTCTGAGGCGTCTGAGAAGCCATGACCGTGCCGTCAAACTACCGCCTCCTTCAACGCCGCACGTTGCCACGCCTAAACCCTCCTCACCGCAAGCCTCATCGCCCTCTCTACCTTCAACTCTGAGTTTCCGCGGCTTCTCACCGCTGTCACCGCCGCGCAAACAGTTTTCCACCACCAGCCAGCAATTCTCGACGCCAGTCGCTAAGAGCCCCTTGGCCCGATCCTGGACTGAAGACGACCTCACGGCATCCGTTCATTCAGACGAAAATGGCACCCAGACCACCAGAGACACTCTTGGGCTAGTTCAGCGACTCAATGAATTAGCGGAAAAGCTGCTGGCGGGCGAGGAAGTGCCGGACACCAGCGTTAGCGCCATGCATGGCAAGCTTGACGAGATCGAAGGTGTCATGACTGGCGAGGTTCATGTGGCTCAAGAGACACCCCAAGGCAAGCCTAAGACGTGGCCGGCGGTTGAGCAGATTGAGCAAGAGCATGAATCTCTGTGGACCTCACCTTCGCCGTCATGGTTTCGCTCTGGACTATCGGATATCTCACCCTCATGGCGGAGCTCATTCAGAAGAGACACCCCTTCTCCTGAACCTACCATCGAGAAAAAACCCGCTGTCGACGCTTTCCGCATCGCATCTGAGGCGGCCAAGCTCAACATCGAATTGGAAACCCTCATGACGAACCTCAAGGCCCGACAAGAGGAATCGGAGGTGAGAATCAAGTAGATGACTCATAAGACGGTAACTGACAATTGTCCAGCATATCCACCAGCTACTTGTCACCCGCGCAGAACGCGCAGCACAACGCATCATTTTTCTTCAGTCAAGAGTCCGGAATTTGTATGTGTCCCAGCGTGCAGCAACCCAGCACTATTACTGACTCATCGCAGGGAAGAAGAGCTTCAAGAAAACGACTCGGAGCTCACTTACCTTCGTCTGGGTCTCAAGGCTATTGAAGTACAGCTACCCTTGGATGTTGATCCCGACCTCAACCAAAGTATTCTGAACTGGAAGGCCGACTGGACTGCCCTCAAACGAAAACGCGCCAAGAACAAGAGCTATGATCGCTCGGCTTACAGCACACCTCTCGGCACACCGATACGACCCCCGCGATGACCCCCTTCCCAGACTTGTTTTTACCCTTCTGCTTTCTTTCAAGCGTGACGAATTAAAGACATGAATGAGTGATGAAGCCACAAAAGCATCGAGTACGGTTACGGACTGAGCATAGAGCATGGTGTTTGGGGAACAACGGATACCCTGTCCAGCAAGCGAGCAAGCAAGAAATTTTCGCATTTCTTTAGGGTCTTTTACGTCTTTACGACAGACAAAATTATGGATACTCAAAAGTCATGAATCCAGTTATTGTTCGTTGGCTCCGGCTTTCCGAGTCAATTTCATCCTCAACACATTTAGAGTACTTGATGCTTGTGACATGATAAGCAGTGTTGTACCGCGGGAACTAACCAGCCAGGCTACCTAGATGTGATACACCAACTTCGTGCCGCTGACTTTGCCCTCCCTGACGAGATCGAGACCCTTGAGTACGCCGCCGAGACCACTCCCATCCTCATCCACAGTCGGTTTGTGAGGCACAAGCTTTCCCTCCGCCAGCAGTTTCTCAGTATCCGCCACAAACTTCTTTGCGAATTCCAGGTCCGCCGGATCCGCGGGCAACGAAAGCGGTCCGAACTGGAATGCCTCTCCAATGGCGGAATACGCCAGCTTCAGCTTCAGTGTCACCTTGTCGTTAATCGCCGACACGAGCTCCTCCGGCACGAACCGCAGGGCGGAGTAGACGCCGCCTGCCTCGCCAAAGGCGTTGACGCAGATCTTGGCGGTCGCCTCTGTGGAGATACAGTCGAGCACGTTCTTCAGCTGTCCGGCGCCGGCGTGCTTCTTGATGTCCTCGACGACGGTGTTGGAATGGTAATCCAGGACGACGTCAACGCCCAGCTTCTTGAGATAGTCAAAATTATGCGCCGAAGCCGTCGTGATGACGAAGAGACCGGCGAGCTTGGCGTACTGGATAGCCAGCGATCCCGTCGCCGTGCTGCCGCCGTAGATGAGGACCGGCATCTTCTCCGTGGCGGGATTGTCGAGGTAAGGCACGTCGAGGCTCTGGAAGAGGGCCTGGCCCGCCGTTACCACGCCGAGGCCGAGGGTTGCGGCCTCCTCGAAGCTGATGCTGTCCGGGATGCCCAGCTGCAGGTCCGCCTTGACGGTGATGTACTCCGCAAACGTGCCGTCCTCGTGGTGGAGGGCGTTGGAGCCGTGGGCGAACCCAGCGACGCGGTCCCCCCTTTTGAAAGCCTTGCTGGCCTTGGGGCCTACCTTCTCGACGGTGCCGGCGTAGTCGCAACCAACGCGTGCGCCTACGGGTGCGAAAGTGTCAATGTGCAGTACGTCGGTGGGGTTCAGGGCGACGGCTGCGACTTTGACGATGAGGTAGTCCTCTCTGAGCTTGGGGATGGGGGCCTCGACGATTTCGGCCTTCCCCGGGGCTTGGATGACGATGGAGTGGTTTCCAGACATATTGGGCAGATGTTGCTTGCTCTTGAACGAAATGTGTGAATGGTCTTGTTGGTGCAAATGAGAGAGCTTGAAGGAGCCGACGAGGCTTGACTTATATCATTGCTCGTCACTTACACAGGTTTCTCTCCGTGGGTTGCGTTGCACCAGACCATGTTACCAAAGCGTTGAACTTAGTATAGCCTTCGTCCGATTGGATCAGAGTTCATCTCCAGATGTCGTGATGTTGAGATAGACAACGCTGACAAGGAATAGACGGTGTATCATGGATGGAACGATATGGACGACGATGACAAAGACGACACTGACAGCAACAACGACACAGACACCGGAGATATTTACAACAGACAAGCCGAATACAAGGATAAGGAATATGTGGATGATATCGATAGGACAAAAGACGGGTCATTTCTATGCCGCAGCCCGGGCGCTGGACGGCATCTAGACCGATCCGGCAGCCCAAGACCCACCCCGTCGGCGGTCGGTGCATCCTGCTGAACGGCCCCACCATAGTTGGGACGATTATTAAACATCCTCGAACATCCAAGTCACCTCGGCCGGAACGAAATGAAGCTTAAATTCATCACCGGCCGTTGCTTTTGGCGTCTCAATTAGGTTCTTACAAATCAAGTGAAGCATGTCTTCCTGACGAATACGCGTATATGACTACGGAGATCACTAATACGATTTGAATGCCACGGTACGCTCCATGCGGCGATGGTGATGTTCACAATTTCGCAAACAAGAGGCATAGATGAAGAGAACAATATCAATCATTCCAAATCATCATGTACTCACCAATACTTAAGCGGAGGCTGTTGTCATCACTAATAGCAGACAACACCACACACAGCAGAAGCAGGGTTGGGATCTCAAACCTTCAGACGCAATTTTGAGCATTAACATTGAATAATCTGGTCATGGCAGGCTCAAAGCAAAGAACCATCCTCATCTCTGGGTATGAAAAACTACCTGAAGGTCATTTATATTTAGAATAGCGATACTGACACTGGTAACCCTGATAGATGCACCGAAGGAGGTGCCGGCAATGCTCTGGCGCTCGCATTCGCCGCCGCGGGTCTTCGAGTGTTCGCAACCGCCCGTTCACTCAAGTCTATGAAGAATCTGCAAGATCAAAAGAACATTGAGACTTTCACGCTCGACGTAACGAGCCAAGACAGCATCAACAACATCAAGGCTGAGATCTCAAGACTAACCGGCGGCACGCTGGATATCCTCTACAACAACGCCGGTGCTCGTGCGTCTCATTATACTTCCCCCTTTCATACGTACTAAAGAATAGCTATCAGTGTACGAGTCACCCGCAATCGAAGCAGACTCCGATCGCGTCCGGAAAATGTTCAACGCCAACGTCTTCGGCCTGTTCGACATGGTGACGGCCTTCACGCCCCTCCTCCTGGCCGCAGTGCCCACCTCCAGCACACCCCCCACAATCGTCAACGTCGCCTCCGTCCTCGCACGCCTCCCGGGACCCTTCACATCCGGCTACAACGCCAGCAAAGCCGCCGTGGCGTCGTACTCGGACACCCTCCGCCTCGAGGTCAGCCCCCTCGGCCTCAAGGTATTGACGGTATACATGGGCGAGGTCTCGACGGCCATTATCCAGGCGGACAACGTCAAGTTCGCGCCGGACAGCGTGTACGCCGACACGGAGGCCAAGATCAGGGAGAGGAGCGCCACGCACGAGAAGACCACGATGAAACCCGAAGAGTTTGCACGCCAGGTCGTGCCGGAGGTGTTGAGCGCCAAGAGCCCCTATGTCTGGAAGGGCACCAATGCCTTCATCGTCTGGCTGCTGAATGCTTTTGGGCCCAGGACAGTGTTTGACAGTACCATGAATGGCGCTTCTGGGCTGAGTGACCAGTCTATCAGGAAGAAGATATTCCAGAGGGGGCAGGACAAGTTGAAGATTGCCTAGATCGACACATTGGAGTTGTCGCAGGCGTGAAGGCTTATGATTCAATGTGGGATTGGTTACATTTGGTTGGCATCAATACGGTTGTCCTTTACACTTCATCTTGTTTTAATAGACTAGTGGTTGGAGAAGCATGGCGAGTTGAAATTAGTATTGAGTTTTTTAGTGAGTTGGGTAATATCGTAAGGGCAGGTCTACGACCAACTCGCCGTTGACGGGAACAAATCTAAACCATTATTCAAACACCAGTTCCAGATGATCCGACTGGCTTGGGTCCCATCATAACTCGTGGTGGCTGGGCTCTCATAGCGCTGCCCACAAACCTGTCCACGCTCCAGCTCCGCGCCTCGTCGTCCTTGGTGGAGACGAAAGCATGGTGTTTGCTTTTCTGAGCGGCCTCCCAGAGTCTTGCCATCGGGTAATCGTTCTCGTGAAAGCGCCGCGCCTCGTAAAACTTGTCAACAAGTTGCTGCAACCGAACGCGCATGTAGCCTCTGTAGCCGCTGGCTGGCTCTGTCGAGTTCGACCCCTCGCTGGCGACAGCAGGGGCAAGTGTCTCCTTCGATTCGTCGTAATCGGGCTCGACTGCCCAAACCCACATGTCGTCGACCAGTCCACTTCCAGAGACGACTGAATCCACGCTGGCTTTGTCCACAACCACAAACACGTTCTGGAGGATGCCGTCCGTCAAACCGCCACGTTCAGCCTGCGTGCTTGCGGTGTCGGTCCCCCGTTCTTGCCTCTGCCTCTTAGGCGCTCGGTCTCGAATGGATATGAAGTATTCACGCAGTTTCTGAAACTTGGCAGCGCGTTCATCGTCGGCCTTCTCATCAGTACCCTCTTTTTCTCTGCCGCAGTCCTCGTTGTTCTTCTCGTCCTTTGTGTCATCGTCTGCAGTGATATTCGCGGGCCACTGAAGCCTTTGCAACCTCCACATGTTGTTGATGGCACTGCTCCCTGCCCCGATCGCATCTCGACCATGGAAGAAAATCCCGTCTCGACGACACATATAGTCCTCAACGTCTTCGTCGTCGGCAAATGCTTCAGGATCGACAAAAATGCCATATCCCCAATGCTTCTCGCCCTTTTCCTCATCCCATAGGCGCCTCACCCAAGGAGCCGCCCTGGCCAGAATAGACCTTTCGGCTTCTTGCTTCTGCCTCGCCCTCCACGCCTCGTTCTCACGCCGCCAGTGCTCAGCAAAGGCATTTTCGATGGCCTTCTCCTCGTTTTCCGCGTACAGGGGATGCCGCATCGCCTTGAGGCGTTTGTCAGCTTCATTGAACTCTTCCTCGGAAACACGATGCGGCCCGGATATCAGTCCGTGAGCCAAGGTAACCTCGTGCTCTTCGTCAGACGAGATTTCCAGCCAGTAGCGGTTCTTGAGCAAGGCGACTTCAGTCGCAGACAGCTGTGCTGGGGTCTCTGCCGCGCGCTTGAGTAGGTCCTCCTTGCTGAGTGTGGACGACTTTGCAATGTTGGTAGCTTGAGTGTCAGGATCCGGGAAATCGAGAATACGCCGCTGGTCTTGGGCAGCGAGTGTCGGTGAGCCTTCATCTTGAGATGATATGGATTTCTCCCATTCTGGAAAAGACTGGATCAGGTCATCGGCGTTGTCGAGCTTGCGGATGACCCGCATGAAAGATCGGATTTGGTTATCCATCACCTCAGAGGATGGTGTGAACAACAGCAGGTAGCGACTGAGAGGGGATGAATGTGCTCAATGATCTGAGCAGCGGAGAAATAATAATGGAAGTTGTTCCATGTCGTGGATGTAAGTTGGCAAACAAAAGGTCCCTTGAGGCGCTCGACTGAAGAGCAGTGAGCCCGGCCGCTATCCCTGCAGCCTGCAGGTACCGATGTACTACGCGGCCGCTATAGTAGTTCGTCGGGAGGGTGTGATTTGCCCCGCCGTTAGCGTGCTGTACGGGGCCATGGGTACCTAACGCTAGTGGAAACCTCCCTGAACATTCCCGGGAATAACCTGTTGGCCGTCGAGCGTATTTTGCTGCCTAGTCCGTCCCCTCTTCGACCCTGCCAAATCTTGTCAACCGCATGGTTCGGGGAGCAGAGACTGACTATTATGCCTACTTTGTCATCATACCTGCTTTAAACGAAATAAGTCATGTTGTGACTTGTGACTAGAGAGGCCCGTCTATGTAAGACATAGCATGTCATATAAAGCTAGTAATACGTAGAAACCACGACGACGAGAGACGACGACGACGAGAGACGACGACGACGAGTCAGACGACGACGAAAATGACATAGATAAAGACAACAAGAACGGCAGGTAAGGGGTCAATAATAAGGACTATGTGTATATAGCCGCAATAGTACAAGAAGAAGAATTAATTCCAAGAGAAGACACTAATGTGTACCCAGAAATATCAACAACAAGAAGAGTTCCGCAATTAATGCTAATGTAAATGAACAAAAATCCAACTCGATGAGCTCCTGAAAGATCAATGGTCCTAAAACGATTCAATCGCAACACAGTGACGTGACCGCTTATGAACACTCGTTGGATTCAGTTCCTATGCAGTAAGCATAGTCTGCCAACAGCCCTTGACACTCGCCGGCCGTCGTGTTCACCGCTGGATTCATCTGATAGAAGCAGGCAAGAGAGATACCGGCGTTATTCGCCATGTCAGCACAATAGACGTTATCTGACTGAAGAACCCAGTCATCACAGTCAGCAGGAATGCCCGTTTGCGTAGGCCCTGGGGCGGTTGCGGACGATGCGCTTGTAGTCGTCGCCGTGGCAGTGCTGGTTGCCGTTGCTGTCGCAGTCACCAATGCTGTTGTGACTGTACCGGTTCCTTGCGCCATACATACGTAGTCGCCGGCAATTCTGGGGAAATACACGTCAGCGGTCAGTCTTCTCTTTCCCATGATCAAGGTCACTTACAGGCCGGAGCAATCTGTCTTCACATCTGGATTCCAGGCATACAGATTATCAACTGAGACTCCCCATCGATCCGCAATGTCGGCGCACGTGTCGTTTTCTATGAGCAGAAAGGTCAGCTGAGGAGCTACAAGGGGTAACCCAAAGTGAAACCATGTGTGCTCGAGTTGTAGCAGTTACACGTGAGACTTACCAACAACGAAGTAGAAGTCGGCACATCCTGCGACCATTCCACTTTGGTAAGGAGTCGGTGTCGGGTTGTAGCTGGTGACTGTCACGGGGTATGCTGGTACAGAGCTGACGGTGTAAGAGACCCAAGTCGTCGAGTTGCTTGCGCCTGTCGTCTTGCCAGTGGTGTTGACTGGCGGGAATGTCCACGCCTCGATCGTCGAATACGTGGTGGCGTAGCAGCTCTCCGGAGCCGTGGTAGTCCCGCCAATACAGGGATTCGCCGAGGTCGAGCTACCCCCATAGCCGGCATAGGTCGAGATATCACCCACTGGCTGTACGCAGTAGCTGTAGTCTAAGTACAAGTTGTTGCAGGAGGTACTGTTGATCTCTGGGTTGAGGAAGTAGAAATCTGCCAGCGAGATGCTGTATATCTGCGTGATAGAGGCGCATGTATCGTCGTCAGCAACCTGATAGTACTTGCTACAGTTGGTGTTGGTGCCCTCGACGATATTGGTCGGCACAGGGGCTGTTGTCGCCGTTGCTGCCGCCCCTGTCGCCGAGACTACCGGCGTCTCCCCAGGGTACGTGACGCATATCTGGTTCCCGACGAGAAGTTCGAGATTCTCACAACCGTTACTGATATCAATGTTCCACGACACGAGTTGGGCAATGGAGAACGTCCCATTAGACGCCTCGGCCAGGTCCCAGCATGTATCGTTCTGTTGCACCGTGTACACTTCACAGGTGTGAGGCATACAAAGCGAGGTGCCAGCTGAGGGGAAGTCAGTGCAGCCGGCCTCCAAGTTGTTGAAGTATATTAATTCGCTGGTAGATACTTGTTGGGAAACGCTTATGGAGTGACAGTCATCACCTGCTTGAACCGTGTAGTTGCTCACGCAGGAGTTGGAAGGCGTGGCAGAGGCTGTTGTGGTTGCTGTAGCCGTGGCTGTAGCATTAACGTAAAGAGGTGTTGGCGATGTAATGGGATAGCCAGTGGCCTGGCAAGACGAGGTCATGGATGAAAAGTTGGATGCCAGCTCATCATCGTAGACCATGGCACTGCCCAGCTGGATCTGGTATGTCCCGAGGACGCAGTCGCTGCAGACTTTGTCGGACGCATTTCCGCTTGCCCAAGAATCGAATGTTGGCTGGCAAAAGTCACCTGTGCTTGCGTCACGTCGACATGTGTAGTTGTATGCCCAAAGTAACACATCGACCGTAGCAGTGATGGGATAGTTCATCCCCTCAAGCACCATGGTGTCCGAGGAACACGCATCTGCCTGAGCAATGCGTTGTGACTCAAGCGACTGAAGGCAGTCCGAGTTGCAGAGCTCCGTCAAGTCATCGCTGCTAGGGAAGTAGCCGCCAAAAGCGATGCTAGGAAGGTTTCTGTCACAGGTGACTTCAGTCGTGAATGTTGCACTGTAATTATGAGATTGTCAGTAAAGTGGCTCTTCGTAGACCTTGAATTGAGAGTCATGTGACAGACCGGAGAGACTTACTTGCAGTTACTTGAGATGTTGGCTGGCGCAGGTAGAGAGACCGAAATGCTCGTTTGCTAACTGTTGCTGCCAACAAAGACTTGTCCAAAGGCTAAGGGAAGCAGGCAGACGCCTGCCAGCAAAGAATATCCCCAAGAGGACATTGTGACCTGAACGACGCTCAAGAAGATGTTGAGGAACTACACGTCAGTTGGAATGGGAAACCTTCTCATCCCATCATAAACGTGAATGATAGAATGGACACAACTCGACGTCTCAGGCACCAGCGAGGGCCTTGCCGTGATGGCCACACATATGTTGCATCGCGCGAAGGCATGATTCCCGGCAGCCGCATCAAGCGGCAGTGTGAGCTACAGTCAGGCTTGTAAGAGCAGAATGGAGCCTCATTTCGGCGCCAAGTCGGGAGGATTCATATGTTGGTTCGTCCCGCAGCTGGCCTTACGCGGCATCGTTCGTGACCGGGGTTGTTGACCCTGTTCGAGTAAGCACTTGTCTAGGTTGGGAGCGGGACGCGGGCATTCAAGCTTCTTCCCCTGGTCTGTCTCCACATTCCCCGTCTGCGGTTGAGCGGTCCATCGCGGCTTAGAACAGACAACAAGATGGAGTTAAATTGAAGCTTCCTTTCTCCGGGGCGGATCGGGAGATATTGACGGCAATCCTGTGTAAGTGTGATGCCTAGACGCCGGCCAGCCGGGCTTCCCGCAATCTTCTCTTGCTAGATATCCACACACATGCATGCATTCAGGGCTGGTTCTTCACCAGGCTGTAACTAAACAGTGCAACACCCGAGAAGCATCACCTGAGCAAAAAACACCGAGCCTGAAGCGGATCCCTGAAAGGGACTTTGGTTGTGTCTATGGATGTCGGGCCATTTCAGCTCAGGTGTTATGGGTCCTAGCCGAGGAACCGCGTCGCATGAAAGATGTTGTTACCTATTACTACTTGATATCCCTCAAGATGGTATTTGCAATGTTCTCTTGGCTGGAATAGCTGTGTCTCTCCCTCCAGCTTTCTTACACTCTTTCCTAGTAACGCCAGTAAGATGGCCTCTCCAACGTTGAGATCGGCCTCGGCGTCTTTATTCCTTTTACCACTACTGTTTGCTATTATTTTATATGTGTTTTCAGACAACTCAAACGCAAAACTTGAAACCACAAACCACCAGGTTGTCTCAAGCAGAGATGTCTTCAACCTCGAGTCGAATGATTTCAACTTGCCCTACAATATAAGTCAGCTGCGTCGCAGAGCCGACGACGACACGACGACCTGCAAGAAAGGTACAAAGTGCAAGACAGTCGCATGCTGCGGTTCCTTCCAAGGAACAGACGATGGCATCTGCGGTTTTGGCCCGGACTTTTGCGGCGACGACTGTGACTCTCAGTGCGATGCCAAAGCTGAGTGTGGACAATATGCCGAAGTACCTGGTGAGTATCTTCTCTTAGCCCTATACCTTACCTCTTCATAGACGAGGAGCGCCTTGTCAATGACGTTCAGAGTATTTTGGTGTTCTTCATCTTAGTGATACTAGATCTGACTTGCGTCTTCAGGAACAACATGCCCTCTTAATGTCTGCTGCAGTCAATACGGCTTTTGTGGCAGTACATCGGAATTCTGCGATGACAAGTGCCAGTCCAACTGCGTGCTGGACCCGGAAGTGCCTTCTGGAGGCTCCAGCAAGAAGGTTCTCGACAACAAAGTAATTGGCTACTACGAGGCTTGGTCAGCCCGAAGGTCCTGCAGAGCCTTCCCGCCCAGTGGCATTCCCATTGACGGGTTGACACACGTCAACTTTGCCTTTGCCTAGTGAGATATCATTCCTCTTCGCTGTAGAACTTGACTAACTCTTTTGTCAAAGCATCGATCCAGATACGCTCCAGGTCACAACCATGGACTCAGCAACACCTGAAAGCCTGTTCGTGCAGACAACCGCTATCAAAGATCTCAAGTCCCTCAGTTCCGAGCTCGAAGTGTGGGTGTCCATCGGTGGCTGGACCTTCTCGGACAACGACACGTCCACACAAGCCGTGTTTCCAGACATTGCGGGAGATGCCGACAAGAGGCAGAAGTTTGCAGACAACCTCGTGTCTTTCATGACGCGCTACGGATTCGATGGCGTTGACCTTGACTGGGAATACCCTGGCGCTGGTGATCGTGGTGGTTCCGAGGTAGACACAGACAACTACGTCCTGCTCCTGAAGACGCTGCGGGAGACCTTCCAAGCATCGCCGCGCGGTGACTATGGTCTCTCGTTTACCATCCCAAGTTCGTATTGGTACTTGAAGTGGTAAGTCAGGACACGATTGGGCGTACTTCGGTTGCGAGCTCCACTAACATGTCACCAGGTTCGACGTTCCCAGCATGCTCAAGTACGCCGACTGGACTAACATCATGACATACGATCTTCATGTAAGTCACAATCAAGAGACACTATGTAACATTGGACCTAACAGCATTATTCCAGGGTGTATGGGATGCCAATAACCCCATTGGAAACATTGTCCAGGCCCATACGAACCTGACGGAGATCAAGCTCGCTGCCGACCTGCTGTGGCGTAACGATGTGCCCCCAGGCCAAGTCGTCCTCGGCCTCGGCTTCTATGGTCGATCCTTTCAGCTTAAGGATACCGACTGCACCAAGCCGGGTTGCGCTTTCAGTGGGCCTGCCAAAGCCGGTGACTGCACGAACTCGGCGGGCACGCTGGCCTACTTCGAGATCATGGATATCATTGCCGACCAAGATCCCAAGGTCGTCTACGACAAGGCGGCCGCGGCCAACTACATCGTGTACGGCGACGACAAGGACATGTGGGTTAGCTACGACGACAACACAACCTTTGCCCAGAAGATCGACTGGGCTAAAGAGGTCGGCCTCGGCGGGGTCATGATATGGAGCGTTGATCAAGATGATACATCCTTCTCGGCACTCGAGGGCCTGCTGGGAGAATCGCTGCCATCCTTCTCGCTGAATCTGGAACGCGCATCAGTAGCCAAGACGGCCGAATGGGCATCTGTCAATGGCCAGGCTTGCAAGGTCAGCGACTGCGTGAGCCAGTACGAGGTTGCTCCCTCGGGCTGGGCCACTGCGCCCAACGGCAAGTTCAGAGATACCTGCGGCAGTGATATTCACGGCTACATGTACAAACACGTTTATTGCCCGACGAATGCCATGCCCCAATCGTGTACCTGGCGCGGCTCTGGATCGTGTCATGGAAAGTGCCATGCTGGAGAAACGACGATAACGCATTCCAGTCGAGGATCACAGTACTGTCTAGCCCCTGGAAAGCAAGCGTTTTGTTGCGAGAGCAGTACGTGGGGTAGCTATGTTGATGGATGCGACTGGGCTGACGGCTGCGGTGACTGTCTAGCCAACTCCCCCTATGAAGTAAGCTCGCGGAGCATCTACAAGGCCGTCTTTTCATCGTGTAAGCAGAAGTTCTGCTGCCCTTACGACTTCCAGAACTGTCACTGGGTCGGAAGGGCACGTGTGACGACAACGAGTGCTCGTCTACCGATGTCGAGGTGGCCCTGGATCCTTCGGGCGACACTGGATCTCTCTGCGCAGGCGGTCTCAGTTCGAGGCAAAAGCCGCTCTGCTGCAACACCCCGGATAACGTCAATCCATTCCTCCCTGTCGACCTTGAAGACTTGTTCCCAACGTTGCCGCCTACCAGCGACGTGCCGGTCTTTGAGCTGCAGCCTCTCTCGTACACCGCTGGAGATGTGGCGGACAATGACGACGCTACGGTGGCAGCCTTCCTGTTCGTCGTCATCGATGGACCGTCAGGCACAGTCTCGAACTTGGACAAGCGTGAGGGAGGTTCTCATTTGCAGTTCCTGACCCGCGGATCACACCATGGACAAGAAGTTCAGTCGACCTACCTCCTTTGCATGGACGATTCGGCCAAGAGTAACTGTGACGACATGCACTTGGGCGGTCTCGAGGGCACAGTTCTGCGTATGCCTGATAACATGGGCTTCGGCAAGTATGCTGTAGCTCATGCAGTACGAGAGACGACACATGACGTCCCCGACAAGCTCATCAAAAGGGGAGCCCCAGCTAATGCCAAAGTCATGGAACTCGAGTACAGTTATGACTTCTCGCGGGTGGCCAAGAGGGACTCTGGCGACATATACTTCCGAGTTGACTACTCTGACACCCACAAGTACTATGAGCAAGTAGTCGAAGCAGCGGCTGCCAAGAGGAAGCGTGATGATGCCGATGGGCATCCCCTTGAGTCGCGCTTCTGGAGCAAGTTGTCTTCGGTTTGGAAAACCATCATCGAGGGTATTCGAACCACGGCATATAACGAGAACACTCAGCCGGCTATCAAGAAGAGCGACTTCGCCTCCTTGATCTATGGCAATGATGGCAGTGACAACGATTGCGAGGACGACGGCTTCCTCAAGATCAGCCTGTCAGGTTCCATGAGCAACAAGATGCGATTCGGCTTTACGCTTGTGGGAACCATCTCGCCGACACTGTCAGTCGAGGAGGCGTACGGGTACTTTGACTCTGACCTGTTGATGTCGGCGACATTGTCTTTTGACAGCAAGGGCGTGCTCGACATTAACAGCGGCGACGGTGTAGCGCGCGACATGTTCTCGAGCGCCATCACCAACTTCGAGGCCTCGCAGCCAGGCATCGTGTCCTTCTCACCATCGCTCAACTGTGAGGTGTCATTAAGGGGTTCCGGCGCCATTGACGCTCAGTTTGACGTCGACTTCGAGCTGGCGTCGTCCGAGACGTTGCGCACGAATGCACCGCCGGGGCTTAGATACTTCTCCGGGGCCGTGAAGGACAAGAGAATCAGCAACGCTGCCAGTGGATATCTGTCTGTCCCCGATGACTCTGCTAGTAGCACAAAACGAGCAACTGGCGGGTCCTTCAACTCCATCTTCGCCATGAACATGGTACTGGAGACTACCATGACGCTTAAGCTCTTCGGTTACGAGACGTCACTGGAGAACGCTGGTGCCAAGTTCACTTCTCGGCTGGTTCACGCCATCAACATCGTCGATGATGTTGGAACAGGGTCCCCCGGAATCATCGATGCGCCTCAGGCCGCGTCCGCCGATGTAGTCCAGACAGGGACCATCCAATCTGGATGGGATGACGGGACCACGCACAACATAGGCAGCGTGGCGAGTCCTGCCGTCGTCTTCACCGGTGGCGAAGAGCCTCCCGAGCGCGAGGCACCCGGTATCAACGGATATGCTGTCTTCGGCGACAAGTCTTTCATGGGGTGTAGCGACAACAGTACGACCGCCGAACTGATTTGCTATTACAACTTCTTTGTTGATAACAGCACTGATGACGACGACACCGACTTGAAACGCAGAGGCTTCGCCTGGTTGGATCTGACCTTCAAACCAGGGCATCTCGGTGATCTCAGCGAACGTGAGAAGGCACACTTCAGACGCCTGGACGAGCGAGCTGCTGGTCCTAGTGGAGGGTCAACTGAGGACTATCCGATATTGGACGCCAACGCTAACAGTGGTACCGCCGATGGCTTCAATTTCCAGTTTCCAACCTATCCCAACGGCAACAACGGAGACGCCCTCGATGCCGAGACTGGTAAGTTGATATGGCCGTGCAGGGTCAGAAGCCGATGACAAGAGAGACTGACGTCGATCAACTAGGTCGCAACGAACGGTGGAGTATCGCCAATCCCAACGACTGTGAAGACACCTCCGCCACCAGTGCTGGCGTCCAAGGCGTGAACTATCAGACGGTAGAGTCGGATCACGTAGACGACCGATCCATCTTCCCGAATCATGCCGCCCAGTTCTTCCAGACCGGACAGCTCGACATGGCTGACAATGAGCCGGGCTTGTCCACGATCTATCAGAGCCAGAACAGTCTCTTCAGCTTCGCCAATCTGTTCAACTACTTTGCTCATGACTACCGGCTTTGGGTACCAGCTAGCGTCGAGGCAGACCCGCCGGCAGGTTCGGCCGCCGAGGCTGTGGCTGATGCCTATGGATCATCCAGTAACCCGGATGTCATGGTCAATCTGGCAAGAGCCCTCAACGTGAGTGGTTTTGCAATCATATGCTCTGGACCATTTTGCTGACTTGGAAACCCGTCACGCAGTCGTTGAAGGGACGAATGTACACGACCGAGGGCCAGGGTGTCAGCGATGACAATTGGAACACGTGGATGAACAATCCAAGTCTCGCCAACGCCGAAGACGCCCTGTCGTCAATCCGTGCTGTTTTCGCCATGTGGAATTACATGAACGGCATTGCACAATATCGAACGGACTTGTTTGATGGCCGACGGGACGCGTTGGCCGTCTTCGACAACCTGTACGCCAGGGTAAGAACTTTGGCCCCTCTTCAAAGAAAGGCAGACCGCGACTGACCTTTTCCCACTAACAGACGTTCCCCAATCGGCCTGAGCGACTCGTAACGCTCATCGACGAGTTCCAGCCGTTATGGAACCAGCGCGCCGTCAATTTCTCCCGGCGTTATGTCACCGCTCGCCTGGATTCCATGGAAAACACTTACAGGAACCTGCAGGGCACACATGCCGCCCTGGCTGCCAATGTGATCAGCGCCATCACCCGCATGAGGGCAAGAATCCAGACGGAGATTGTATTGGCGGTACAGAGGACCACTTGGGTGAATCCGTAGATTTCATATGTATAATTTGAAATAATATGTACCGATAATTGCTGTTGACTTCCGCTGGCGATGATGTTGACGGCAGGAGGAGTAGTGTGACAAGTCGGCGACGGGGGCCCTATGCAAGGTGCCCCACTACTCTTAAGACCCTGGTGGTACGACGGTCCTAACATGACGTAGAAAGCACGATACTTCCCTGGGACCAACAAAGTAATAGTCAACTATTGGCTAGGTATGTTTGTTTGACTTTCCATATGAGGCATCATTCTTTAGTGGAATAACTCTTTTATCTTTTGCAACGACATGGAGTTGGACGAAGTTGCTGCAGCGCCGTTGAATGTGGCCCGTTAACCTTCTTCAATAGAGACCCCAATTAGTCTTAAGCTTACAGTCCGTTGTATTAACAGCGTCCGCCCCTAACTTTGACCTAGAAGGAAAATTTTCTACTAGCCTAAAACCCCCTAAATTACTCTAAATTTTATACTTTAATAGCTTTATACGTATATAATATATAAGAATAAAAATATATATTAATTAATAGCTTTTAATTAAGTAATTATAATAATATCTTTTTTATTCTTATATATTATACATATATATAGTTAAAGCTATTAAGATATAAAATTTAAGGTAATTTAAGGGGTTTTAAACTCGTAGAAAATTTTTATAATACCTAAAAAAAAGAAAAAACATCTACTGAAAAAACCTCTTAAAATTAGTTTTAACTTTATATTTTAATAACTTTAAATATATATATAATACGTAAGAATAAAAATATATTGATTAATAACTTTTAATTAAGTAATTATAATAATATCTTTTTTATTCTTACGTATTATATACGTATAGAGCTATTAAGGTATGAAATTTAAGGTGATTTAATAGTTTTTTAGTAAAGTGCCCCTTTTTTTTGCCTTTTTCGGGCTACAAAGTCGGGGGCGGACGCTGTTAATACAACGGACTGTAAGTGCGTACCTAGTCTCCCACCTCGTGGACGAGAAAAACTATGACCTAAAGCTCCATTGAATAGTCCAGACCTGGACATATCTTACTTGAAGGATTTTTATTGGACTTTTGATCATGAGTCCTGCTAACCAGGTAGAGTGGTAGAAGCCTTTTTGTTGCTGCCGCACTTGGCGTCTCTGTCGTCCCCGTCGTCCCCGTCGTCTCTATTGTCCCCGTTGTCCTTTTCATTTCTATTGTTCCTATTGCCTCTAGTGCCTTCATACGAATATTCGAACTCAATTGTTTAGGCTTCCAAATACCACTTGAACAGCTCTTCATTAGCAGATTTCCTGATCAATCTTCCCGCATCCATCTTGAAAATGCTAAGATGATTAAAATGATGTCAATAGGTCCAACAGAAGCCAAGCAATGCGGCACAACGCAGCCGTGGCAGGATCATTTAGCGCTTTCTGGGCCCTGCGACAAGACGGCAGGCAACTCTTGACTTCTCTGTGCGTGCCTTGTACCCATGTGAAGAGCCCCTTCCATGTGACGCCAGAGATGGTCCGATGATGGCACTGCACATCTTGCCGTGAGGTCGCTTATTGGATGGCTTTCGGGGAGGGTTGGAGGAGGGGTAAGCGAGCCGGGGTTCGTTGAAGTTGCAGGAGATGATGAGCGTGATTGTGTCGTCGCCCAAATCCTTCCATGTGAGGATTCGGAAGAAAACATGGGTATGATCGACATCGGTTCGGTCAGTAAAGCATATTGTTTGGTTGTAAGTGTTGGTCTGAATGCCGTTGTGTCGGGATGGAGGTGAAGGCGGCTGGTGGAGATGACGTTGAATCTGCAAGGGTCTGGGCCCGTCTTGCTGAATGCTTGAATGGTGGTCCCTGTTGGTGGTCATCCCAGGCACGGGGGATTGATGCTTGGATGACCCTATCAGAGCTGTGTGTAAGTGAGTTGGTAAGAATACCCGAGTGATCTAAATGCGCCGCAAACCCCCCACATGGACCTCTGAATAACTGCAAATATCAATTGACAGAGCAATGACGTCGTTCAGAATCCTTCAAACGCAGCCTGTCGGACTCCCTGTCGACTGAACCCCAGTCTACCTCGTCTTCGGCCAGTCTGAAGCAATCATTCCCAGGAGCTTTGTCCCACCCCCGCGATCGATCGTCCCTCCTCTTCCCCAGACCATCCACAAGCACTACCGTGTTAGCTTTCCATTCCATTGGCGCCGTCTTCGTTCGTAGTCAGACAGGAAAGTCTCTGCCAGGTGCCTTTAACATGGTTGCTCCCACGAAATGGACTTCTTGGCAGCGTGTGAATACTTAAGAGGCCAAGCTATCCCCAAGACGGGAGGCGTACTTGGCTCTCTTGGAACATCAATCCTTTTCCTCCTCACATCAAATCATCTCGATAACTATTGGTGTTGCCCAGCTTATCCATAAACCGTTCTCGCTTGGCATTACATCCACAGCGTATCAGAGTGCGAGTCCCAACCTTTTCCCGTGAACACCCCGCTCTCGTCTCCGATATGGCTTCGGACCCGAAGCGAGAGAAGATCGGTGACCGGCCATCCTCGGACCGGTCCGAAGCCGAGTTCGCTCACATGGATCACCCCGGACGAGCCTCCGAGGCCACAGCCGTTGATAAGGAAGAGCAGAAACGGCTAGAGGCGTCTCAAAAGCTGGAGAACCCTCTTGGTGGCTTTACTCCTGAGCAACTTGGTCGCATGGGTGAAGAGTATTGCGAGAAGCATGGCATCACAGACGAGGCGGACGTCAGAGCGTTCCGCCTTGGCGCCATGATCGCTGGAAACATGAATAAGTACGATACTATGAGAGAGCTGACGGCCCAAGAGCGGGCTGTTCTTGACGGAGAGACTACACACAAATGGCGTAACCCGAAGATGCTTTACGCTGTTGTTGCGAGTAAGTATAACCCATTCTTCACGAGAAGTTTCTTGGCTTCCCAAGAGTTTGTCTCTCGCTTGCTGCTTCCTGACTTACACTTAACACAGTCTGCTCTTTCTGTGCCGTTGTTCAGGGCATGGACGAGACGGTCGTTAACGGGGCTCAGTCTTTCTATAAAAAGCAGTTTGGAATCGGGGGCGAGACTGAGCGGGACACCTGGCTACTTGGTCTCGTGAACTCAGCGTGAGTGCCTTTTCGGCTCGCTTGGAGGAAGACCCATCTGACATTGGATATTAGGCCGTACCTTTGCTGTGCCTTCATCGGCTGTTGGCTTACAGAGCCCATGAACAAGGCTTTCGGACGTCGAGGAACCGTATTCATCTCATGTGCCATCAGCGCAGTCACTTGCTTCGGTCAAGCCTTCGCCAATTCCTGGTACACCATGTTCATCGCACGTTTTCTCCTTGGTTTGGGCATCGGACCGAAGTCGGCGACCACGCCCATCTTTGCCGCCGAGACAGCTCCAAAGTCAATCAGGGGGGCACTCAGTAAGTATTCGAACGTATGAAACTAAGTTGCCATAATGTAAATAAGGGCTAACTCATAAGTTAGCCATGCAATGGCAGCTTTTTACGGCCGTGGGAATTGCCGGAGGTTACGGCGCCGACTTGGCCTTATACTATGTCCCAGACCGCAGCGGCATCACCGGACTCAACTGGAGGTTGATGATGGGTTCAGCTGGGATCCCAGCAGTTATTGTTTGCGCGTGTTGCTACCTCATCCCGGAATCTCCGCGATGGTACATCTCAAAGGACCGCCACGTTGACGCATACAAATCAATGTGCCAGCTCAGATTCGAAAAGGTCCAGGCCGCCAGAGATCTCTTTTACGCCAACGCCCTACTTGAAGCGGAGAAAGAAACACAAGCCATTGGAAAGTCTAACCGTATTCTCGAACTATTCACCCGAATACGCAATAGAAACGCCATGACGGCGTCGCAAATCGTTATGTTCATGCAGCAATTTTGTGGGGTAAATGTCGTTGGTAAGTCTTTGTTTTATTATAAACATATTATTTATGTGTTTCTGAACCCAAAACTATTTTCATTGATTTATTACGATTTTGTTTCGATTTTCTAGGGCTGTTTTGCGTTGCGGGGTTTTGTGGGGGTCATGTTGATAGCTTCGGCTGCTCACCACGCCTTTGTTGAACGAACCAAGCCTTTCCCGGACACAGTTCCTTTACGAAACAAAATATCGCATTTAAAAATAAGTTCAGCACAAGACTGACTCTTTCAAAGCATACTACAGCACTGAGATCTTTCTATCTGCTTCGTTCTCAGAGTTGAGTGCGCTCTCAGCATCTCTGGGCTTCGGTATCATCAACGCCGTATTCGCGATTCCGGCCTTCTATACTATCGATACATTCGGGAGAAGGAATCTGCTTCTAACTACCTTCCCCCTGATGGCGTTGTGTCTGTTCTTCACCGGCTTCTCGTTCTTCATAGAGACAAACCCGGCACGCGTCGCCTGCATCGCAACCGGTATCTACCTATTCGGCATGGTCTACTCTCCCGGCGAGGGCCCAGTCCCATTCTGTTACTCAGCCGAGGTTTATCCACTGTACATTCGTCCTCTTGGAATGTCTCTGGCAACAGCTACGACATGGTTCTTCAACTTCGTTCTGGCTGTTACTTGGCCCTCTTTGCAGACAGCCTTCACCCCTCAGGGGGCTTTCAGTTGGTATGCTTGCTGGAATATCATTGGATTCTTCCTTGTTCTTTTCTTTCTCCCTGAAACCAAGGGTAAGACTCTCGAGGAGCTGGATGCTGTATTCAGTGTACCGACAAGGAAGTTCGCGCGCTACGGACTAGCGCAGTTCTTCTACTTTTGGAAGCGGTACATCTTCAGGCAAGATGTGGGTCCCCCTGCTGTTCCGCACAATAATGCGGTTCAGTATCATAAGAATACTTTCGAGCAGGAGAAGCAGAAGGACGCCACGGCTCGTGTATAATGGACTGTTCGAAACATCTGAGTTCTGACGTTCCCTGAACCCTTATTCAAGCGAGATATATGAGATGTAAGATAAAAATCATGTAATTGTAGCGAGGGTCAATAGTTGTAGGAGAGGATGAATGAGAAAAGTAATGAACCATGATTCGAAACCTCAAGCTTGACGTATGTCCAGGTGGGTCTGGGAACACTTTGAGTCAGTTAGAAAGTTTAAAGAAAACCTTTGAGCAAGGGGAAGATTAGTCCAACCTAACTTAGAAATTAAGATTTGATGAATGCGGTCAGTTGATAAATGAAGAGCCGGTATTCATTCCCGTGGTGCTCATTGTCACTTGCACGTCGTGACCGGCCCCACCACCGGCCCCATGCCGTTCGGGCGGCCGGCGCATGCGAATTATGGGGCACCGCACACCCTGCAACACCTAATCAGCAACTCAGCCAGCATTCATGCTAAAGTCCGTTGCATTGACAGCGTCCGCCCCTAACTTTAACCTAAAAGGAAAATTTTCTACTAGCCTAAAATCCCCTAAAATCCCCTAAATTTCACACTTTAATAGCTTTATACGTACTTAATACGTAAGAATAAAAAATACATTGATTAATAACCTTTAATTAAGTAATTATAATAATTTTATTTTATTTTTATACATTATGTATATATATAGAGTTATTAAAGTGTAAAGTTAAAGCTAATTTTAAGAAGCTTTTTAAGTAGAGTTTTAGTTTTTTTTTAATATTATAAAAATTTTCTATCAGCTTAAAACCCCTTAAATTACTTTAAATTTCATACTTTAATAGCTTTATATATACGTAATATATAAGAATAAAAATATATTAATTAATAGCTTTTAATTAAGTAATTATAACGATATCTTTTTTATTCTTATATATTATGTACGTATAGAGCTATTAAGGTGTGAAGTTTAGGGTAATTTAGTAGTTTTTTAGTAACATACCCCTTTTTTTGCCTTTTTAGGCCACAAAGTTAGGGGTGGATGCTGTTAATGCAACGGACTGTACTGATGTGATGTGGCTTGAAATCCTCATCTGCGTGACAAGGGTCAGCGTACAGCAACCTTCATCTTCTCCGTTGCGATCATTTGAGGACTTATCGCGCCGCATCAAGACCACAATCAGAAATGAGACCAGTAAAATTCACGAAGGCTACAACTCATCATGCTGAATCAACGGCTCCCAAGGCCTCCTCTTCTCCCCAGCGTTGAACTTCATATACTGCTCATGCCAGCCACCCCAACTCGACGACATAATATCCCAATACTGCACCAGCTCCTCACAGCTCACAAGCATCCACCGATAATCCGGGTTCCTCCAATAATCCATCTTCCACTTGAGCACATAGCTGTCGTTGCCCTCGACATTCATCGCCTTCACCAAAACCTTGTGCTCCGCCTGCTCTCGCGACCCGTTCTTCAGCTGAGTGTAGACGCGGAACGACTCCAGACACTCCGCATCCGCATACAGCGGAAACCTGGAGAGAACATATTCGTCAAAGTACTTGCTCGGGGCGATGTCTGAGTAAACCCCATGAGCCCTGACATTGGGTCGGTCGCGCCATGTCGCGAATCGTGTTCTGACGTGCTCGATCGAGGCACCCCTCAAGTCGGGACCCTCGATGACAAAGAGACGAAAATGAGGATGCCATTCATGGCCTTCATCATATTCATCGATGCTCTCGTTGGCTCTTTTGCGGATGTACTCAACGTATCGGTCCCAAAGATTGTTGTCGTCGTATGTCGTCCTGAAGAGGTAGAATCCCCAGTGATCGTTCCCAGCGCTTATTTTAGTCTCCAGTGTCGGGAATGAGGTTCTTGGCACCCCAGTCTCTTCTACCTCAACGTTGTAGGCTGTGAGAGGTACGGTGAAATTGGAAGAGGTTTGCGTCTTGGTGGGCGAAGGCGGAGATGTTGCTGGCTCCACGCAGAGAACTGGTGTGACGCCCGCCAACAGAATAAGAACCGCGTAAGAGAGCCAATGCATTGCTGCTTTCTGGTCATTCGACAGTTGTTCCTGAACAAACATAACCCTCCTATCAAGCCCGTGAAGTGGGATCCCGAGATGATTAATATCACCAGCCGTACACTGATTCTGCCCACGACGACACAATACCATAATTAGCTGAAGCACTAGTCAAACAAATGAGAACTCCATAATTCAATTCCCACCAGGAGGAGGACCGGTGGGACAGACCGGAGGGAAGGTCGAAGCCTCACTGCGGCATCCTCCGATAGACGCACTCGGCCCCTTACAACTTGGACGCGCAACGGACAAATCAGAAAATGGACGGGCCAATGCCTCGGCGAAGTGTATCGTGACAAGATGTCAACTAGTCAAAAGTCAACTTGAGCGATGCGGTTCGGCGAATGGTCCGAGAGACGAAATAACTTTTCACTTTGACAGGACCTATCCCCAATCGAGAAACGACATCATCCCACCGATAATTTTCCAACGACGCGGACCCTTTCCCAAATACAAACCCGCGAATGACAGCAAGGCAGTGAAACGGCATAAACAAAACGATCCAAAACGGAAATGAAAATGCGTTAGTCATCAAAGTCATCAATCATAACCGCCCAAGATACCCTTCTCAATTCCAAGTTGTAAGACCAACGCTTCAATCAACGGAACGAACGCGAGGAGCCTGCATCAAGTGATCCCCGCCCCGAGCGACTATACATGTCCTCCCACGTCGGTCCCCGGTCCGCTCCGACGCTCCTTCTCCCGAGTCCAGGCGATCTCGGCGATTCATCCCTATCATCGCCCTTATCTCTGCCAGAGTAAACGCCATAGTTCCCCTCGCCGCCCCTGACATCTGAGGAGAGCGAAGAGGAAAAGTGCGAGGACGACGACGACGGCACCTGTGAGATCGCGGGGAGCGATGCGCTGTACCGGTTGACGGGCGGCGGGCTGCGACGGCGCTGGGAGGAGCCACCGCCAGAGTGTCGTCCCATCGGCGGCGGGGACAGGTCTCGGTGTCTGGGCACGGAAGCGCCCGCGTCCGAGTTGGCCCGGGGGAGCCGTGCGGGCTGGGGGTTTGTGCCCCTGTCGTACGTCCTCGAGTGCTGCTGCGCCATCAGGTTGGGACGTTTTCTGTCGTCGAACGAGCGCCGGGAGTGGATGTTTGCCTCTGCGGGCCTGTTTTCGGAGGGGCTCGGCCTCGAGCGGGGGATGGACGGGAGAGGAGGCGCGGCGTCTTCCAGGCAGTCCAGCACGGCCTCGTCGAGGATCGAGCGGGTCTTTTTGTCGTGATGCTCGGGAAAAAGGTGTCTGGATAATTGCTTCGGAAGCCTCTCAGCTTTGCCGTCTACCAGGGGTCCGTCTGCGTTGATGGGGAGGGAGGACATGATGTTGTGGAGGCGGCGAGCTTCGGGGTCGGGATAGGCGAGGATGTTGCTGACCATCCACTTTGCGAAGCCGGTGGGTGTAAGGGCAGGTACGTTAGGCTTGAATTTAGGATTTGCTGTGCTTTGGACGAGGTGATATTGGCAGTCCAAGTCTTGGTAGAGGTATTCGATTCTCTCGAGGGCATCTTTTGAGCGGGAGCGGAAGATGTCTGCGACGTATTAGAGAGGTGATGGTCTTATTGAAGAGGTTCTTACCTTCGTATTGGAATCTCTCGGGTTCTACCTTGTACTTTGTGTACAGGCACAGCATCTTCTCAGGGGTAACGACAAGAGTCTCGGGAGGGCTGAACTCCGCAATCTGAAGGTTGTTAGTGATTGCCAATGTCGACTTTGAGAACCTTTTAACAGTACCATGTAGTTCGCCAAACCCCTGAGCACAGAGTTCAGCCGTTGAGTGCCATAACCCTCCAGATCAAACAAGACACCCCAAGCTTTGTCGACACTACTCAACTCAACCCGACCCGGAATAGGGGCAGTCGGGGACACAACCTCCGGCTCGATGCGAGTCTGGCAGTGAATCACCGGCGGCCCACGGTTTCTGAAGCGAACAGCCCTCTGCTGAGGACTAATGGGCGATGTGGCCTCGGGCTCAGACACCGACGGTGGCACGTAGGCCGGGGGAGGTGCGAGATGAGGGGCCGCGTTCACCTTCGCACCGGTGACTTCCGGGCTTCGCTCTCTTGGAGACGAGATTTTGGAATTGATCGTGTCAACCACTGATGGAGGCGGGCTGGGATACGCCGGTGTGAAGACGGAGTTCTGGTTGGATAGGGGCGGGAACCGGAATGCATCGATAGGGGTTCCAGTCTCGCTGTTCTTGAGATGAACCACTTGGGCTGCTTGAACTAAACAGCCTATTAGCAAGACTGAAACGGCACTCGACGACAAGAATGACTCACCCTCTTCCTTAATAATCTTTCTCAACTCCTCCATCATATCGGACGACATGCTGCCCATACTCTCACGTGTCCTTGACATGAGAGGAGACGGTATGTTGATGTTGATGGCTGCTGCCGGTCGAGCGTCCCCCTCGCCGGGTCCATGGCCCTCCTTTTGTTCTCCCCAAGTGTACTCTGCCGGCTCCCGTCCAGGAGATAGCGGCGAGAGCTCCTCGGACTCCGGGTCGTCGGGGTGCTGGTCCCGCGGCAGGGCCCAGTTGGTGTTGGTGTCCAGTCTCGGCCGGACCGCCTCCCCTGCTGGAGCGTTGCTGCTCATGACTTGCCTCTAGTTGATACTTCGTATGCAGACTTGATGCGAACTCCCGGGACTGTACCTAGATCATTGTGCGAGACAAACGGGCATGAAACAATGATTGGATTGTTGAGGCGACAGAGGGCAGCAGAAAGCGGCTGCGGCAGTTTTCTTAAGGCACCAACGAGAAAAGACACAATTTGCGGCAAGCATACAAACAAAAGACGGAGGGGAGAGACCCCGGAAACGAGATAAACGTTGGGCGTAGTTATAGACCAATGCCTCTCTCGGTCAAGAATGCAACACCGAGTACGGCTGTCCCCAATTAGGCCATGACATCTATACACCACCCACCACCGCCACCCCTCGCGTCAGGTGGGCTTGATAAGAGGCGTACACGATATGTGTATATGTATTAATGAGGGGAGACGATCACAGCGGCCGGGGGGGAAGGGAGGGACACACAAGGCATGGGTTGCAAATTGCCGTTGCGGAAAACTGCATTTTCAAGAAAACGTTAGCAAATGTGGTGTTCGACCCCTCACACATACCTCAGCCATGGCCATGCAGCAAAGCAGGCTGTGTTGGTGTTTCTTCGTCGGCTCGCACAAATTAGCCGGGCGTAGAACGCCACACAGGAGTTGCCTTCTTTTCTTCACTTCTTCGACATTGCCGTGGGACCGGCTGGCCGTCCCTTCCTTGCTCTCCAACTCAGCCGATCCTTGTGTGATTGGGCAGCAAAATTACACTTTTTGAGGACGTACGCGGGGCCATCAGCCAATTCGATGGTGCCGCCCAGAGCGGTGGGATTGAAGAATGGCTTGGTATGCGTCCCCCCCGCAAGCCGGGTTTCTCGGGAGGAGGCTTCTCCCGAGAGCGCGATGGAGCGTTCTTCCGGTTTTGAGGCCAGAAAGGGACCGCCAGGGAGGGTGGGTGGCCTCTGTTGAGACGAAATAACTTTGCCCATCTCCTCAATCCTGTTTCGAGCTGCTCGAACGGTGCGCCCAGTCTGCTGCTTCAGTCCTGGAATATCCAACTGCGTTGGACAACAAAAAAGTCAGGAGACATGCATGTTTGCTGGCCGGCAGTGTGGGCCGGTAGTCAGGTCAGCGCATCTCATCTCTCATGTTCCTTTGAAGTTGGCGAGGTGCCACCGCAGCGTCCGATAACACAGCAAGCCCTGAGTTGAGATGCAGTATGGAGCAACACCTCAGCTTCGATGGTGGTGGGCGTGCCGCATGGGATTTGCAGAGGCACAAAGATGATATCATGCAGGATCCCGGCAGTCATTGGCCCGTCACCTTTCCGGGTGTGCCGGTAAGGCGCCCACCGAAAAGATGGTTCGCCTGTTCCGCGTGGCTCTCCCCTGTCCCGGGCCCGGTCTCGCTTCAAGGTTTGTTGGGACCGTGGCACTCGCCGTCGCTGTCGGAAGCGCCATCGGAGCGGCCCTTTTGAGACATGCCAGCTGCCCTCTTGGCATCCCGACTGGTTGATGTCGAGGAACCGGGACTAGGTGATCGCCTCCGGTCCCGTGGCTCGAACCGGTGGGGATGTCCAATGCTGTCCAAGCAACAAGTCAAGTTTAAGCGGCCACGTGAGCCACTTCCTCCTCATCGATGAGCTTCCTTCAGATCAAAGGTGCAAAGTGCAAAGTAATAGTGCAACATCGGTGAAGCTGGTATGATGCTGATAAAAGATTTGTTACCCAATTATGTCACTGGAGCTTTAACTCCTGACCGATATCAATGCTCGCCATCTAATGCACTTACACCAGTCCCATTCCCTTATGCTTTGTACAACAAATCCAAAAAGCCATTGGCCAAGTCAACAACCACACTCTTGTTGGGCAGAGATCCAGCAACTCCGTAGAGAGCCGCCGAGTCGCCGACCGCCTTACCCTTTACGCCCTTCCCCTCAACCGCGCGCACTCTCTCCTTCTCCTTCTCGGCCTCCACGACGGCCTCCAGATCAGTAAGAAGCTTCTCGTAAACCTTGGTGATGGGCAAAGTAACAGCGACATGGATAGCAGGGGGGTTTTGCAGGGCGTTCAAGTGCCACCCCTTCTCAGACATGCCGTCGGCAATATCGTAAACGTTGAGGTTCTTGGCGGTGAAGGCGACGACGGACACGAGGGGCTTGCCGAGGATCTCGAGCTCGTTGTCCAGCGCCGGGGTCTCGCGGATCTTCTCCACGATCTTCTTGGCCGTACCGACGATCTTGACACAAGCGTCGACGTAACCAGCCTCACCGACTTTCATCAAACTGGCCCAGCAACCGGCAATCAGGGCACCTGGACGCGAGCCCGCCATACCAGGGGAACCGTAGACGCCGCCAGACCAATCCGGTGAAACGTAGTATTGGTACTTGCGGAGTTCAGCCGACCTGTACAGGACGGTCGAGTTGCCCTTGGGGGCGAAACCATACTTGTGGGTATCGCAGCTGATGCTGGTGACACCCTTCAGACGGAAGTCAAACAGCTCAGTCTCGAAACCGGCCTTGTCCAGGAACGGCACCATGAAGGAACCCAGACAGCAGTCGACGTGCAAGCATAGCTTCTTCTTGAAGGCAAGCTTGGACAGAGTGCTGATGTCATCGATGATACCGTGGGGGAAGTTCGGGGCAGAGCCAACGAGAAGGATCGTGTTGCTGTTGATCAGACGGGAAACAGCGCGGACGTCGACCTGGTAGTTGGGCGCTGGGCATGCAACGTAGTGAATCTTGATCTTGAAGTAGTCGCCGGCCTTGCGGAAGGCAGTGTGTGCGGTCTCGGGCAGAATCCTGCCGTGTGTCAATGCGGGGGTCAAGGCAGAGTCTGGAGAGGGACGTACATTTCAGGCTCTGTGATACCCTTCTCGTGATAGCCTCTTTGGCGCGCGCTCAAGCATGCCGAGAGGATACTGTCAGTACCACCGCTGGTGGTAGCACCGGCAGCGCCGGGAGGAGCGTTGAACATGGCCAGGACCATAGAAACGACCTCGGCTTCCATCTTCCTCACGCCAGGGAAGACGTCCGGATGAATCGGGTTCGCAACCGTGAACTTGCCAAAAGCCTCGGTTTGCAGCTTCAGAAGCTCGTCCTCGCCATGGTAGACGGCACCCGAGACGTATCCATCCTCCCATCTCGTGTGGTCCAGGTTCGCCAGTGCATCCAGCTCCTTCTTGATGTCCTCGTCTGACATGCCTTCCTTGGGGAGTGTGAGGTATCGGGTCAGGTCCTTGGGGATCATCTTGCTCTGCAGCTTCGCCATGGTCTCGTTGACCTGCTTCTGGACCTGGCCGCGCACGCCGGGAGCGCGCAGGAAGTAGCCATATAGGACGCGGCGGATGTCAATGTACAGCTCGACGATGCTGCCGATCAGGCCGCGGCCCTTGAGCTTGAGGAAAGTCTTGCGCGTCCATCGCCAGACGAAGAGGAAGAAAATGATATTGCGCAGCCTGCAGACCAAAGAAAGCGGGAGTTCCGTGGTTAGCCTCGGCTGACATGATCTGCCGGCAACGACGAATCGCGCGACAAGAACACAGATCAGAAGGAATTGGCGGCTTACAAGTCGAGGTTCAGGACCAGCAGCGGATTGGCTTGTCTGGTGCGCTTAACGTGTTGCAAGCTCTCGCGCAAGCTGGCGGGGATACGGGAGCTGCCGGGCATGTTGACCACCTGTTGCTTGAAGCTCGGCGCAGTGGAGAGACTCGATGTTCGCGACGAGTGACGACGACGAATGGAACGGGAACGGGGGCGGGAGCAGCCAAGGCCAATGGGGGTGGATGCGAAACCCGGTTATATATAAACGGAGAAAAGAACAGACGACGAATGGGGAAGGGCGCAAAAAAAGAATTGGAGACGTAATTAGTAGGTGGGAATTGAGGAGTAAGGAGGAGGAGCAGCAAGAGGAGGGCCGGATGTTTAAGCAACACGACTGCAAAAGAGGTGCATCGCCTCCGCTACGCCGGCGCACCCCAGGAAAGCAGTCGTGCCAAAATGACCTAGAACGCGGCGTAGAACACCGAACACCGTGAATCCCAGCCGTCGAGTCCAGAAAAAATCGTGGGGCATGGCGTCTTCTTGATTATTTCTTAGCGCGAAAACCCCTGTTGCTGCAGCTGAGGCACAGCTGGGTCGCCCCCTTCTTTTCCCAGGTCTGGGGGTTTATTGCCGCCATCCGGGCAATCACATGCGCCGTGACAGGCCAGAGGGGCCCTGCTTTCTACGGCGTCCGCGTCCGCTGGCCGTTCTTACTGCGTAATAGTGGCGGTATCACTCCTTCAGGCAAGTCGCCTACGACTTGAACACCGCAAACCCAAGGCAATGGAACCTCGGAATGGAAGAGAGGACTTGAGCCTGCACTTCCAAAGGCCATAGACTGCAACGTTAGGTATCGACGGAATGGCAGCAATGGGAAAGTGGACCGCGGCCGACGATAAACCACCTCCATCCCGAAGGGGGCATTCATCACCGCGCTGCCTGCCTGTCTGCCATCTAATCAGATACGTCACGATGGCCAACACGAGCCGAACACCTGCGAAACTCGGCCGATTGGGCAGTCTATCCGATGCCCGCATGACTTTTTGTCGAGATCGCCTGCAACTCTACCCCTCACTACCCCTCGTTGCCGAAAGATGCGCTCTCTCTATTTCTCAACGCGTTGGGATGTCTCTGGGGAAAGTGATACAACAACCGTTATCCGTCAAAGACACCACGAACCGGTGCGCGCGGGCAGGCCGGAGGGACGGGCCCCATCGCGGCGGGGCACCGGGTCCGCGGACGCCCGTCAACCGGGGTTCACAGTCCCGAATGCGACTGCCGCTTATCAACGGTGGCGTTTGACACAACGGCATGTAGGCGTCCGCCTCGAACTCATTGTAAGTGCATGAGAAGTGCCGATCATGCAAGAGTGACAACCCCCCTTCAGATTTTTGACCTATTGATTAAGCGAGTGCATCCGAGGACTCGATGGTGGAGAGGCTCGACTCAAAAAAAAAAAAAAAAAAGCCCGTCCTTTGCCCTGACCACGTCACATCGCCATCCACGTCTGAGAGATCCAAGCGGATCCCATGCGCGCAGCCCGGGTCCTCTCGATCTTAGCGTATGCCAACCTTGCAGCTAGATCAAGACCTCAACCTTTTAATGGCCTTTCTCTGATTGGCTCGATCCCACTCAACCTTCCCTGTCCAACTCGTACTGTCGAGGCATGTCACTGTTCGCAAGGCTGTTCGAGCAAGCCTCGGTGGGGACTTTCGTCCAGATCCGCCCAAGATCACCGCTCTTGAAGGATGCCCAGCCGCTTCAACGTGGGGATACAGTCCATATTAGCATCCGCGCCTCGGCAGGCTTGCCAACAACATCTATCAACATGATATATAACACACAGCAAGACTCGAGCCTCCGGTCATCAGCGAGTCATCATCTGAAACAGAGAAACCAAAATGGAAAACATGACATCGCAACATGAACTGGCTCATGCAACCGGGCGAGCCTCCGAAGCCCCCAAGCCTCTCAGTCAAGTAATCCCCAATAAATATGCCTCGTGAAAAATAAAAGCTCCGCAGCCCATAGTAAACGCCCTCTTCCGTCTTGTACACTTCAAAAATGTCGAGTTCATGCTTCCCGGAACGAAAACGCCTGGAGTTCTTCCATGCCTAGACCCCTTTTCCCGTCTTTTCTTTCGGTTTATGCTTTAAACGCAGCATGCCACTTTGTGTTGTATGTCTCAAGTTCCTTGTCGCAAGCTCGGTCTCCAGACTTAGTGCAGCCGGCGGCGCGCACGACAAGATCGCCGTCCACGAACATCTCGCCCTTGTCGTATCTGTTGTATGAATTGAACGTCTTCTGAGGTACAATCGCTAGTCGAGAAAGAATAGTCGGGTGCCATTGAACAATGTGTTCCTGTAACTGCTTGTCAATACGATGACCACTGGGGACGCAGGTATACGCAACTTACCAAAGCGTGTCCCTCAGCCTTCTGAAAGTTGTAAGACCGGTATAGAGGGTCAAACCACGTGTCAATGAAAAACTTCGCCCACTCTCCGTTCCGGACGAAGAAGCTCCCCGCAGATAGACCCTCTCTGTCTTGCGTGAGGACGAAGTCGATGTCGTTGCCCTTCAAGTGAGGGAACGTCTTGATGATGCTGTCGGGGGGTACGACCGGGTGGTCCTTGATCATCAAGCTCTCAATCTTGTCCGCCTTTAGAAAAAGACTCTCTAGAGATTGGGTATTCATGATGTACGAATCCTGGTCAAGATACCAGAACCAGCTCGCCTCGGGATACTTCGTGATCGCGTGCCTCAGAGACACAACTTTGTTCCATGACGCCGGGGAACCTTTGAGATCGTAGTCGCCAACCTTCGTGAACATCACTTCGTAGCCTGCGCGGGGACCATCAGTGGGTGTACTACCTCAGGTATTATGTTTTCAAACATACCATGCAAGTCCGCATACTGTTTTCTGTTATCACGAATACTCGCCAGGTAGTTCTTTCCGTACGTCGTCTCGTCCAGATTCGTGACAATCACCACAGGGGGGTTGCCCGATGGTGCGCGGGGCGCACTACTGGTCTTGAAGGCTCCGGAGAGAAGGTAGATGAAGCCAAGGAATGCGAGTGCACCGACGGCGATGACCTTTGTCCTGCTCCTTCGAAGAATCGGTGGTATCCTCGACGATCTCGCCCTGAAGGGTGGCGGATTGGAACTCTTTCGTGGAGGGTATGCGAAGTGCATTGTGTCGGATTAGTCGATTATGGGAAGGATGGGTCGCAGAGGTTCGCAATCGAGCGGATGCGCTGTCTGCAAGACCTGCGCAAAACGTCGTCGGCTTGGTTGGTGAGAACAAAGGTCGTCGGGATGCAAATTTCGCGGGTTTCGAACACGAGACTGTAGGCTGACTGGCGCCCGTTGCGACTAGAGTCTTGGCGACGAAGGAAAGGAGGGAGAAGTCAACGAGTGTCGAGGGTCGTAGGGCGATCGTAGGGCGTCATTCAAAGTGTCGCATAACGTCAAGGACTTGGGCAGTCGGGGCGACACCTTGGAGAGCACAGATATCGAAAAGCGGTGGTTCGTGCAAGGGGTAACGGCGAGCGACCAAAGAGTAATGGCTGCTGAACACGAACTCGATGGCATCGTTTCGTTTAATTCAGGTCCACTCAGTGAGCATGAGATCTAGCTCATTGACAGGGACAGGCACTGATTGGCTCGCTCGGGGAGAATATGATCCGTACAGTGATCCCCTGAGGCCCGTGCCCTGCTTGCTCAGGGTCGCAGCGGCGGCCCCCACGGTCCCAAGGGGGTCGGCCTGCATTTGCGGGGTGAGATGACGCGGTTCAAGCTTACTGAGATGCCTGGCTGTCATCCCAAGTCGTGTTGTAGCAATGATTTTCATAATTTGAACGGGAAACACATGATGATTCAGTGTCCTTTCACTGTATTTCATAGACGGGACAGATATGCTTGAAAATCATCTCTTTTGGTCAAGTAAAATAGTTGTCAATGCCTGCAGCGACAATGCGAATCGTGTATCAGTTTGCGCGTTTGGCAACCCAAAGGAATCGACAAGGCCAATTCAAATGAATCGACGACGAGGTCGAGGGTAGCCATCAGCTGGATTCGAGTCGACAAAACGCCAACTACTTGAAAACAACCTGATGTCGTCCGAATGTCCAAAGTGAATCTGGCCAAAACGGCCAGAAACAAGAACATATCGGGGACTTGATCTCCGCACACAGACTAGTTGACACGATATGGAAGAGAATCTTCGAGGCAACTTAAGAGTGTGCGGGTGAGTGTACTCATGAGAACATGCAGACGTATCAAGCGGAATCTGTTCAAAAAATAACAGCCGTTGTATTGTCCATAAGCATCCGTCCTACGTTAGTCCTTCTTCGTTTCTTCGTCGTCATCGTCATCGTCACCACCCACGTCAAAAACCCGGTCGCTCGCCTTTTGAAGCGCGGAAGCACTGAATGCCCTCACGGCTTTCCACACACCCCACATAAAGGTGACGGCACCAATAATGACGAGCCCGATGTTGATGTTCTCAACTCGCGCGCGTCCTGTTCCCCCACGGCGTCCGGTCGAGCCAAGAAGACCGCTAGATCGAATATTCCACCACTGCCACGGCGTCATAGCAAGGAGAGATTTTAAGAAGCCGAGGAGACCGAGGGAGAAGAACCCCTTGAGGAAGTGTTCGAGCCATGTTCCAGGCTCTTCCGATTCCGGCTCGTGAAGCGCTTCAATGTCGTCCAACACATTCGCGACCGTGTCAGCGATTGTGCCCATCGGATCACTCCACAGGTTCAAAATGGGGTCGGCTATGAACCCGAGGAGGAAGACCGAGAAGACGAAAATGAGTATGGTCAGTAGAATCTGCGCATAGGCGCTCGATAGACGGTTTGCCCACGAAAGCCGCTCAAGTTTGTACTGATAGCCACAGGTCGGGCATGAGAAGAAGTTCCGATTGGCAGTCGAATCAGCGTATCTCCAAGCCTGCAAGCAACCCTCGTGAACGTAACGTTGAGACCCCTTGCACTTGCATGGTGAGATGAGTCGTCCACACTCAGGGTCGTCAGACTTGTAGGTCGGCCGCGGTGGTGCGTTCATGAATCCGCTCATAACCCCAGGTTCTTCAACGGTAGGATGAACAACGTCGAAGCAGATGCGACATACTCGCGGGCCATAGTATCTTTGCTTGGGCTGAGGCTCGGGCTGTGGCTGTTCCTCCGTGGTCTTCTTCTCGTTCTGGCCCTCAAAGTTGCTAGATTGCGACGCTTCGGCTGCGTCGGCTTTGTCGGCTTTCGCATGGCCTCGCTCTCTGGGGAGGTCAGACGGCCAACTCCACTGAGGCGTGGCCGACTCCATCGCGGCGACAACGACGAAAGATGTGACTAGGATTGAATAACTTTGCGCCGGCAATGCGCGGGATGATGTCTGGGTTGTGAGATTGCAGCGGGCAACAAACAGGTAGAAATGAAACGATGCAGGGAAATGCTCAGAGCGTTGGTGCTTGCAGTCGTGGGATTGGTGTTTTCCTTGGCTCGAGTGAACCCCAAAAGACAGCACCTACATGGCAGGAAGGAAGAAAGCGATACACCAGGCCATCTGTCCTTTCGAAGATGGCGCCAAGCTCTTGGGTTTTCCTGGACGAGAAAGGCCGTCAACTGAGTGTGTAGCAGGCGTAGAGAAAAGAATATTCCAGCACCACTTTATTCTGAGCTGGCTTCGGCTGGTCATAGCTTCCGTGCCTTTTTGATTATGTCAGCTGGATTGGAGCCGTTCTTGCCCGGATCAACACCCCGACCGGCCAAGTCACGTGCCTCCACTTCCCCAGGCGGCGAGCGGACGGTTGGCAGCTTGACGCGGCGCGAGTTGCCTAGGAGGGAGAGCTTCATAGCTCCGACAGCCTCACCTCGTTTGACCGCAGCCAATTCACCTTCCATCCTCCCCGTCAACACCACCCTCGAAAACACACATCGACTGTACAATTCAACAGTCAAGCCATGGCCGACCGCTACTCCTTCTCCCTGACGACGTTCTCGCCCAGGTGAGCTGCTCGATCCACTGTGTGACGTCTACATGCTAACTTGGTGCAGCGGCAAGCTGGTTCAGATCGGTACGCTGAGATCCTACCCCTCCATTGATTGCAGTTCTAGCGTCAATTTGATCAAGTATGCTCGAGACGGAGCTGATTGAAAATTAGAGTATGCTTTGAACGCCGTCAACCAGGGTGTTACCGCCCTTGGTATCAAAGGCAAGCTTACCTGCCCCTCCTTCCCTAAGCCCATGCTAACCCCACGAAGCCACCAACGGCATCGTCCTCGCGACCGAGAAGAAGTCTTCATCCCCGCTCGCCGACCCCAGCTCGCTGTCCAAGATTAGCCTCGTCACCCCGAACATCGGCATGGTCTACTCCGGCATGGGCCCCGACTACAGAATATTGGTGGACAAGGCCCGCAAGGTTTCGCACACCGGCTACAAGCGCATCTACAATGAGTACCCCCCCACGCGGATATTGGTGCAGGACGTCGCTCGTGTGATGCAGGAGGCAACTCAATCTGGTGGTGTCCGTCCCTACGGTGTCAGCTTGCTCATCGCTGGCTGGGATGAGGGAATCCTGCCCGAGGACGAGGCCGAGGCCCAGGAGGGCGAGGAGAAGAAGGCCACCGGCAAGACTGGTGGTACTCTGAAGGGAGGACCCATGCTGTACCAGGTTGATCCTTCTGGCAGCTACTTCCCCTGGAAGGCGACGGCTATTGGCAAGAGCGCCACTTCAGCCAAGACATTCTTGGAAAAGAGATACACGGAGGGCTTGGAGCTTGAGGACGCCGTGCACATTGCGCTGCTTACGCTCAAGGAGACCATTGAGGGAGAGATGAACGGAGAGACCATCGAGATTGGTAAGTTGAAAAGCGCTTGCGGCGAGTGATGAAGTATCTGACCCTTTTACAGGTATCGTTGGACCCCCGGCGGACCATCTGCTCGGCATTGACGGCGTTGAGGGTGCCAAGGGCCCCCGATTCAGGAAGCTCAGTCCTCAGGAGATTGAGGATTATCTCACGAACTTGTAATGCACGTCTTGACTTTATGGGTCTTACCCTTGTATCATAGAACAGCATAGAGACACGGGAGCAAAGAGGACCTCCGGGCTCTAGAATCAATGGATGACCTACGCGATGACCACACCTTACGAGACTAAAATGCTTGTGAGTGCCCTCGTTCCAACAATCCCAATTCAAACGCCCGCAGGACGGATTCCAGACATACAATGATTTATGAAGAACGTTCTAGTCTCGTCCAGGCGATCCGGCTGTCAAATAGCTTTAAGGAGGGCATACGAATGGAATATTGATATAGAGTAGTTAGGAAGGAATCGGAAACCACAAAAGGAGGAGCTTGGGTTGAGGCAGACGCACCCCCTCAGGCACCAGCTTACGCTGACTGCCGATTGCCGAGTCGACCGCCTTTCTTTCCTGCAGGACTATTGCCCGGCTGATAGCATCTGAAACCACCGGTAGCTGTGCCGCATCGATGCAGAGGACGAATTGTTCACCTGATGGCCCAATGTAGGAAATGACGGCACTTGGAGAAGATGGTCATTCGTAACCTGCCTAACGGCAGGCAGATGACACAAGTTGACGGCCGTCTATGAATGTCTAGACCGATCAGGGTCCAGTCAACCACCCCTGCAAGCATGGTCGTCGTGCATTGTGGTTGCAACTTGCAGGAGGGTGACACAGGCCAGTAAGCTCAACTTCACCCAATCCACCCTCCATGTCGGACTCTTATTTGTTTATGAGGCCTGCCTTGAAGCGCAAAACTGCATGCGACGGGTACCTTGAGAAAAGAATCATACCAACGGCCCTGCATTTGCAGGTTCTTTTGAAGGCGCTCTACCAGTTATTGCTGTACTTCGCCGCGCTGCTAATGTACAAATCCAGGAGAGCATCCCGCGTCTTGGTTCCTAATTGCATCGGCTCCGAGACGGCTTCATGACAACAGGTGGCTGGATGGAAGCCTGAAGGCAACGGTGTCTTGAAGAAGAAACCAAGAACGAACGCATGTGCTGCAGCACAACCTTGGCTGCGTTATCTCTGGTGTCGCCATCGTTGTTGCCTTGTGTCGGCGAACTCAAAAATGTGTTGGCCTCAAGAGTCAGCAAGACGCAAGCCAAGTGCCGGGACATATTGGGAAGTCGGCCAGGCAGTTCTCGGGGTTCCGGACGTTTAAGGCCGTATTTTTGTTCGGCAGCGGACCCGACTGGACATGGCCCAAAGCCGGGGTGGAGGCGGGTGATTGTGGACTAGAACCCAGTCAGCGGCATTACCGTCCGAACGTGAACCGCCAGAGTGGTGCTGCCGATGGTGCGTCTCGGCGGTGTTCTTGGAGCCTGGACAGAATACTAGGTACTGAGTTGAAGCTTGACAGGTACCTTGTGTTTTTTTTCGTGCAACACGAGTTCCCCAAGACCACGGGGTAAGCTTGCTGGGGTTTGTTGTCAGATTCGTAGTTTCTTTCTTCCGAACCACATCATCGATGGATCCGGGTCGGCACCCAAGCCTGGCTCTACGAGAAGACTAATCCCCATGTCGCGGGGAATTTCGCCTGTTCCTGCTTACAATCCTTAACAACGTGCCAGCAGCATATCGTGCGCCAGGAGTCACAAGTGGTGATTTTTGAGTCTTGCGAGCCCGCCTCATTTCCCAGCTGCTCCATTATCTGCATCATGATTCACCTTCGTTATTTTCTCCCTGGCGAAGGAGCCCAAGCAAAGCTTCCCGCGCGGTTATGTCCAGTATGACACCGTCTCTCAACCTACTGCCGTGCGTAAGTGGTTGCGAAAACGACCACGTCCTCAACAACAGCAGCAGAATGGTGGGCCTCCTGCAGGACTCGGAGGACACAAATACGCGCAGCGCGAGTGGATTGCGAGTGCAATTCCAAGGTCTTGCTGTTTATTCCACTTCCACTACTGAATCACAGTCGCGGCCACTCCGTCGACGCATGGCGCCAAAAGGTCGGGAATATCTGACCTTGAGACTCTGACTCTGTACCAGGCACCATCGCCTTGGGTTGCTGCCCACCCATCCTCTCCGACCCTGGTCCTTCTGCCTACACGCAAGCGCTTGCGCTGTTGCAACCAGACTCGCGGCACCATCCACAATTTTTTTGCATTTTCCACGACCAAGTCAGCATTTGTCGTCAGGCAGTCGTCGCCAATTGTATCTCAGTTACGCCCGGCTTGAATGATTGACATCTGCCTTGCTACCTACTTCCCGTCGCACATGCAAGAACAGGAAGGGCATCGTCAACACACCACCACCCATCGCAACCCTGCACCTCACCGCACTGCACTGCATTTCACTGCGTCCCGCGAACCCATTCGGGCCCCGCACCACCCAACTGCTTAGGATTCCTCTACATGGCTAGGTTGCCCTTTTTGAGCCGCGTCATTTTAACCTTACACCCGATTCTCCCCCATTGACTCACGCCGTCCACCCCGCTGCCGGGGTTTGTCTCGTCATCGTACCTGGGTACCGTACGCTAGCCACGCTGCCGTGGAGCTTGGCTCGAGTCGTCGCCCGGGAAGTACCTCGCATCCCAGGACTCGACTCTAGCCACAGGACTGAGGACTTTCCGGGTCCCTGGTCAAGTCACACCAGTTCGTACCACCGTTGCACCGTGGTAATGGCTGACTATTCCCAATCATCTTCCGGCGACGGCACCGATCCATCAGAGGATGACCTGCACTCTGATGTCCCGGCCCCGGGGCCTCTTAACCAAGATGCCATCTCTGCTTCCGCCTCCGCCTCCTCCTCCGAGGAGTTGTTCCTGGACAATGAGGCTGCATTGTCTCCAGATGAGACCGCCTCAGGCACTCAGGTCATCATGAATTCGAGGGCTTACCAACTCGAAATGTTTGCCGAAAGCATGAGGCAAAACATTATTGTAGCTGTAAGTCTCTCCAAATAGTCAATTATTACTTAATAGATTCTAAGGCTTTCTCAGATGGATACTGGGAGTGGCAAGACTCAAGTGTAAGTCCGGATCCAACTCCAAAACACCTGGTAACATGTTGCTGACCAGATTTCAGTGCTGTGTTGCGAATAAAAGCAGAATTGGAGAGAACAGCAACCGAACAAGTTCGAAACTCCCAGACTAGTCTGTATCAACTAAGCTAATCAATGCAGATTGTCTGGTTTCTCGCTCCAACCGTGTCACTATGTGCACAGCAATTGGCAGTGCTCAAGTCTCAGATTCCCGCTGTCCAGATCAAGTTCTTGAGCGGCGACGACAATGTCGACTCATGGTCGGATCAGGCAGTATGGGATGCTGTACTATTGAATGTGCGCATAGTTGTGTCGACGTACCAAATCTTGCTAGACGCCTTGTCTCATGCATTTGTAAGGATGGAAAGGTTGTCTCTGATTGTGTTTGACGAAGGTATGCAACCCAAATCTACCCGTCACCTCAACAGCTAACATGTCCATAGCTCACAACTGCGTCGGCAAGTCTCCGGGGAGCAAAATCATGACCAACTTCTACCACCCACATAAGCGCGACGAGCGACGAGTGCCTCATATTATGGGGTTGACGGCTAGCCCAACATTCGGATCAAAGGTCGAGAGCATCAATGTCCTCGAGTCAACGCTGGACGCCGTCTGCAAGACTCCTACAATGCACCGCGATGATCTTCTTGCTTGCGTCAAGAAGCCAGAGTTATCCTTCGTCGAATTCCTCCCCAAGCCCGACTACAGAACCCCCAAGAGTTTACAAACTCTGAGGAATGCGATCCGAAACCTCGACATCTCGGAGGATCCGTTCGTTCTTCACCTGCAAGCCGAAGGCACCGATCGCAGCAAGCGGGAGCTCTTTGCGGTTCTTGAAAAACATGATACCTACGTACACAACCAAATGACTTCATTTGGTCGCCAAGCGAATCAGATCTGTCGAGAACTGGGGCCATGGGCTGCTGAATACTACATCTGGGAAGTCATTACCAGATTCGACTCAGCGGTACGGTCACAGAGTAGATGGTTGGAAGCCTGGAAAGAAGACGAGAAGAAGTACCTTGGCAAGATCCTTGGCCAGATCGAGTGCCGTCGCCCGTCACCGACTGAGATCAGTCGCGATGTTCTTTCGGAAAAGGTTTTCATCCTTATTGAGCAGTTGCTCCAGGATAAGGTGGATATCACTGGAATTGTGTTTGCCAAGGAGCGAGCCACTGTAGCCGTGCTGGGTCATTTGCTTACATCGCATGAAGCTTTGCGGGCTAAGTACCGGGTCGGCGCAATGATGGGCACATCGCAGTACCAGGCAAGAAAACGAGATATCTGGGACCTCTCTCGGACAGAAGACCTGCAGTCACTACACCAATTCCGATCCGGGAAGATCAATTTGTTGATTGCAACCAGCGTCCTCGAGGAAGGCATCGATGTTCCGGCCTGCAACTTGGTGATCTGTTTTGACAGACCACCGAACCTCAAATCCTTCATCCAAAGACGAGGACGAGCACGAATGCGTGACTCCAAGCTGTTAATGCTACTCGACCGCTCTGAGACTTTCTCTCAAGAATGGGAGTCCATGGAGGCCGAGATGAAGCGGCAGTATGAACAACAAGAGCGGGAGCTCGAGCATTTGCAACAGATTGAAGAGGCGGAGGAACTGGCAGATATGCAGTTTAACGTTGAGACAACGGGCGCGCTTTTGGATCTCGACAACGCGAAATCACATCTTGATCATTTCTGCCGAATCCTGTCTCCTGGGGAGTTTATCGACTGGCGTCCTGACTACATTTTGAAGAAGCTTGACAACACGGATGCTCCTGATCTGAGGTATACGGTTGTTCTTCCAAGCTACCTTCCCGCCGAAGTACGATCTGCCGAAAGCACATCAACGTGGAAGTCTGAAAAGAACGCGATGAAAGACGCCGCATTTCAGGCCTACGTAGCTCTTTATCGGGCAGGCCTCGTCAACGACAATCTTCTGCCCTTCAAGCCAGAGGACTTTGTTCCGGGAGTCGACAAGAGGGCTGCTTTTCTCCAGGTGAACGGTCTTTTGAATGCTTGGGATAGTGTGGCCAACGCGTGGAAACGTGGAGACCCCCTGAGGGCAACCCAGATTCTGCTGAAAGATGCAAATGGGGATGTCCATACAGAGTACGAAATGGTGCTTCCCACTTGGATCCCCGGGCTGCGGACGATGCCACTTTATCTCGACTACCACACGACATGGTCAGTCGAATTTGGTGATCAGCTTCCCATCGAGGAGCCTGAGAACGGAGACCATACTGCTGTACTTCTCGCCTTGCCTTACGGCCATCGCTGGTTGTCGAGTCCGCTTCAGCAGGTAATCAGGTTTAGCGCAGTTAGTGCCGAACTTTCTCTGGATGGTATTGGAACGAAGCATTTTGTGCCAGGGGAGATGTCTGCACACGACCTCACCTGCTTCATTCGAGACGACACCGGATGCCCATACCTTTACGAAGGCATAATCGACAATAAGCCGACGCCCGACCTGGTGTCAAAGACATTCTACGGGTTCGAAAAAGCCCCTCAAGACGTTCCATATCTCACCCTCACGAAGTGGTCTCGACGATCAGACTTTCTTCACCGGCCACAGAGCGACCCCTCCCAAGCCCCGAGTAACCCAAAGCCTTACTCGCGTGTATACCCGGTTCCGATGGCAAAGGTTGATGCTATACCGGCGAAGTACGCACATTTCGGAGTGCTTATCCCATCCATTCTACATCGGATCGAAACATGCCTTGTGGCCAAGGAACTCTCAACGACACTGTTGAGACCGCTCGCCATCGACGACTGGTCCCTGGTTCACACAGCCATCAGTGCTGGAAGTGCTGCTGAGCCTACCAACTATGAGAGGCTCGAGTTTCTCGGCGACTCGATCCTGAAATTCTCTGCTACAATCAACGTGGCCGCTTTGAGTACGTGGACATTCAAGCAAAACCCCGGCAGAAGGCTGACATATCGCAGATCCCGACTGGCCAGAACGGCTACTCTCCTTTAAGAAGGACAGCATCGTCGCCAACTCAACGCTCTGCAAGGCTGCAATCAAGCACGGCCTGGACCGTTTCATTCTGACGAAACCGTTCACGGGACAAAAATGGCGCCCGATCTACGTTGAAGACGTGCTCAAGCGCGGTGAAGATACGTCTACTAGAAGGATTTCCACCAAGACTCTCGCCGATATTGTCGAGGCACTTATTGGGGCTTCGATGATTGACGGCGGTGAAGACGGTGGCCTAAGCAAGGCACTGGACTGCATGTCCATATTCCTGCAACAGATCAAGTGGAGAAGAATAGATGACTGCAGACAGCTGCTGTACGACGTCGCTCCCGACAATGTCGAGCTGCCCTCAACCTTGAAGCCGCTGGAAGAGCTGATCGGCTACGAGTTCGACAAGAAGTCTCTCCTGATCCAGTCCATGACGCACGCGTCGAGCAACTTTGGCAACCCCCTCGGTTGCCTCGAGCGCCTGGAGTTCATCGGGGACGCCGTACTCGACTACATCATCGTCAACCGCCTCTTCTCCATCCGGCCGCACCTCTCGCACCAGTCGATGCATCTCCTCAAAACGGCAGTCGTCAACGGCGACTTCCTCGGCTTCCTATCCCTCGAGCAGTCCGTCGAGCAGGAAGAGGTCGTCATCGGCGAGATCCGTGACAAGGTGCCCGAACTCAAGCGCTCTCGCTTCACCCTGCCGCTATGGAAGTTCATGCGCCACCAGTCCTCGGCCGTCGGCCTCGAGCAGATCAACATTGAGAAACGGCACGCCGAGATGCGCGGGCCCATCATCGACGCCATGGAGCACGGCGCGACGTACCCCTGGGCCCTGCTCGCGCGCCTGCAGCTGAGGAAGTTCTACTCGGACATTTTCGAGTCGCTCCTCGGCGCGGTGTGGGTCGACGCCGGGGACATGAAGGTCTGCGAGCAGGTCGTCGAGCGGTTCGGCATCCTGGGCTGTCTGGACCGCATCCTCCGCGACGGGGTGCATTGTCTTCATCCCAAGGAGGAGCTTGGCCATCTCGCCGATAAGGAGAGCGTGCAGTACGTTCTGAGTTACAAGGAGCTGGAGAACAGGGAGCGAGAGCTCTCTTGCAAGGTCATGGTCGGCACCCGCTGCGTCGTCGAAGTCGATAAGGGTGTTACCAAGGACGAGGTCAAGGTCAAGGCCGCAGAGGCGGCGGTGCGCATTCTCAAGGCCGAAAAGATGCAAAAGATGGCGGCACAAAAGGACCCTGACGGGGACACGGCGATGGGCATCGAGAACGACGATGCTGACTAGTGGTCGGCGCCATCAGACGAGGAGCTCATCGAACAATCCGAAAAGTTTAAAGATTCCAAGTTTCAAGAAGAGAAATGGGAGAATGGATACAAAAGTACGCGCATGAAAATGAAGGGCTAGACTATGAAAAGTAATTCTTTGTATTGGGCGTCTGGTATGATAGGGCATTTCCTACCCTGTAGAGGATACGTAGACATTGAAAAGTGAAAGACAAAGCTAGGAGAGGGTATATCTGGTTCCACCACTAAACTCCTGATGAAAGGAGGAAAACACCATCGTCGACATCGTAACCGTGAAGTAATGAGTACTAGCGCCTGCGCCCACGGAAGATATGTCAAATCTTGCGCCTAAGAAGTCATGCAACGAGGTCGCCCTCGAAAAAGCAAAACGAAAAAACGAAAAGAAAACAGCGCCGCAAGTCCCCGTTGTCAAGGCGGGTGTCAAAGTCAGGAGAGAAAAGTATGCAACAGTGTTGCTCCGAAGAGACGATTCGTCGTCAGAGTCACTGTCAGAGCTCGACCCGTCGGACTCGCTGTCAGAGCCCAATTCATCGAGCTCCGGTGGTGGCTTCTAGTCATCCGTGAGATCGATCGCCTTGTGCTTGTCGTCGATTCTGACTTTCTTCCACTCGCGCTTGGTTGGCTCTTCGGTCAGATCGTAATACTCGGCAAATTCGCGTTTGATGACGGCCCTGGGCTCCCGCTTAAGGGTTGGTGACCGACGATGATGCTTCATGTATGTTAGTCAGGCTCGATGGGTTGCTTGAGGAAACAAACGTTAATGTCCTCGAGTCGCTCTGCAGCCAACCGGCGGATCTCCGCTTCGGACAGGGCGTTGATTCCTTCAGGAGTGGGAGACCGGAGGATCACCAGCTCCTTGTGGAGAGCATCTGCTCCAAGGTTAGTTTTGCGACATCCCAACCACAGCAACAGACAACTAGCCTCGACTACGGTATTTGAAAGAAAACGCCGCCAACGGTTCTCGGGGATAGAAATCAACTGAGACGGTGCTTGTCTGTGGAATGAGTCCGCCGTCGGAGTACCTGTAACTCATCAGCATCAATCATCCAAAAGAAATAGAGCTCGCGGACAACTCACGCAGTCCCATGCGACACAGCCCGACCTTTCAACGCCTTCTCGGCAACCTCAAAGTCCTTATCGCGGGTCGGCCGATGCGATCTGTGAGTGGGCCGATTCTCTCTGACGGAGCAGCCGTAGACGTAAACCTTGATCAGACCTATGCGCTTGAAGTCCTCAATGTCTCTTGCCACGCGATCCTTCCCCGCGTCATCAACTGCGCATACCATTAGCTTTGTGCGCGCATTGGCGCAGCGAGACAACGTACTAGTCGTAATTTTGGAAAACTTGAATTTCCTCATAGAATCCATACGGGAGTGTGCCGACGTATGGCGCGTGCCTGCTACACGGTGCGTCCATACCGGTGAACCGGGGGGGTACCGAGCGGATTCCCAGAGGCAACTATCCATCTGGGCGCCGTCGATGGACAAGTAGATTCCAAGGGCATCGTACCTGGACAGCTGTCCGTAGGTGTTATCGAGGTGGTATACAACTGAGAATGGCGAGTCATCTTTGGACTCAATGTACTTGAAGCAGCGATTGGTTGCACGTCTATTGTTCTTGTCCTCGGCGGGGCCGTCCTCGTCGTTGTACTCTTGGGCCTTGACGTCGTTAACCTCGATGGTAACCTTGATGCCGGGGAGCTCGTTGAGGACCGCCATCGTTGCTGATGAAAGAATGGAAAAGGCTCCAAAACTTAGAAAACCAGCTCTACTGTGAATTCCGACGGGCAAGTAGACGCAATTTGATGTGTGAGGCTGAGGTTGATGGCACGAACACGTGTGGAAAGGACGTTGAGGTAGTTCACAGTGTGAAGTGGAAGATGAGGCAGCTGAAAAGGGCAGTCCGGGCAGGCGTCGGGATGCGCCTGCGCTGTGATTGGTTCATTTGCTTGGAGAGTGGGTCTGTACCAATTGCATCGACAGCGTCCTAGTACGTGCTGGTTCGCCATCGTCCGCCAAAGCTAACCTTGAGAGCCTTTATTGCCAGTCTCTTAGTTTTGAGAGTCGAACCCGCAATCTTTCTTTGGACATCTATGGTCAGGAAAACAGACTGTCTTCGCGAAATACATCTTGAGTAGCGCTGGGTACTTGCATAGGTATGTAGCACTCAGTAACACAACAAGGAACTGCAAGTCTTGAAAGCAGAATTTGTGACATATGATCTTTCTTAATATAATAAATATATACATATATTTATATAAAATACAGCGTCTCCAACATTCGGCATTGCGGGGGGTTAAGCAACCTCGTGAACAGAAAACGAACTTGTGAAAGGAGACATTCAAACGTGGCGAGATGTGTTGGCCCGCAAGTCGGTCTCCAATTCGGCGAGGAACAACTCATTGTAAGGGATGCCTGCAGAAACACTCTACTAATCTTGCTTCTGAACTACAGTCCTGGGTTGCAACCAATCTTTCACTCGTTCGTCGAAACGTTGCAACATCTTGCACAAAGGGCAGGTTCCCAAACTTATTGCAATGGTGACTTGCCTGACTCAGAGTGCTGAAGCTTTACAGGAAGGAGGAGCATTTACCTGATATCTGCTTTTATGTTCTTGCTCAGGTGGGAAGTTTCTAGCTGTCGCTCGTCAGACAGGGGTTTCGGCAAGGGCAAATGCAAATGACAGGAGCCAGGCCGCTCTTTCCCTTTGGAAAATTTGACTTGGCACCTTCCGCGTTACCTCTCTTCTACTGCATCAATTTCGCGCGTCATTTTCTCATTTCCAATTTCTGCAACCTGCCGTGCAGTCAGTCTGTTCTGGGCCTTGGTCATCCTTCATTCCGGCTTTTCACAGTGTAGGTCTCGACCAGCGATTCTCCAGGCGACTTCCTCCTGCCACTCAGCACTCGCGATGGTTGTCATCGAGGATCTTCCCCAGATCAGGGTCGCTGTCCGCATCACTGGCTCGGATAGCGATTGTGTCGAATATGACGATCCAGATCCTCCAATCACACCGTCAGTTGGTGGCACTGCACAACACTCCGTCGCAAAGATCATCCAAAGCGAAGACGATGCGGAATTCTTCGTACACTACCGTATCGATAACAGTTTGGGTTGGTATGGTGGCAACAAGGGTCTGGCAGTGGCCTGCTACATCGATGGCAAGCGCATGGATTCAAAAGCTGCGATGGAGAAACATCTGCGAAATGGGTCTATCCACGGACGTATAACTGGAGTGGCTGTTCCTTCAGTTAGACCTGGGAAGATAACCCTGAAGAACTTCAAGTTCTCAAAAATCACCAGAGGTAATTGCTCCCCTGTTTTATTTCCTTTCGTCTTGCATCCATGGAATTTGGCTCACATCAGTAACGCAGTTGAGAACCACAAGGACAAGCTCAAGGAAGATATGGAAGCCGCCAAGCATCTAGGGGTTATAGAAGTTGTTGTGTGTCGCATGGTTTATCTCGGACCATCTCAGTTTCGAGCACAAAGCGTCAATTTCCAATCGGAGCTGGCCAAAAAGGCTCTTATCAAGAGCACCGTGACACATGGTACCTCGTATGACCCCTTCTCAGCACAGTTTTTGACTCCTCCTTACTCACAACGCGCAGTTTTACCGAGGGAAAAGACGTCGAACCTCCTGAAAGTTTTGTTACCAAGTATCCAGACGGAAATCGGCTCATTGCTCGGTATGTTTTCAGGTACAAGTCCGGGGCCATTCTCGAAAACGAAGGCATCATCCAGCGTGACGATTTGCCGGAGACTTCCGTACCTCCTCGGCTCTCGCCATTGCATGATAACCTCACCATCGATGATCTGTCCCAGGAAAAGATCAGGCGGCTGGCCCAGGAGCGTCTCGACGATCTTAATGTGAGTTTTAACCTTGAAGAGGACCAGTCTGTTACTGACGAAGCTCTAGACCGTGAAACGAGAGGAGAAAGTCAAGAGAGAAGGTAGCCCACACCCCGACATGCGACCAAGCAAGGTCTACAAGGTGGATTCTGATGGTGCGATTGACCTCACGGATGAGTGAACCCAATATACGATAGGCGCAACATTGTTACATAGCGGGGGGCGTTTCCTCATTGTGGGGTGCAACTGGGTCTCATTTGCTGTTTGCTATGGGTGATCATGGCTTATAAGAACAGAGTGCGAAAAGGAACAGAATGTCATTGCAGTTCTGGCTTTGTCAAATAACTCCTGGGATCAGACCCCTTGTATCAGACTCGTATTTTTTTCAATTCATCTCCTGGGCCCTCAACAACTCCCACATCGAGTCAAGGTCTGCCTGATACGCATGAGAAATACCATCAACGAAAGGCTGGGTATAGCAGATATAAGATGAGGCACCGTGGGAGATGTTGCAAGCCCGAATTGACCCATTTCAAAAGGCAATATTGAAAGTGCCGGGAGGGGGAAGATTGCATCAGCTCGATACCTTCTCTTGGCGCCTTAAGCTGCACTATTCTATTACTCCGTCGAAAAGGATAGCGGCCGGATATGAATCTTCTACTGGAATAACAGCCCAATGAAGTAACTTGAAAAATGCCGCGCCGTGTCGCATTAAACCTACAAAGCAATTTGTTCCGCCCAATAACCCCTCTTCCTACAACCGCTCTTGAGAGCCCAGACAGGCTGACTTCTTGTCTTATGGAACACATCTCACTCCCCAAGTTCTTAATCGACGTCATTGAGGCCAGTCAATGGACCAGCCGGAGTATAGAACCGTGGCTCCTGTTGCTGGGCGCGGGAATCTTCAGTAGGTTCTTCATATTCTAAAGCCATAATCTTGCTCGGCTGGAGAGGAGACTTGTCCCCAAACGCCGAGTGGGCGCTTCTCTTTCGCGAGGTCACGATGTCACTGACATCGGTAGACTGAAACGAGACACCCTCGTCCTCAAGATCGTGATATATCGACTGTACGTCCACCTTCTTTCGTATGTTAGACAGAGGTTCGAGAGGAGCATACGCTTGGTCAAGCATCCGCTCGTTACTATCGTCTTCGAGGAGGGTCATTCTCGTGTCATGAGGCAGGCCTAGCGGTTTCGGAGTCGGTTTCGGGACCGGCGAGGAGGAGTATTTCATTAAATCCTCATCTTCGGATTGCTCGCTTCTCGTAGCAAGCATTGCCATGCGCTCTGGGTGCATTTGCGTGTCACCGAAGTCCATCAGATCCTTTTCCTTCTCGACTTTCACCCGAACTGGTATGGTAACTAAGTACATCGTTAGCATAATTCTGGACCCAACTTTGAAAGACTTACCATATCTGAAGCTGAATCGTCCAATGGGGCATTCCTAGTTCAACCGTTGGACCTGATAGGTTTCAACATCCCTCTTGTAATACCTCTCGCCAGTGGACAAGCTGCATTGTGAATTAGCTGGAGCTTTCGGGAACACCAAATTTGGACGAATGGTACCTGATACCACGGAAGAGCTCTTCCATGGGCAGGTAATCCGACAGTTCGTCTTGCTCCGGAGGGCCAAGAAGCTTCACTAGGAAGAACTCCACACGGATCAAGCCGGTCGCAGGACCTTCCCCGTCTTCAACGCCTTTGAATTGAAACTTTCGCAGCCGCGAAGTCTCGCCCACACTCCAATCCACGATCCCTTGGTAATTGAGTGGCAGCGAATCTGACGTCTTGGCAGTGCTGAAGCCGTTCTGACTAACGAGTCGGCGCAGAACCTCCAATCCGTCCATTTGAATCAATATCATGATACCGCGGTCAGCATGGTCGACGAGCCGGCGGAAAGTATCACTGAGACGGATGTTGACGGAGAATTCGCCCCGTTCTTCGACTTCGATTAACCGGTAACAGCTGTAGGGTGCGTCATGATCGGTATTTACCAAGGTGTCCTCAAGCTCTATCGCATCTCTGCCGTTTACTTCAATGGAGACGTCAGCTTCGAGGTGCAGACTGAGGCCGACCATGATGCATTGAACGTCTGCGCGTCTTGCTGTAGATTCGAAAGCTGTCTCGAGACAAGAATTTCTTGACGGTGTGTTTGTGGTGTCTGCAAGGTTGTCGATGTCAATGACGGGAAGAATCAGTCTTAGTGTGAAAGGAAAGTGTGCAGCGGGGGTTGGAAGGGGAAGGTGGCACCGTGGTAGGAGCGCATAGGCAGGTGCCTGCTTGGGTCGTCTCGTAAACCCATCAAGTTACGATAGTTATGGAAAGTGCTGGTGGCAAACCGCACTTTTTGGACTTCAGAAAAATTAGCTTTTCATCGTCATATTAGGGGATCAATATTCAATATTGGAAAGTACTTCGAATTCATCTAACTACTGCTAAAACGACTCTTGATCATTAATCGACCGCCGGACGGGTTTTCCGTCCGCATAAACTCTTAAGCCATCTCATGAAGGAAATCCTTTCCATCATCGTACGAAAGAAACGTTCTTAAATGCCAAATCGACTTCGAAATTCCCCATGCCGGCCTCGGATAACCTGCCTGAACCAAGTCCGGAACCACGGGTCGAGGAGTTTCTTGCAATATCCATAGAGGTCACCCTCCAAAGATGACAGAAGTCCTGCAGTCCAAAGCTTTCCAAAGCTTCAGAAATAATCGGTGAGATCTATAGCCTCTTGGCCTGTTCCCATCTTGATGATCTTGTAGGGACGAGCAGGCGGGCTGTAATCTTGGGTAAGGTCGCAATAGTCATCGTAGCTGCGCTTCTTGGAGGATCCGCACAACTTCTGATCCTGAAAGTAACGTGAGCGCCAAAGCCTCCAAGTCAATACCAAACGCTTACCCTGAGCTGCCTCAAGCGATCACGCGCAAGCCTCTCGATTTCGTCTTGATGTAGCTCCTCGAATCTAGGCAAGTCGGGCTCTTCGAACCGAACCGACTTCTGAGGAGACGTTGCCTCCGGGCTAGGTGTTTTTGGAACGATTTCTTCAATCCTGAGAGCGTTCAGATCACGGTATTTGAATGTGTACGTAGCCAACAACGGGCCGCTGCGAATCCGCTCGAATGCTGCTCTCTGTTCTCGGCGCGGCGGCCGCAAAGGCGCCTCGTAGGGTGGAGCAAAGCTAGAAAGACTGTAATTAGTAGGGAACACAAAGGAGTTGGAGAATGAACTTACGAGGTACCGTGTGAGATGGGACGGCCCTTCAACGCCTCTTCGGGAATATCAAACGTATCATACCGCGGCTCCTAGCGCGAAATGGGCGCATCTTGTTTGAACGTCCGATGAGGAATTCCAGAGAACCTGCCCAGCCTTACCTTCACTTCGATCGTTCCGAGATCACAAGCGCGACGGAACTCCTGAGTCGAGGCATCCGCATCGTCTATTCACAGTGTTAGCAAAGCCCTCACACTAAACACGATGGTTTGAAGGACCACATACTCGTGGTGATGGATTCGAACTGGAAATCTCTCTGAACCAAGGCAGAGCGAGTTTCGTTAGGGTGTCTCTTTCCCTTAAAGGCGAAGTGCCATCTACGGTGAAAGAAGTCGTCGCTGTGGCAGAAACGTTTGCCCATGAATTGACCGTCAATGAAGAGGAAGAACATGAGTCCACAATCTCCATAGATCCAAGGATCCAGTGACATATCGTCCATGATATTGATGTGGACGGCAAACTCAACTCCATTTTGGCTCTCGATGTAGTTGCGGGAGCATCTTTCAAAGTCCTCGAAGTATCGGTCGCGCAACTGGTACCCGTAAGGGTCGGGGTATTCATCTGCGTCTCTGAAGGATGTTCTGAGACGAACAGATACCTTAACGGCAGGCAAGGTGTCGATGACTGCCATCTTGCGAAGTAGTCCCTGGTAGTCGAGGAGAAATGGTCCGCCCAGCCGAAAGGGTCGAATATGAACAAAATCGTACACAAAGTGGTCATCAAGTCATCATCCCCGGGCGACAGGAGAGGAAGGGGAAAGGAGGAACAGAAATAGCTGGCGGATAGAATAATGATGGGAAGGGAAGATAGTGAAGGTTGTGATGGCAGAGATGATGGAGGAAAGTATGAGAGATGGAGACGAAAGAAAGAGGTGGACTGCGAGAAGGAAGGTAGGACGTCGGTTATGGGTGTTTGGAGGGGATAAAGATGCGTCGTCGGCGGAAAGACAGAGAAAGGAGAATCCGACAGGTGCTTTAGGCCACAAATTTCTCAAATGAGGCAACTGCTGCCCTTGGGGGAAGTCGTACTTGCCCGCCTCGTTCGGCCGACCTTCCGCGCTTGCAATCGTGGATTTGGAGAAGGAAAGCCTTACTGGGCAGGCACCCTTTATTGATTTAAGGTACTTTGTGTATAGTGAACATTCTCCCTGACAGCCTGATATGGTTCTACCGTTGTTGCCAGTTCGCCTCTGCTGTCGTTGTCTATGCACATATAGATACGGCCGATACTAATGAAGTTGGCACATAGGAAATATAGCTGCGAAAACACAGAAACATATCAGGTTCAGAAGTGGGGGAAAGTGTTAATTGGATAAACAGTAGAGTTTAGACATAAAAATGCCAGCATTTGAAAGTGATTGAGGCCGTTGACGATGTCGCTATGATTGCTAGACTTGGGGGTGTAAGTGAGACCCAATGGCGTTGACGTGCCGAGGTACGTACCGAAGTGCCAAAAAGCCACCCGCTGCGACATCATCAGTGGATCCCCGTGCTGATGTAAGGCCGATGGTACCGCAGCCGGAGCGTACCTTAAAGCACCTTGACGCTACGAGTACCTGAAGGGAAACGGGGAACGTGGATCCAACCCCTGCAGCGCGACCCAAAGGGGAGCCCCGTCCGACTCGCAGCAACACCACCTGGAGCTAGCTTGCTCAACCTCCCGTCTCCCGCCAACCTGGAAGCCCATGACGCTCAATGCACCTCTCAGGACTCTTTGTCCATCTCTAGTCCACGCCGGCAGACGCGATGATGGTTGATGCCAGACATGTAATGTCCCGCTGATTCGTTGCAACACCAATCCGTCTTTCCCCTCTCCTCTCGTCTCCTCTCTGCTGGAGGAGCGCCAACATGTCTCCCGAGGCCTCCAGCAACAGCAACATCCGAGTCTTTATCCGCTGGCACGACCAGACTGTCTTCGCTGGCGAGGAGATCAAATGCACCATTACTTTTAAGAATATCGCTCGCGACTCCAGTCAACAACGCCAGTCCCAACTGCTCACTCCCACCGACCGCCCAAGGCACGCCTCGCCCTTACTGAGGGCCAAGTCAAACGCTGGGTTAACCCCGCCGAACTCTGCTCAGACACGCGGTCATCGATCAGCCCTCTCTCTCAACGTACCGGCTGCTCAAGCACGAAAGCGATCAGGCTCTGTTCCATGGCCGTCGCCCCTCACTCCTAATGCTGCCGAACATCGCGGCAACGGCCATCAAAAATCCGTCTCGATAGTGTCGATCGGCTCTACGAGCACCATCGCCGACGAAACTCAAAGCAATGCTAGCTCAACCAAGTCGCAACGGCCCGGCCGCGGCCATGCGCGCGCCTCGAGTCTCCAGATTGTCCCTCGCGGAGCTGCTCTGGGACTGGCAGGACCTCACTCTGGTAAGCCTCTCTGTCGCGACTGATACACTATTTCTGACTTGCCCAGCCTCCCCCAGACACATAAGCTCGCCCTTGTTTAACTCGACATCCGCCTCCGACACACCTCCTGCGACCTCACGATCCTCGACGTTTCCCAATGCGCAGAGTGCTGTTGGCTCACAACGCCCAATGAGGTCTCCCAATAACGCGCTGTCTGAATTTCGATTCCCGATGGTCCAGTCACCGCTCTCCGAATCGACAACCACTCCATTGACAGCGAACCACGATGGCCTCTTGAGCCCAAATACCGATGCTTCCTCTGGCACAGCCGTGCGACCCAAAGAGGGCATTCCTACAATTATCAACGAACACACAGCCCCAGCCATGCGAATACTGTCCACGACAAGCATGGGCGGAGGCACGCCACGGAGCAGCGGAGAGTTCTACTCCATGAGCAATAATTCAACAGAAACTCTGGCTTCGGAGTACCCATCACAGCCCACAAGAGGACCTATGCGACCACCACACTTTAGGCGGCCATCAAACCTGGCGCACAACCCGAAGTTGCCGGAATCGTTAATGATGGGTTACGCGCAAATCCAAGGCTCATTCACGCTTGACGGGTCGCTTATCAATATTGGCCCTTTTGAACAAGTCAAGCGGAAAGCCGTTGTCGGCGGTCAAGGTGGTGGTGTCATCGGAGTGGAACCTTCGAAACGGGATAGTGGGCTGCTTCGAAGTTTCGGCTGGGGGAGTATCAGCAACTCAATTGGCGAGCTGCTCGGAGGTGGTGAGTTGAGCAGCATCAAGGACATGCGCGGCATCGCCAGTTCCAAGTCTGTTCCTTTGCTCTCAACACCTCAGTCCATCCTGTTCGTGGACCTCAACTTGGCCCCAGGCGAGCACAAGGCCTTTGAGTACTCCTTCCAGCTTCCTAAAGGGTTGCCACCGACACATAAGGGCAAAGCGGTGAAAATCTCCTATAGTCTGGTTATCGGCACGCAGCGGGCCGGCGGCTCGAAAGAGCAACAAGTGCGATCTGTGGAAATCCCTTTTAGGGTGCTCGGCAGCGTGAACAGTTATGGCGAGATTCTGGGTCATGACCTCATGAACCCGTATATTATACTTCGTGACCAGGCGAAGATCAAGACAGTGGACAAGCTGACGACACTCGGCGAACTAAAGAAGCTCAAGGCGACGAAGCCGGACACTTCGACCATCAACGACTTCCTTTCTTACGTAGACGAACTCATTTCAAGACCACGCGATGGTTTTAGCACGGGCTTACTTTCCCCCACGGCGTATACTGGCTCGCGGCGGTCATCGGCGTTCGAGGACGCGACGACCGCGACAGAAGCCATCAACATGGCCATCATGCGCAGCAACATTACTTCGGAGGGCCAGCAGAGCCCAAATCGCTTCGAGATTGCCCGCAACGGGCAGCGTGTAGGCGTCGTGATGCTTACGCGACCGTCTTACCGCCTGGGCGAAGTCGTCACCATGGCCATCGACTTCACGGACGCCGATATTCCCTGCTATGCTGTTCACTCATGTCTAGAGTCCGCCGAGCGAATCGAGCCTCACCTCGCCGTCCGCTCAGAAGCGTCTATTCATCGAGTAACGCGAAGGATCCACGTCGCGGCATCGGAAGCAACCCTCTACAACCGGCGGATGGTTTTCACCCCAACAATCCCCATTAACGCGACCCCCGAATTTGTCACCACCGGCGTGTCCCTGGAGTGGAAGATCCGCGTAGAGTTCGTCGTCCCGAGTCAGGAAACGGAACTCGAGCGGGAGTCACCAAGTACCCACCCCTTGCTAGAGGAGATCTCCCGCGATGAGAAGGGCGGGTTGGTGCTCGTGGCCGTAGAGAACCTAGCATGCGAGAGCTTTGAGGTGGCCGTACCGTTGCGGGTGTATGGTGCCGTCGCAACGGGCCTGGAGAGGCTAGAGAGGGATGAGGCATTTGAAGAGGGTCTCGTCGTCTAAGCTCTCTCATAATTATGGGCCCAAGAGACGTCGGACATGTAGAACAGGCAGAAAAGAAAAAAGAGACCGCCAAGGCGTTCGTTGGATAGACAAAGCTTATCTTCTTTTTTTTTCTTCCTTCTCTGTTTTTGGAACACGGCACCCCTATCGAATACAGATTTCAGGAGGCAACTAGTCGTGTTGGGGCGCGGGAGAAAGACCCTCATTTTCCATCTTCTTTTGCTTCAACTTATCTGTACATGAGACGCAATACGACATTGCCCCAGTCCGGGCTTTTCCTGACTGAGATGGCATGACTACCGTGACCTCTACTGGTGTGTCTTTGGGTCTACTGTTGCGAATTAGACTTGCGGTGAAGAGGACAAGGATCACGATGTCACAAGAACAAAATGTCAAAAGTCTCAAAAAGCGGAAGTCTTCCCGCCTGTAGTATTTCTGTCGCAAGTAAATGTGCGCGGTCCAGAAGTGAGGATGTAAAACAAACAAGAAGTAGGCCCAGGACGCGATATCAGCATCCAATTGCCGCCCCGGCTCCCACCCTTCCAATGACTCCATCCGCTATCCAGCCAGCCAACCCCTCCAACGTCGTTCGCGTGTCCCTTTATGAGAAGATAGAAAACTCCAGGCTCCAATTCGCCCCCTTCTTCAGGATAGCCGTCTCCAATGACGGATGTTCTGTTGTTGTCTTTGGCTTCTGTGTTGTCAAGAGTGCAGCAACTTTTCGCAAGGATAAAAAGGAAACAAAGAGTCGCTGTGCTGTGTTAAGAATCGCAAAAGAAACAATGTGCCAACAAGTCAAAAAGGGGGAAACTCGTCCGCCCTTATTACCCCCCAAGTCCAAGTATGGACTTCTCCTAGGATACCTTTCCTAGCCAAACGCCGCTGTCCTTATTCAGATAACTCCGTATGCCCAGCAGGTGTTGTACAGCAGTAGAAAAAAAACTACAACGAGTGTGTTAAGATAGTGATGCGGTCGAAATGGTCTCGCCTCCAGCTGTGCTGGGTCGGTCGAGCACCATTTCGATCTCGCGCTCCTCGGTGGGAGTTTGTACGTCTCGGATCTCCTTGTCTTGGAAAGTCCGCCGGAGCTTCTCGTCCAGCATCGAAGCCAGACGCTCCTCGTACTGATCTAATAGACCGCTGATAAGAGCGGTGTCGTGGGTTCTGATAGCTCGGTCGCCAAGAGCAGCGGCGGTCATGCGGAGCTCTTGGTCGAGCTCAGTCAGAGAGTCTTGGCTCAGGGGCTCTGTCGAAGAGAGCTTCTTTCTATACGCCCTCAGCGTGCGACAAGCTTGTTCTGTGGCCATGCCAAGGCTGCCAAATCCACGCAGGTTAGGCGAGCTCTTCTTTGGCGGCAGGCCCAGAGACGGCAGCGAGGGACGCCTGGATGCCCTTGACTTCGGGCTCACTGGTGGACTACCACTTCCCGATGATCGACGAGAAGGCGTATCCTCAGCGATAGACGGGCTGTTTGCCACGCCTTTTGGCGTGCTGACGCTCGTATTCAGCGCATAACGTGACGTCCGGCGTTGAACACTTCTCGGTGATCGACGTCCACCGTTGGCGGAAGATGGTCGCTGGAATTCAGCCAGCTCCGCCTTAGAGAGCACGCGTCTCAACGGTGGCCTGGAAGATGTCGATGCATCCTTCATTGGCGACGGATCTCGGCTACCGGATGCGGGTGAGGCGTCTTCCTCCATCCCCCAGACCATGACGGTGCCGTCAAGTCCGACGCTGATCACTCTCTGATTGCCACCATCATCCTCGGTCAAAGCTACACCACTGATAGACTCGGTGTGGCCCCATTCTCTGTCCAGAAAATGACCCGACTGAGCATCATAGACGCGCACAGACTTGTCTGTGTTGGATATGCCCAGCAGGAAATTGCCGTCTTTGCCTGAGGACTGGCTATAGATGAGAGAATCCATGATTGCAGTCTCCGATTGCCCCTCGTCGAGGCATTTGAAGGAATTTAGGAGCTTGCCGCTGGAAAGATCGTAATGACATATCGACCGGTCAAGCATGGAGACAAATGCAGTCTTTTCGTCTTGGCTGAGGGCAAATGATGTGGGCGATGCTTTGAGAGTGACGGTGCGCGCCGAGAGAGCAGCGATCTCCTCAGGCTCTCCCTCTTTGCAGACGATGTCATGAACTTGTAGAGTTCTGTCCATGGAACAAGTGAGAATGCGGTCTTCGGAGGGGATCAAGGTCTGCACGACCTTGGCCGCGAACTCGAGCGTCTGGACATGCTGGAACTCTCCTGTCGAGAGGCGATGGAATAACTGGGCTGTGCGATCCCTACCGCAAGTCGCCAACAGGAACTTGGAGTCATCTTCGTAGATACTGATGTTTTGGCAGTCTGAGGAATGGGCCTTGGTCTCGAGAAGACATTCCTGAGTTGCCAAGTCTATGATCCTGAGCACTCCAAACCTGTCGGCGGCTGCAAGCATCTTCCCAGCCCTGCTGGCCCGAACCACGCTGAGTTGGTTTCCGACCGGGTCCATCCCAACCTCAGGGATCACCTGTTCAATGGGAACTTCAAGTGAGAACTTGACCTTGCCTTTCATGTCCCAGAAGATAACGGTCCCAGATGCGGACCAAGTAAAGAAGTCCGCACCCTGATCGTTGGGCTTTGGCATGGCTTGAATTCCCAGAATCGGGTCCTGGTGGCCAGGAATAGGGATGTGCGATGGATCCTCTTCGGTCTGTCCAGGAAGGTAGCTCGAGCTCCAAATATCAATGGAGTGTTTTTCGTCAATTGTGACAAGGTTTTCCGTCAGGAAACCCATCGCAGTCAAGCCAGCCGGTGCGGTGCTTTTGGAAAGTACAGCGTCCGGGAGACTGTCTAGAACCGCTCTTATGCTCAGCGTCGCAAATTCGCCTCCCTTTCCCGATACGTAGGCGGTTGCATGCCTGATGGTAATCGATGTAACTGGAAAATCCACATTGAAGGACCGAACAAGCTTCGACTGCTTCCCGTCGTCTTCCACCATGCAGATGTCGCCAGCCTCGGAGCAGATAATAATGTTCGTCTCGTCGACCACCGCCGCGCAGGTGAAAGTGGCCTCCAATAGCGACCCAAGCAGTACGTTACGGCCATTAAGGGTTTTCTGTGGCGGTTGGGGCGTCGAACTGACCTCGCTGAATTTGGTTTTCAACGGTGAAGTGGCCGCCTCCTCTACCCGCCAAATCTTGATGTGTCTTACACCAAGTGTGACAAGGTTGTTACCCATCCACACCATTCCCTTGATGGTAGATGTGCACTTGTTCTGCTGGTACAGCTTGGCTGCACCTGCACGAGGATCGATCCTCCAGATGAAGAGGAAGCCGTCGGTTGAGGCGCCTAGAGAAGCCAGCCAGCGGGTGTCAGAAGACCATGCGACGGCATTGACACCAAACCCATGCTCACTGATTGACACTAGCGGCACGTCGGAAGACGAGTCCTCCAAGTTGAAGATGAGCACCCGCGGCGCATATCCAGTCTCTCCTACAGCCAAGTACCTCCCATCGCGGCTCAGCGCCAAGCACGTCGCGGCCTTGATGCGCTCACGACTTGTCCATGTGTTCGAAGACGTCGGGGAGACAGACCAGTCGGCAGGCTCCCTTGCGACCCTGTTCCTGCTGTCGTTTGCCTTTGGCGTGGAAGAAGAAGGCGAGCCGTGGGACAGCGGTGTGCAACCATGGACGGCTGAGGCAGTTGGGCGGGCTCGGTAGAAGCGCTGGGCATACTGTTCACCGTCGACATCGACGACGACTACAGCGCCGCCTGCGATGTAGGCAAAGGAGGAGTTTACAGTATCGAAGCCGGTGGGCGAGGCGCAGGTTGTGCCGACAACTCGCTTGAGAGAGAGGCGGGACTCGTGGGGCAGGCGACCTCGGAGGGGGGATCGAGGCGGGCGCTGGAGGTATGGGGAGTTTCCCGGCGTCAATTTGAGCCGGTTCTGGGGAGTTGCGCTCATTGTGTTGCCATTGGCCCGTGAACGTCGCTGGAATGTGTGGCTACGAGGCGCAGAAGTACGGCGCAGACTGGACGCTGCTAGTTTTTGTAGACGGTCAAGAACAGGAAGAAGGAGCGTAAGTCGGTCGATCGGTCGGTTTGCGTCTCGAGAGGGCAGGAAGAGGAGACAGAGCTGCCGTAGGGAAGTCGCGAGCGGTGTAACCAAAAAGAGGAGGGAGAAGAAAAGGTCGTTATCGATGGTCTAGGTTTACGATGCAAAGCTAGAAAGGAAGTCAGCTTTTTCTGCAGCGTTAATGTCCTTCGCAAACTCAATTGCGTGAGACAATCGATTGTGCATGACAACGGGTAGGCACGTACAGTGACATCAGGCTGGGCCAAATCCCTAAGTTCCTGCAGATATTAAGGCAAAGTAGGTATCCGGGCGTGAAGGAGAAGGGAAAAGAGAAGCGTGTCGTGATGTGCGATATGCCGAAGGTAAGGAGGATTGCTGATGGACGGTTTTCAAGGTCTGGTCAGGGTTGGAGCCGGTTGGGCAAAGAATCCTGCCGGGAAGCCCTGGTCTGGGGGACGCACCTTCACCTGCTGGGTTGGAGAGTTGGTGGTGGTGGTGGTGGTGGTGTAGCGCGGGCTGGCTGCGGCGGCGGCGGTGGTTGATGGAGGTGCTGGAGGACCGCCTGTTGGTCGCAGCCACGGAAGCTGCCCTGAAGAGTGTGAGTGGCTCTTCAGCTCAGCACACCTGCAGTGTGACGGGCAAGCAGGAACCCCCTGTGAATCACCCAGCTTACCGGTGAGCGGGGGGGTCACCACTGCTCTTTTCTGAACCCACCCTGTCCGTTTTCTTCCCAAAACGGCGATGCAAGCCCACATTGAAGTCCACAAATCCACCACGTACAGCAGCCGGGAGGGGTGTCGAAGGCGGTCTGGCTGCGGCAGTCCAATCACGTCGCTTCCCCTCATCAAACACGTCGAAGATGGGGGGGGGGGTCACTGTCAGAAAATCTCCAGCAGACCGACCGTTTTTCTGCAGTGACGCCGTACGCAGGCTGAAGAACTAACACCACCCGCGTTGATGCAACAACAGAACAAAGAACTGCCCAAGCTCGTCAGTTTCACATCATCACTGAAGAAACCAGCCTCGGCCAACTGAGGTCACCAATGCTGAAAACGACGGCAGTGATTTCCACCACATCCTAGTCCGTCAAGACCGTCATCTCCCCCCCAAGAGGCCCAAGCAGCAGCAAGCATCAAGCATAACCTCACTTCGTCATACCCATCGCCAAAGTGGCTCCAGGTGGGAAAAAACCCTACAGCGCCATCACCGGATCTCTTTCCACCCCTGGCCTCCAAAAAAAGCAATATGCCAGACGTCAGTGAGCGGTCAACTAAACAGCTCTGCAGACAATGCACAGGCAGGGGTTCACATTATTCTTCTCCGTGGGAAGAAATAAGAAAAGAAAAGGAGCCCTGAGCGCCGCGCTCGGAATCCGGACCCTGACATGTTTGACAGCGGCGCTCTCTGGCCTTCAATGCAAAGGCTTGCAGAAACATACGGATACGTGCTGCCTTCACCTTTCTTGCTCTTCACCCACCACCAGTCTTGTTTGCCCGCTTAGCGGCATCGTCGACCGTGCGCCCGCCTAGACCGGGGGTTGACGACTCGGTCGCGAAATGAGCTCCTGCATGGGGTCCCTGTTTGCGCTTTCTCTGCTTCTTTCTGTGCCCTCTCAGTCTTCTCCCCCGCCGTGACGGTTGATCTGCTGCATGTTGGATCCAATCGTCTGTTTTCCGGGTCGGCTAACCGTGGTAAACAATGTCATCGCCTGCCCTAGCCTCCGGTGGGCTTGTAGCTCTCGATTTCCCGGCGGCGTTGCTTGCGTACTCATGTGTGGTGTCATCGTTCAACACGTCTTAAATGAAGACCTCAGCCCGTTGACGCGGTGCTTCACGCGTATTATCAGCAACTTAAAGTTCTACTAAACCACTGGCTATCTCTAGTCGTTCGGAGGTTTTCGTCAGCCACATTTACTAGTTATCACTGGTAACCGAGCAGATACGATGGATGGACATGAAGTCAGTCTGTTCCAACAACCAACGGCCGGCCTGCCCCTGAACAACACAACAAGCCCACGAGGCTGCACATGACAGGCATCGCAGATCTACAAGGCGAACAACACGCAGATCGTCATATTCAATCTTGAAACCTTATATTCCATTTATCCAGGGAGAAAATACTACCTGCCCATCATTATCCAGTCATCGATCAAACTATCGATCCCATTATCCTTGTGAAGGCTTGACGGACCGTCACCTCCTTATCAAAAGGCCTCCCCTTCCAACGCAGATTCCGAACAGATCCAGTGCCGGTAACATCGCGTCTGTAGTTTTCTCCTTCCACATGTCTCCCCGATTTCAGAGGTTTGTTTCTCTTCAGCACGCCTCCCGCTTACGCCATCTCACCATCGACCGCCTCGCGGAGCGCAATCGGCACGCCGTGTCCTGGCGCGCCCACAATCTCCGCCTTGAGCACCTGCTCGCTCCAATTGCCCCTGTACTCGAGCCTGTCGTACTTTTGCAAAAATAGCACCACTGCGGCACGGCAACGGTTAGCTTCTGCTGTGGTTGGGGGGGTAGGTTCGTAGCAAACTCACATGTGTAAGCCATCTCCGTCATGGCAAAGTTCTGTCCCACGCAGATTCTCGGTCCGCCGTTGAACGGCACGTACTGCCACGGCTTCGGCGTCCAGTTCTCCCACCTCTCGGGGCTGTAAATGGCCGGGTCCGCGAACGTCTCCGACACCTCGGGGTACAGGTCCCGCCTCCTCTGCATGGCCAGCGTGCTGTAGACGACGGAGTCGCCTTCCAGTACAGCAATATCGGGGCCTCCGTTTTGCCCGGGCAGGGTCGTCGTGGTCAATGCTGAGCGCACGTTGAACGGTACTGCCGGGTACAGACGCAGCGTCTCGTTGAGGCAGTTTGTCAAGTACTTCATGCTCTTCAGGTCTTCGTATGTAGGTTGCTTCTTTGGTCCAACTGCGGAGAGAACCTCATTGCGAAGCTTGGCAAAGGTAGCGGGGTAGCGGGAGAGCTCGTAGACTGTCCAGGAGAGCGTCGCAGCGGTGGTGTCGCGTCCGGCGAGCAGAATGGCGATGAGCTGGTCTCGGATGATCTTGGGGTCGCGGGTGAAGCGGGCAATGTTGTGCAGAAAAGTGAAGTCCTTGTCCGACTTCGACAGCTTCTCGAGCTCGTCAGGGGGAAGCGCGAGTGCCTCCTCGATGAAGGGAACCACGAACTCCTCAATGACTCGGATGCCACGCTTGTACTTGCCATGGGGAAGAATGGACTCGAAGGGGCTGGAATTGTTAGTCAAGCCTAGGACTACTGGAAGTTTCTTGCTTACGCCATGATGGTGTAGAACATCTGGTAGCTCTGCACTTCGTTGAAGGCGTGGGCGAAGTGATGCTTCGGGCTGTTCGGGTCGTGTCAGTCGCACCTCGCAAACCTAGACAGAACATGGAAACTTACTTGCTCAAGCTGTTGACGCTGTGTCCCAGCAAAAAGTCGGTCGTGACATCCAACGTCATGCGGTAGAACAAGTCCATGATATCAAAGGTCACACCGGAAGCAGGGAACCTGGCCATCATGGCCTTGGACCACTTATCGAAGATGGCGAGATCGCTGACTCTATCCTTGATAAACATGGGCCTGATCAACGACCGGTTGTCCTGCCATGTCTTTCCATCGGTCGTGAAAATGCTATCGCCGAGGAACGGTGACCAGACCTGGTGGAACATCGGGCCCTTGCCAAAGTCCGCAAACTTCGACGTCAGGACCGTCTTAATGTGCTCCGGTTCCTTGGTAATCAGGAACCGCAGCTTTCCGGTGAAGCCAATCTCAATGGTGTTGGGAGACTCCTTGGTGGCGACATTGTAGAGCGAGTTGAACCCCTCGAGGAGCTGATGTCTGAGCTGATACTGTCCAATACGCAGAAAGACTGGGATGGCTTTTTGGTGTTAGTCGGTTGGTGATCGCCAACAACAGGAGCGGGGAAGCTCCTGGAGTTCGTGCCTACCAGTTACGGGGTTGGAGGCAATGACTGGTGCCCTGACACCGCCGCTCCTCTTAATCAGGTACTCGATTCTGGCTCTGTAAAAGACGAGGAGAAGGACGTATGCCCCAAACACGTAGCCCGCGACGTGAAGGGGATTAGCGGTCGTCAAGCTCTCGAGCAAACCCATCTTTGGCTTAGGGCAGGAAAATCGAAGCTCCCTGTCTTGTCTCGATCGTTTGACAGGTGCGGCTTCTCCGGAAAAGAAGGGAATTTGAACTGGGAAACCGAATAAGAAATGGAATGGCAGATTCAGAACAATGATATTTCGATGTCAGTCCCCACACACTACTGCTGCAAAACGCTCGACCGGCAGCTTGGACAGGAGGCAGGAGTAACATCGTCTTAACTGAACCCGTTTCAACCATCACCGAGCGGCACATGTGAAGGCTGCCTGCTCAGACCGCGGCTAGGTTCGACCCTCGAAACTTGGGGTATGCCTCCCATTCGTTTCGTTTGGAGGCCGCTGGTCATCGCCAGAAGGGACGCATACGATTGGGCCGCTCGACCTTGGTGTATGCATCGCCATCGTAGCGTTCCCTACACGGGCCATCTTTGCCAGGGATATGGCATGTAGCTTTCGCCGTCTCAATGTGACGGATATTCTAGACTCGCCCGTCAGTTCCGCGACACACAAGAGACTTTGAGACCTTTTGCTGAGCTGTATAGACAGACCTACTCCTACAGTAGTAAGAAGGCGGGGGGCCGCCAAGTCCCCGCATGACGGAGATGGTGCGTGCCATTCGTGTTTAAAAGGCGTCCGATGCGAGCTCAGATCACTTGTATGGTTTGCATTGTCGCCTGTGCGTGCGACCCGCTCCCGGAAAAGTATGCTCTTCGTCAAACAGGTAGAAAGAATAGTTGAAGTTTGCAAAAAACTGAACTCAGATTGGCGTT